GTGTTACTCACACATCCTCCTGGGGATGGTAGTGTTCCATCATCTACATAAAGGTCTACCATAACACGTGAACCTACTAGGAACCATTAAGGAATATATTTTCTTTGGCTCATGTCATATAAAAAGGGTATTCCACCTATATTACATCACTCCTTAAGCACTCCCCAGCTTTGCCTTGTCACAAAAATCCCCCCACAAACATTGGTAATTTTATTGTATAACATTGTATTTTCCTTCCATCAGTGACGAAAGTTTTTCTGCAACAACTGCTATACAAAGTACCTTGTACTTTGTATAAATTTTGGCCCAAAACCACATGCTCTATTGTACAAAACTTGTTTCACGACTCACTGGAAACAAATAACTTCAAATTTTTTTGTGTATACTACATGTATTACATTCGCTGAATAAAAAACAATATCACAGTGCTTACCTTAAAATTACAAGAAATAAAATATGTAAGTCAGCAGCAACATCCCTAAACATACAAATACTCTACAAACAAATTTAAAGACCACCAGATGAGACAATCCAAAGGTGAGGAGCTGATCATATCTGACCAGCATCACAAGTTTCTATTGAGGGATAAAGGCACAGTATAGCACACAAACCAATTTATCAGTACTGCTGTAACCATTATTAACTGGATTCTTTTTCTGCAATTGCAACTAAAACAACTTAATATCAAATACTTTGAGCACTTATATAAGCCCAACATTGATATACAGTTGGTCAAACACAGGACAGAAAAAAATATACTGTATAAAGTTGGCATCTTCAGCTGAGAAAATGTAGATCTGGAAATAAGGAGGAGTAGAATGTTCTAGAACTCTGTGGTTTAAATACTCTAAGCTACAATAACTATGTGGTACAGACAGACAAAATGAGCTAAGTAAACAATGTTTTAAAGTTTTTACAGTTCTAACTATGGGAGTACATAATTCCCCATTAACTAATCTGATATTTGACCTGGCTTGTTACCCTTAGTCTCTGACAGGCTTAGGATTTTTTTCTACACTTCACTCTTTGATAATTTTTTTTATTGACATTTTATCAAAATATCTTTATAAACATAAAAGTTCCTCTGTTCAAGGAAAAGATTGTGAACATTGAAGGCATCCAGAAACATAGATAAATGCTCACACACTGGATAGTTAATGTGAAGGTCGGTAATGAAATGGAGACCTTTGTGTATGACAATGTTAGATAAATGGCCTGCAGGGTACCAAAGATGGGAGTTAGTTGCTAGGAAGAAATAATTACATGTTGTTTCACACTTACAGGTCTTTTCCTACTATGTTGCCTAGTGCCTGGAGTCAAGAGCCAAGACAGACTCACTTTGTAACATTTCCATAAGCCATTCGAGCACTCTCAACAGTCACACTCACTTCTTGAATGTCCACTACCCTCACTTCAGGAACTTCATTTACTCCATCCTTCCCTGTCCCTTCAATTATACTCTTCTTAGCCTATCTTCAGTTCTGTTCTAAGTCTGTTCCATCCACACCATCTCAACAAACCCCATTCACCTCCTTTTGTAAATTGTAACTCTTGCAAAGGCTGCCAAAGAGTGTGTGTCTGTCTGTCTGTCTGTGTGTGTGTAATAATAAATAATAATAATAATGTGTGTGTGTGTGTGTGTGTGTTTAATGTATATATGTATGTGTGTGTATGTATATGTGTGTGTGTGTGTGTGTGTGTGTGTGTGTGTTTAATGTATGTATGTGTGTGCGCCTGACCTAATAAAGAAGAGTAACCAGATAGCAACAAATATTACAGTATATATAATAGTTGAAGAGATCACAATGCAAACTATTGCCCAAGAAAACCCAAGCTACCATCAAGAAAGCCCTCTCTATTTTTATAAATGATATCCAAAGGAGCTTGATTTGGAAATGACCAAATTTGTATCATAATAAACCTATGCCTAAAATGTTCTTGTACAGAACTACATCTTCAAGTTCTTAAAAAAGAAAAAGGTTCAGTCACACTAATGAAGTCTAAAAAAGTTCTCTAAACATAAAAAAATATTTACTCAAGTCAACAAAGAATTTTCTCAAAAATATTCCTTGGCCAAACTTTTTACTGTCCTGAACAAAATTATTCTAAATGTCAAACTGAGAACAAACATTGAAACTGATTTTGGAAAGCTAACAAAGGGAAGCACTTACACCCCGTTCCAGCCTTATGAAGAAGACTGTGCCTGAACTGTACTTGGCAAATATAGTGTCCTGCATGTAAATTTTAAGCACAACATCCCCACAGTCAATTGCGCACACCTAACTTGGCGTTCATTTTGTTGCTGTGAAACAGGGTAACCAGGCAGCTGCTGGCCATGAGTCTTAGCAAACAATTACTATAGTTGGTTATAGATTAGCAGGATGTCAGTCCAATGAAAGGTTGATCCACCATCAGCAAGGGTATCCAATAGTGCACTCATCTATTGAACTGCTGTGTCTACAAAGATACTGGTGTAAGGGGGAAACTTAAGTCCTCCACTTAAAAATGTTTTGCTAATCACAAATACTGTACCACCTTTAAGTCAACTCTTTTATTACCTGATTTGTATGGCTGAATAACTGTCAAGAACAATTCCATTCGGAGCATCCCTAAGTACCCTGGATGATGAACAACACTGCACACATTCAAGAAACAAACTCTTACCACTGTACAAAATATGTCAATGAACACCTCACACCAACAGCTGTTAAGAGAAAATGAATGAGAGAAGTGCAAGAGCCTCTTAATCCCAACCAGTCTATGCCACAGTGGGAAAGTCTACATTAGACATAAATAAGAGACTGGTTACAGTCCAACTCGACCCATTGCCATCTTGGCCCACATCCAACTCAGACCTTCACGGATAACAAACTCGGACCACTTAGGTTAACGAACTCGGACTAAAAAGTAAGAGTAAAAGTTATCACACTTATTTTTGCATGAATGATAAAAGTACAAAAGTACAATGATAAAAAGCAGCAAAGATGTACAAACATTACTGATAAACAGCTATGTGACCGAAACACATCATCGAGGTGCTTCCCTCTTACCACAGTTGAAACCTTGCTTGACACTGCAGTACCCGCTTATGGTGGATGGCAATGATGATGATATCCTCTGAAGTATGCATCCCCTACTTGTTTAATTGTCATTAAGCAGTTCCTCTTCTTATTCCTGACAACACAACGCCAATGGACAGCAGCAATTGTTTTTCTTTTTACTGTGTAAGAATATCCAAGGCTATCTACCAATTTATCCTTTTCTCTCTGGGATGACGCTGACAATATCCCGTAAGTTATGTTCTCAGTTCTTGGCTGTAATTCTCTGGGAAGGGGATCTTGGATACTGATGTTAGATGCTCCAGCAATATAATTAGCTTTCATAAGGTCTTCTTCCCCAAAATTTTCTGCAATCCCAGTACTCTCTGTCTTAGGTTGGAGGTTGTCTTCATGATGATGATCCATAGTAGATAACTGCAAGCACTGGTGACATCTCCAAACGATGTCCAGCCCCTCTCGAACTGCTCTTCTGTAGTTGTATCTACTGATGGCTGTCCCATATGTCCGGTGCTGCCAGAAGCTGCAACCATCGCACTGGAGTCCTTCCTGTCGGGGACGCACAATTGTCATGCATACCAAGCATTGGTCAGCCATGGTCAAGACTCAGACTGCGACTGATCCTGTAATCTAACACCAACACAGAGGGCAATCTCACTTTGCCTGGGGATCTGACAACGATAACCTCACAAAATATGACGGTTGAAGATAACCTGATCACGAGATCTGAGGTTGACATTCCACAAAAATTTACCCACAGGGCGACCTCACTTTACCTGGAGACCTGACAACAATACCCTTATAAAATATGACGGTTGAGGATGACCTGATCACGAGTTCTGAGATTGAAGATGTTCCACAACAATATAAATAATGAGTTAATTAATGCACAAAGGCAAATCATACCATAAAGAAAACTCCGATCAAATAACAATGACCCCAAATGGATGAATAATTATTTAAAGAATATTATTCATCCTTCATACCGATTGAACCTCAGTATTCACACTCTTTGTATTTCAGTGAACCAACAAAAGACATAAAACAAGTCTCAAACTCATTTCTGAACCTCGAGTTAGCTACTTGTTTGAAGTGTGCAAGGTGGGCCAAGTTAGTAATGTGTGGGCCGAGTTGGTTATTTAAGATGGGCCAAGTTGGAGTTACACACACCTAAGAGACTAAGTTTTTTGTTTTTGTTTTTACAGGCCTGGGAGGCAAAAATATTATTATTATTATAATAATAATAATAAAGAGCCATAAATAAATACAAAAATATCAATAGTGAGAAATGATATATGTATGTTGTGTTGTCAACAGTAAGAAGAACAATTGAGACCCTGCAATTGAGTGTGTAAATGAGGCAGAAAGTCAGATCAGCAACCTGGGACTTGGTCACAATTTTTGTGGTGCTACATGGCAGCAGGATCTACCATTAGACAACACATTATGCAAAGTGCAATGCATTATAAGTAATTACTCAATTAAAGAAGTTTCACCTTGGGATTGTCTCTTCTTAATGGTACATCATACAATGGTAAAAAGTAGAGGCCATCAAGGAAATGAACATTTACAAATACAGTATGCAGATTTTTTTTTTTTTTATGAATATGTAAGCATACTTCAGATTCCAAAAGCTACAAGACTTCAGTTAATAAAATAAATGTATACACAAACTGCATAAAAAAAATACTGTATACCAAAGAAAACACAAATTTTAGATCCTTTTATGTAATATCACCAACTTAACTTTAAATTTATACCGTATTATATATACTGATAACTGCATCATAAGCGCATTACTTTGACCCATTCTCTTAAGGCTATGTACTGTACTGTACCCCTTGAGCCACCATTCAAAACAGTGGAAGAGTAACAATACTAGAAAATATTTTTCATTCCTTGTGATGGCCACCTACTTTGTAACGTAATATAAACAACACTCACCATCTGGTGGGCCTGTTGACTCCCAGGTGGACCAGAGGAAGATGGGTGAACCTCCTGGCTCCCATCTTCAGAATAGCCTTCCAGCATACCAAAGCCTCCGCCAAGTTCACCTGTACCAAGCCACTGCCAAATCAAACAAATTAAAACAAATTTAAAGAAATGCATTAAAAAAACCATTGCCACATCCTTTAACTACAGCTCACCTAAACATCTCTAGCCATGGGTAACATAATTACCCATTTTATTTCATTACCTCTTACACCACCAAGTTATTGTGTAAATCAGTGAATGAGAGCAAATTGTAAAGATAAATGAGATTAAAAACCCAACCACCAACTGCATTTAAGAATTAAGTGTGTACAAATGAAGTGTTTGAACCAGGTTTCTAACACTGCAAACAGTATAGCAGAAGATGGCTGGCAAGAATGATAATAAGAGACATATACAACAATGATTGACTGGGTATATTTACTTATTATATTGTTTGACAAGTAGCTACTATACATCTTTTGTCCAGCCCTGATTTTTAGAAGAGTAGTTTGTATTGATTAAATTTCCTGGATAAATAAGAAAGAAATAAGAATGGAATACATACCCCTTGCATCCCAGAAGGTCCAGCTAACGCTTCAACAACTGCTTCTGGGAGTGGCTGCGGATGCTTAGCGTCCAAGTGGTGGGTATATTTGTTTGCCTGTTCATCACCTCCTGTACTCGAGTCACCTCCTCCCACAGACCCATAATCCATCCCAGAATCTAACATCTCCCCTTGATTGTCCTCCACAGTATCTACAATTTCTTCTTTGACTAGAGTCTCATCTACAGAATCCTGAAATAAGATAAAAAGTTAAAGAAGACATGTCTTACACTTACCTAATGCTGACAAATGTTCATGCAACACAAATAACACACTCCTAGTAATCCACTACGTTGGTTTTATTAAAAATTTGCTAATGACGTCAGACTAGAAGTTACAAAATTAGCTTTCTCATAATGTTCACTTGTCCTATACATTGTCAAGCTGTCAAATAAATCTATGAACAGACTTTAGTTACACTTAAATACATTGCAAGAAATCAGCCTTTAATTCTTTAAACAGCAAATATAAGTACAGTACAGTAATTCACAAGAGTTCCCCAACCAACCTGAGCATGTGAAGCTTCTTGCTTCGTGGAATTGTAGTCGACTGTTGGTTCTGTCCGTTCACTTAATCTGTGATCAATGCTGTCTTCTCTTTGGTCCTGCATTACTCCCTTGCCCTGTTCCCAACTGTTGTTTGCTTCTGGAGGATGTGGGGAGGAGGGAGGACTTTCCGACGCCTGTGACCCTGCACCCTGTTGGACTGACTGGATCGGCTCTTCCCGTCTTCTTCGTTTAGGGTGTGGACTACTTCTGTCGTCGCGGGAACTCCAGGGGTATGAATTTTTCTTGCCACTGTCTTTCATGGGTGGTTCATCTGGCACGGCCAAGCCCTTTATCTGTAGCAACTCGGCAGCTTTGATAAGACGCGCCAGGTCATTTTGAGCTACACTCACAACACCGGCATACATATAACTTAATAGAGCCTCCAACTCATCTGGCTTGACGTCCTTTAAAACTACGACCGGATGTTTACACGGAGTATGTTCAAACATCTTCTCAAAGTACTCACTACACGTTGATAAGACAAGTTTGTGCACTGGATAGAACTTGCCCTCACACGCTAACGTCACATCAGTGTATCTCTCCTGTTACAGGGAGAAAAATATCCATTATAATCTTGTTTCATTTACAAATAAATTTCAAATGACAGTTTTTAGTATCACATTAAAGATATAAAAAGTACATGCTTTAATTTTTTCATGGCCTAAGTATATTTGACTACCATTACTATTATGAAAAAATATACCTAGAGTTAAATCTACATCTGTGGCAATAACTGAAAAATTTACCTTAATAAAGTTTTGTGTTGTTACTCTTCAAAATTTCCTTTAATTCTTTGCACCATTGAGATTTTTACTAAAGTCAATAAGGGAAGCTGAACACAAAAAGCTTACCTTTTCTCTTAGCGTCGCGAGGATGTGGCAAAATGTAGCTTTGTGGTTGTTCCATGACAACGATAGCATACCATCCGACGCCATCTTGTCACGATGCTTTCATCTGTGGAGAAACTGTATTGTAGTATAAGAATGATACACAAGTAAACAGGTAAATGGACAGATGCTACTGTACATCTAAGTGCAGCGTACTTAATATTGGAAGAACAAATACTGATAATGTATACAGCCTTAACAACATCAACCTAGAGAAGTCGACTTGTGAAAGAGACCTAGGGGTGCTTGTAAGCCCGGACCTACAGCCTAGAAAACAGTGCGTCAATGCTCGAAATAAGGCAAACAGAGTATTGGGTTTTATATCTAGAAGTGTAAGTAACAAGAGTGCAGAGGTCTTATTGCAACTATATCTTGCACTAGTCAGGCCGCACCTCGATTATGCGGTTCAGTTCTGGTGCCCCTATTATGGAATGGATATAAATTCACTAGAGTCGGTGCAGCGAAGAATGACAAAAATGATTCCGGGACTTAAAAACCTTCCATATCAGGATAGGTTAAAGAAACTTAACTTGCATTCCCTAGAAAGACGAAGAGTGCGGGGAGATATGATAGAAGTATTTAAGTGGGTGAAAGGAATCAATAAAGGGGATATAGATAAAGTTCTTATAATATCCGAGCAGGATAGGACTCGGAGCAACGGATTCAAGTTGGATAAGTTTAGGTTTAGGAGGGAGATAAGAAGAAACTGGTTCACAAATAGGGTGGTGGACGAGTGGAACAAGCTTAGCAACTTTGTAGTAAGTGCGGGAACTCTGGAAAGTTTCAAAAGGTGGCTAGATAGATTCATGGATGATAGAGAGTGGTAGTAACTCTCGACAGGAGCTGCCATGCACAGGCCAACCGGCCTATTGCACTCCTTATTTTCTTATGTTCTTATCTTAATCAATCAACAATGACAACACAAAGAAGATGGTGACTTTAGTTATCATTTTCTTTTAAAATATACAATATAACATAAACATTGGAATGAATAATTTATATTACAACTTGGCATCATTAGTATTCTTTGTCATCTGTATTATTATTATTTTGAAATGTAAAATAAAAATTTGCTGAGGAGTCACAAGAAATCTACTGTCACAAAAATATTAATAATAAAAACTTAATACAATTGGCCATTGCAATTAAAATGTATACAATATGTGGACACCTTCATTTAGACACAAAGCAAACCCAGGAACATGACAAAGCTAAATGACTGAGCGAGTGTCAGAGGGAATGAACTTTTAAATTCATCACCAAAACACAAATACAAAAACAAAACAATATTAAAATGTATGGCAAGTAAATAATGGCGGGAGTTTCACCACAAAAGGTTTCCGCTTTGAAAAATGCTTGACTGGGTGGGAGGGGAAATGGTATAGCCATCTTAATTCATTCGTTTCCGGAATAACAACAATCCTAACAACAACTTACGGCATAAATGCACAACTGGCACTAACTCTAGATGCCTGGGAGTAAATAATGGCGGATGTTTGGCCAGTAAAGCTCCCGGGAAGGGTAACTGAGAGGCCCCAAGCCGCGCGGAGCCCAGCCTTCCTGCGTCGCGTCGCCCACGTCACACAAGGGACCACACAACCATTCACCTCCACACAACACAGTATATAAACCCTCCCACACGTCATTCACACTTACTTAACACATTCCTACACAGTACGGCACGAACTGTAATATATTTTCGAAGTATGAACTTGGCAGGAGTGACTTAAAGTTAGTTTAGGAAGGTCCACGAGGTAAACAAAACATGGAGGGTTGTGAGCTGGCCATGAAGGACGCGAACGCTTCACACCAACTCAACCTTCATGGCACACGTCCCCCGAAGTGAAAAAAACACATTTATTATCACCAGGACATGCACAAGTCACTAAGAACTGCCTTATGGTAATTCTGAACAAGAAAGAACCATAGTTTAAGGTTAAATCTCACCAGCACTGAGGAGATAATTGTTCCCTTGTCCTGGTCGGCGTCGCGTTGGTGAGCGGCGGCGTCCTGCTGCCAGAGGTAACCTCCCACTTAGCTGCCAGCGATCACCTTAACTATTAACAACAATTACGCCAACCTTCCACAGTAAACTATTTCCCTCAATAATACTAATTAAATATAAACCATACGATATTTATTTGCTGAATGAAATATGATTAACGCAGTTTACTCCTACTGTAGTAAGAATATAATGAACATATAGTGTTATCATCGTACGCAGCAGGGAAGCTGCGGGCAAGCGTTGTATTACGGAACTTCATGATGTAAAACTCTTGCCATATCAAAACCATATATTAATTTATGCTATTATGAATGTCAAATCTACAAGTATTTTTCATAATCTCTCCTTCCGGAGTATCCTTGATAATAAGCCGTGAGTAAATCTAAGAAAATGGTCAGACAACTAGACAAAGAAAATGTCTTTGTTGGCGTAACTTAATATTTTGAACAATGTCAACTCAACTTGTAAACGAAAGCTTTAAAGTACAAGGGGTTGTAAACAAGATGTAATATTGATTATCACAGGACTGTCTGTAAATGATTGTAACTGGGGAATTTACCAGGAGAATTAAATGACGAGTTTGGCGTGAAGAACATTAATATTTAGGGAACAGGAACAAATATATTTCTGCATGAAATATGAGTAAAATGAACCAATACATTTACAGCCAAAAATAAATAGTACGTGTATTTACATATTTACAAACAGGGATAGAATGTGCAATGTATAATTTTAATACGAGTTTTTATATTTAAATTTCTGTGTGTAACCTACTTAACAACTCGCTCATTAAAGAATTTTGGAACCCTCCTTCAGAGCAATATATTTTGGAATAATTCTCTCTCTGAACAAATCATTTTAGTCAGACTAATAATGAACCTGACAATAAAAACCAATGAAAGGAATCGGAATTTTTATTCGGAGGATTAATCTCAAATATTTCTCCAAATAATCAATAATTTCCTCAGTTTTTGATCACGGCGAGCGCTTAGAAGGAAAGCCTTAGCTGGGTGTCAGTTTTATGGCCAAGTGATATTATAATGCCAGAGTACACGGCCATATAACTCTCTCAGCCATGTTAATCCTTTCTCAGCGTCCTCCATGACCAAAAACAAAGGAAATTATTGTTTGTGGAAAATATTGAAGTCCTTGTTTCTTCATGGTTCAAGATTGTGTAATGCTGTATTTCATTGTTTAAGAATATGTATATTAATTGTTTCCCTAAGTCCACAGCTCCGTTATCTCACAAAATTATAATAAGTATTCAAGCTCATGATCATTAAGTACGGTTTTCTATGGTACTGATCACTTAATTTTAGCATGCATCAGGAGACAACCGACCACATTTGTCTTATTTTTTACATAATTATGTAGGGATGAACTATGGGCGATAACTGGTATTTATTGATTCAGGTAACATAAAGTGCACGTGAATCGTCTCTGTTCATAGGTGACAATCTTTTTCCAGAAATTTTGCCTCTTAACAGTTTTAAAGTGATTTTCTGTGAACCAGACTCCTGGTAAATGGTGTTAATTTTACTAGGATATCAGGTTGCATGTAGTTTGTTGGTGCGGTGTAAGCCTACAGCAGAAATTACTGACTTTTTGTTAGTTCAAAATTCTGTAAGTGTCCTGTTTAAGTTTGCCATTCGTCTATGTAAAGTAAAATATTTGCATTTGTTATCAAGTCATAATCAACGAGGAACATCAACAAAAACAACAGGTTAGCCGAATAAATATAATCTTTATTTGTGTAAATATCAGATTCATTTGTTTGTTTTTCTTCATTAATTTTTAATCAGTTTTCAAAAGCTTGTAACTTTTACATCGGACAAGAAAGGTTTATCTGAGCCGCAGGATTCCGTGTCGTCAGTACAGATCACTTCTGTGTTGTAGACGCGAGCTGGTAGTTGAGGGGAATCTGGAGCACTGCCACCACTCATTAACACCTGGGTAGTGCAGGAGGCTCGGATAACAGTGTGGGTAGAGGAGGACGTATTGCGGGCACGTAGTGATCTCCGCAGGATGTGTATGAGGCTTGGAGGACGCGGGAACTTGGTGGCACGCGTGCGGGCATTGTGGGTGTGCGCGCGCAGCCGCCCCAGCAGTAACGCCCGTGACCCTCCGCTGCTGGCGTCATCCAGGGCAGGAGACGGACACTCTGTTAACCTGCTGAGAGATACACAGAAGAGTCTTGTCAATGCTTCTTTTACTAAAATTAAATACAAGTTTTGGTATAAAGCACAGGTGTAAAATTCTAACATGGTGACTCTAGAAACATAACTACCCCCCCCCCCCATGCAAGTAATAATAAGTCAACATTCCCACAACAAAAACTTTATACAGTATACATTTTGGGAATCAACCAAGGAAATTTAACTACTGCAAGGTTAGCAAGCGTAAACAGACTCGTGAAAGCCATGATGGAACAAGTATGAGAGGTACCAGAGAGGTAGAGAGACAGATAGACAGAGAGAGATATAGACATAGAGCGAGAGAAGAAGATAACTGACCTCGTATGGGGTGTCGAGTGTGACCAGGTGTGTATCCTGGGTCGTGCTGGTGGCTGCTGGGAGGTGGTGGTAGAGGGAGGGAGGGAGCGAGCCCACTGCTGCACAGACCTAGCCAGGGAGGGCACACGACCTACCACCACCACCACACTCCCTTCCATGCTCTGTAACACACACAAATTATCGATACATGAAAACACAAATTACAGTCCAGACAAAATATTAATACACACAACAAAAAATACATACAAATAGATACAGTAATTACAATAGAAAAATACATGTATGTAATGAATTGTGTGCGTAAATGGATATCTAATAACGATTTAAATGGCTGACTTAAGTTAAAACATTAAAACTATTTCCTAAATGAGAGCAAAATAAGACACTACTGTACCTTACTTAGATATGTTCATTGGACAAAATCAACTGAGAATGCTCATCTGACCAACAATATTCTAAAAAAATGCAGTTAGTATTTTGTAACTTTAATGAGATGAAAGAGCGAAGATAATTCAATTTCGACCCCCATTTCGCAGTTTAGTAAGTATGCATCGTGGAATCCATTACCAGCGTTATTACATCATTAATTAAGGGTAAAATTTAACCTACGAACCTTTCAGAATCCATCGTTGTGTTGTAGTTTAAGCTAGGAGTTAAAAATAATATAGTGTAAGTCTTTTAAAATTAATTAACTGAATAGAGTGCCGCTGTGTTGGTAATGTTGTTGGGATTAAGAAATTAATTATTACAATATATCGATAATGTGAGGTGGTGGAGGGTGAAATGTGAGGCCGGGTGGTGGAGGGTGAGGTGTGAGGCCAGGTGATGGAGAGTGAAGTGTGAGGCCAGGTGATGGAGAGTGAAGTGTGAGGTCAGGTGATGGAGTGAAATGTGAGGTCAGGTGATGGAGTGAAGTGTGAGGCCAGGTGGTGGAGAGTGAAGTGTGAGGCCAGGTGGTGGAGGGTGAGGTGTGATGCCAGGTGATGGAGAGTGAGGTAGAGACTTACCCTGAGGTGTAAGGCTAGGTGGTGAAGACTGAGATAAGCCACAGGAGAGCCGTTCACCTCCAGTAGTTTGTCACCCTGCATAATGCGGCCGTACCGAGCAGCCAGACTTCCGGGCTCCTGTCAGTAAAAAATAACAAATAACAGCAACAACAGATACAGCCAGTGTCCACTACAGTCGCCTCCATTTACAACTGGTACAGTGACTGGCGTGTTTTGTGAGATGTGGCACCACCGCCCAACAGACAACAACCAATGATATTCTACTTGGTACTCTATATTAAAAAAAAAGTACGGGAGTTTGTTTACATACCACTAAGGTCACGAATATCCCATTGCCGTCTCTAAAACCAGGGAGAGAAATATTTACATTTAGTACATATGACTTATACATATAAAATGAAAAACAACACATTCGTAAGTCTTCATATGTACATCACTACACAAGTACAGTACCTACCTCCTCTCCATCAAGCTAAGGCCGAGACGCTCTGCCACACTTGATTTCCTTAGTTCCACCGTGATGAACTTGGTCGGTTCTGTCGGATCGGAGTTATTATGATCACTATCAGAGGCTACACACACACACACACACGACTATATATATACAATTAAAATACAAAATCTCTCACATAGAATACCTTACTTAAAGCAATCACAATATAACGTTACTTTTATAGTATTACTTATTTTGCCTGCTTTAAATGTGTATACACCTCCAACACCTGAGCAAGATACCTGCAAGATAGAGGTGGTTAAATATTTACAGAAGGGTTTGTAAACATTTGTAAATAACCTAATCTAACCCTACCTGACCTACTGAGATTGGGATGTATTGAAACTGGGCAAATTAGGACTGGGATCTACTAGAACTGAGGCCTATTAGAATTGGGGCCTTCCAAGACTGGGGCCAATAAGAACTGAAAACTATTAAAACTGGGGCCTAATAGAACTGGAGCTTACTAAGAGTGGGGCCTACTAGAACTAGGGTCTGCTAGCACTGAGGCCCCAGGTGACCAAAGAGAGAGAACACCCATCACCTACCCTGCGTGGTCGTGAAGAGCTGCTCAGGGTCTTCACGCAACACCAGCAGGCTGACGGGGGAAGAACACTGTCTCAGGGCCTTCACCGCCTCCTCCCGTGTACTGTGCTGCGGGGAGATATAAAGGAAAGTGAGAGTGAATAATCTTTCTCACGGTGAATATTCTTCATAGTAGGACACCTCACACAACAAGGAGGATAATGCTGTAATAAAAATCATTTGCTCTGTATAACGACAATAAAATGAAAAAAAAAGCGATAGAAACGGGCGGGAAAAATAATGTGACAACGCATGAAACTACTGCGTTCAATCCCAAAGGTTCCCAGGTTGAATTTTCCTTGTAACTGGAGAATTAAATTAGAACGAACTAATTGGCTCAAATGTGGTCTCAAAATTACGCCAAGACTTTAAATAAACACGTGATCTGAGCAAGCCTTTATTAAATCTAATTTCTCTAATCATATATACCGTGATAAATATTTTGAGAGAGCGTTCTGATGTTTTAGTTTGACTTGGAAAATATTAACGGAATCATTAAAGTTTCAGATTAATGAATTAGTTGAAAGAAAATGTAGGCTGGCATAAGTAGGTAGATATAAAAATTAAGTGAGAAAGACTGAGTAATGGAGTTTGGGAGAGAGAGAGACGAGAGAGAGATGAATTTCAGTGCCATTCTGGGGGTTCAGTCAGATTTACACTTTCATGTCTATCTCCGTGTGTACAAAACGAGAAAAAAAAATACAGTATTTACATTTTGATAGCGAGACCACCAACACGAGTTCCTTTCATCTGGGTATTATCTTTATTTATCTACATCTGTATATAAATAAACTTAAAACTTTAGAGACCAAAATACATAGAAACAGTAAGATCAAAGTGTCACCAGCTCGTAAAAACAAGTGAAGCCTTAAGCACTTTAAACTCAAAACGAAACTTCCGCTATATAAACCCTCGTAAAAATAGCGCCCGCCTCCAACACACAATAACAACCTTCAGTCTTAGAAGAGATTCCTCGTAAGTGAAGATAAAGAAAGGGCTTAACTGGTTGAATGAAGCTGAAATAGAAAAAAAAAAATGACTTGCTATGCCGAGTGATTTTCCAGTCTTTTCTTATATAACCAAAACGATAACTTATCACTGTCAGGTTAGATTAGGTTGGGTTTGATTGGATAGCGTAAAAGTGTAAACAAAGAGATCCGGTATATAATTTATTTCTGTAAATTTAATATTAAAAACAAAAACAAAAACGTAAATAAAAAAAAATGCCAATTGGTGAATTAATTTTCATATATTAAAGCAAAACTTCATTCACCGATAAAGAGAATTAATTGGCCAAAGGAATGTTTTTTTAGTAGGCATCGCTATGCTTTTACGAGGAAAAATATATAGCGTGAAAAATACCCTTTGACAGGTTGCTTTAACAAGTCTAGTGAAGGAGGCGAGGCTGAAGGTAAGAGAGAGAGAGAGAGAGAGAGAGAGAGAGAGAGAGAGAGATTTAGTTATTTCAGGATAAATATTATTCGTCTAACACCGTACACAATAGCTTAATTAAATGTGTTATTATGCTGCACTATTCCTGCAATCCACACAACAAACTTAAGTCTAACTAATATATGTATACTTATTTAACTACCACTCAATATAAATATGAAAACAAGCTCGAAGTAGGAAAAAAAGGAAAATGAGAAGAAATTCGCCATTAGGATAATTAAGAAAAAGGTGTTATGAAGACAAGAAAGTGGAGGAGAGTTAATTCAGTATTATGGTGAAGAAAATGACGATAAACAACAAAATTCCTTGAAATATTTATTCCTTGGCTAAAATACGTCTCAAAATAAGAGGCAAGGGACCGCAAACTTAAAATACGCCCCCGAAATTACCCAAACCCTAAAATACGACCCCCAAAAGGAGACAAGGGGATACAAACCTAAAACACGACCCCCCAAAAGGAGACAAGGGGCTACAAACCTAAAATACGACCCCCCAAAAGGAGACAAGGGGCTACAAACCTAAAATACGACCCCCAAAAGGACAAAGGGGTTTAAAAAAGCTAAATTACGACCCAAAACCAAAAGGGGTGAAGACTTGATGATAGAAAATGAGAACGAAGGAGAGGCTGGGTGGAGGATCAAGGGACATGAAGGAGGTCAATTTAATTCCCACTGCCTTTGCTGCCTTAAAAGCCTTGTCGGAACAAGAGCTTACGACCAATGAGAGAGAGAGAGAGAGAGAGAGAGTGAGAATGAAGAAGACCAGAGAGACGGGAGAGAAAGAGAGAGAGAAGGAATCTTTGGAAAAATCTTGTCTATGGTGATTTACCTCCTAACTGATGCTATAGAAACGTATCTAGTTAAAAGTTGCGTCTCCAGTGCAAATTTGATCTGTTTTCGGACGCTAATTTTACGCTTTATCAGCTATAGCCATGAGAATTAATAAAATTTTCACTTACGAGAAATATTTAATGGACGAAGCTATGAGAATCGATGTAGGCGGACACTGGAAACTTTCTCATGTTACAACACACTTTGGCGGGAAGGATTAGATGACGTCACCCCCCTCCCCCCAGACGATAAAACATTTTTTTTTACCCAACAAACATCTTTCAAATTTGATGGACTTTAATATCTTTTGAAATTGAGTTATTCTTGTGTGTTGTTGGGTTATTATATTTGGGGGTTGATTAAGGCAGCAACTATGTCCCAATGAGTATGGATGAATATTGGATAAAACTTCCTGTTGTATAAGTACAAACTTAGGACACACCAGCTCTTGTATATCCACGAACACATATTTCAGGGTAAAGAGCTTTGGTGGTAAAACTATCAGTGTTTTTTTTTGTCGCATCATTTTATGTTCTTTTGGCGGCAAAGTTTTTCTTGGACGGGATTTGTTTCTTGCGCGGGGTTTTGTCACGTTAGTTTGTTTTAATATCAGTTGCTTTTCGCGGCAAAATTTCCCGCGCGCGGGCTGGTGGTGGGCAGCTACCGGGCGGCGGCCACTCTTGCCAGCCAATCAATATCTAGTTGCCTGACGCCTGCCTCGACCACGGGTACAGTTCTCCTCTCCCACGGTTTCCCCTGCCCTTCCACCTCCCCCACGCTCTTCCACCTTTTCCACATTCCCTTTGTCCTCCGTTTGGCCAGTTGTTCCACTTTCTCCCATACTCAGAGAGCACCCCTATCCTCCCCCACACTCAACCAACGCCCCTTCCCTTTTCCCACAACCCCTTCCACCCCTACTCTCTCCCACACTGAACCAGCGCCCCCTCCCCTCTCCCCTTACACCCGCCCAGCTTGTAAACAGACTCGCATTCTTCTCCATTGGCATTATTAAGGTTATTAGGAAAAAACCTTTATTGGCAAAACACTGGCAGGTGACTTTTATGACGCACAGATGAGGTTATTGGTGTTTTATAAGGTGAAGTGTGTGTGTGTGTGTGAGAGGTCATGTAGGACAGTAGGAGTATACACAGGTAGCACTATGCCTGTGTATGAGTGAGTGTGTGTGTGTGTGTGTGTGTGTGTGTGTGTGTGTGTGAGAGATCATGTGTGGGACAGTAGGAGCATACACAGGTAGCACTATGCCTGTGTATAGTGAGGTGTGTGTGTGTGTGTGTGTGTGTGAGGATCATGTGGATAGGAGTATACACAGGTAGCACTATGCCTGTGTATGTGTGAGTGTGTGTGTGTGTGTGTGTGTGTGTGAGAGAGATGGGACAGTAGGAGTATACACAGGTAGCACTATGCCTGTGTTGGGTGTGTGTGAGTGTGTGTGTGAGAGGTCATGTGGACAGTAGGAGTATACACAGGTAGCACTATGCCTGTGTATGAGTGAGTGTGTGAGGTGTGTGTGTGTGTGTGTGAGAGGTCATGTGGGACAGTAGGGTATACACAGGTAGCACTATGCCTGTGTATGAGTGTGAGTGTGTGTGTGTGAGAGGTCATGTAGGACAGTAGGAGTATACACAGGTAGCACTATGCCTGTGTATGAGTGTGTGTGTGTGTGTGTGAGAGGTCATGTGGACAGTAGGAGTATACACAGGTAGCACTATGCCTGTGTATGAGTGAGTGTGTGTGTGTGTGTGTGTGTGTGTGTGAGAGGTCATGTAGGACAGTAGGAGTATACACAGGTAGCACTATGCCTGTGTGTGAGTGAGTGTGTGTGTGTGTGTGTGTGTGTGTGAGAGGTCATGTAGGACAGTAGGAGTATACACAGGTAGCACTATGCCTGTGTATGAGTGAGTGAGTGTGTGTGTGTGTGTGTGAGAGGTCATGTAGGACAGTAGGAGTATCCACAGGTAGCACTATGCCTGTGTATGAGTGAGTGTGTGTGTGTGTGTGTGTGTGTGTGTAAACAAGAAGCGTGTTTAGAGGCTCAAAAATCAGTATTCATGCCAAGGTTCGCCCCTCCCCCCTCCTTGTAGTCCTCAGAATCTAACCCCCACAGTTCTGAATATTGACGAATTTATCTTACCAACGGGTCATATAATATTGTCTTTATCACTGGTTTTTCCTTTTGTATTTTCTGTTTTCGTTAACCTACAAAGAAAATGGGTCAATACACAGCCAGGGAGGGAGAGAGGGAGGCCAGGGAGAGGGTGACAAGGGATTGGTGTAGGCGGTAGCTGGTACACGTGGCGGCTGTGAGTCAGAATTGGGACACTCACAGGGAAATACACCATCATCATAACTCAAAGACCATAACATTACGAAACTTGGGGATTTTTTCTTTGGGGGAGAAGGGAAACATCAACATACGGATCTCCACAACACGACCTCTACAACACGATAACAGTAAGGGTATCTAGTGAGGTGCTCCAGTCTTGTTTACATCTCATTACGTCACACAATCAACAAGTGTCAACAGCAGCACCAACACAGCAGCTTTCAGTATGAACATATATTGACTTAGTATTAAAACTCAACTGGTATACAACTCTAATAGGCAACCCAGCTTATTTCACCAGATGGTTAAACACCCTGATGCTAACCTAACCTAACCTAACCTAACCAGGTGTTTAATTATCGGGTGAAATAAGTAAGAGTGTCTAATCTTCAGGTGATCCTTTTAAGGCTAATATAAGTTTCCTGGTGAACATTTAGGTTAGGTTAGGTTAGGTTAGGTTAGGTTAGGTTAGGTTAGGTTAGGTTAGGTTAGCATTAGGGTGTGTAATCATAAGGAGAAATAACCAGGAGTGTCTAATCTTCAGGTGATATTTTTTATAGCTAATTTAAGCTTCCTGGTAAATATATATAAAGGTGACGTCAGAGTGATACAGTGTACTACAGTACTTACCACCAGAGACTCGTCGTTCACCTGTAGCAGTATGTCACCACGCTGTAGTCGACCATCCAACCACGCTGGTCCGCCCTCTGCCACCCCCTCCACCACCACACAGCCCTGCAACCATACCATGAAGGATTTACACTAGCCACACTACTACTACCACATAACCATACCAGCAGTTTTCAGAACCACACCCTCAACCACACGTCTTCTTGATCTCATAAATAAACAAAATAAAAAGAATGGCGTAAATCGTGTGTGTGTGTGTGTGTGTATGTGTGTGTGTGTGTGTATGTGTGTGTGTGTGCGCGTGTGTGTGTGTGTGTATCATATTTTGTTCGTAAGTTTATGTGTCGCTGTTTATGCATGTATCTATACGTGTGCTTTTATGTATGTATGTATATATGTATGTATGTACTGTATGTATTGTTTATATGTATGTATGTATGTATGTATGTACGCATGTTTGTATGTATGTATGTATGCAAACTCGGGGGATTACACACATCAAAGTCCGCGTGTGTGTCGTGAATCTCTTGAACTAACCCAGCCATCAAGCCGCCTCAGAACACGTTAATTAAGATGCCACTCAAAGATGCACTACTAAGGGAGTGTGTGGGAGGAGGGAGGCAAGGTAGGAGTGTGTGGGAGGAGGGAGGCAAGGTAGGAGTGTGGGAGAGGAGGGAGGCAGGAGTGTGTGCTGCGGAAGGAGCGGTGGGGTGAGGGAGTGTAGAGAGAGAGAGGAGAGAGAGAGCCATACATCACCAAACGGAGCGGAAAATCAGGGTGTTTCTCGCCTAAGGTGAAGACGACCTTCCTGTGTGCACGACAGACAACACACTCTTGGTCGTGTGTGTGTGTGTGTGTGTGTGTGTGTGTGTGGTGTGTGTGTGTGTGTGTGTCCCTGTATCTGTGCTTCATATACCTATAATTTTAATCTCTACCTGAACTAACATCTCAATCTGTACCTGTATGCCACCTGAAATGTTGTTTATATTGGTAAACTAACCTAACCTAACTTTAAGACAACTAACTGGAATAATTCTGTCCAAGATGAGGAATTGTCCGAAAAAATAAAATAAAATAAAATAACCAGGGATTATATTTTGTCCACACGACCTCCCCTTGTGCCGGAGAACAAGCGCCCGGCGGAGTGAAGAAGCCTAACGTGACCTATTAATTAATATTCTAGGGACGTTTTTTTTTTCTTTGTGAGTCAGGTGACGATCGTGAGCCATTCAGTGAGGTGGTAGTCGTAGTGAGGAAACTATTGTCTTCACTAATTAATATATATTTTCTTCTTGTTCTTCTTATTACACATACAGGCATACACAAATAGAGAGAGAGAGAGAGAGAGAGAGAGAGAGAGAGAGAGAGTTGCATTGAATCATTACTCCTGAAACAGATGAGAAAGAGAGAAAAAACAGTTATATGACCCACCAAGTAGGTGTCGACGCCGCCCACTACAGAGATCCCTATTTCATGGGTGGTCGGTTCCTTGCGCAGTACGACAACCGTCTCTACCAGGTCCTCCACAGCGCTGAGAGGCACTGCCGGATGTAAAAACATAGACACACGTTTACATTTGACACATCTAACACATAATAAATACTAAAGAGATTCAATAATATGTAATAAAATATATCAAGGTAATATTTATTTAATGTTTATAGGAATTTAAAAGGAGTTAATTGTACAGTACGTTAGAAACAAGAGAATGCAGCCTGACAGTCGATCGTCATATTACGTTCTAACAAATAATATATCCAAATTACGAACAACTGAGAAATGACAATAATTCTTACACCTGGACGTTCGTGTCACATAAATAATTCGTAAATTACCCGAACCCTCACTTGAGTCACTTTAGTGAGAGTTTAATTTGTACAGAATTAAGTGTAGCTTCACGTCACGGTTCAAGGTTTTCCACTCCGCGTAAAGTGATCTTCAAATTTTTCTCGCTATTATTAAACATGAAAGTCCATTATTTGTTTTCCTTTCTCTTTTATTTTTGTATTACAGAGCGTCGTCAGAGATCGTGTTAGTATAGAGAAAAACGGGGTATTATTATTATTACAGCATTTTTGTTTTTTGTGTAAATAGATGTTACCTTATTATTATTATTATTATCTATTAGTTGATATCTTCTGTATTATGTAACTCACTCTACTCTCTTGATTACGTTACAATAACCACTTTGGAATTATTGTACCTGTATATACCTTTAACTGTAACCTGTAATTGTAACTGTACCTGTTAATTGCAACTATATCCCCACTTCCAACTGCATTAACTCATTCTAACACTGGAGTTAACTTATCATTTGCCTCACTTCGTATATACAGTATATATATAGCAATCCTTCACTCGGTTAATCTTCCCTGTGAGCATTAAAAAAAATTAACATCGGGTGTTGTAAGTCAAGTTAAAAATGGACAGTATATTTATAACTCAAACTTTTCTGGTAAATGTAAAAATTACTTCCATGAAAGGCTATTGTTGACGAGTTATTTATTTTAGTTAGGTTATAAACGCTCGGGGTATTTTTCTTGTGTGGAGGGGGGTGGGGGGGGAGAGGAGGATGGACTGTAATAGGTAAACCAACCCTTTAAAATAAGACACATATGGTATAGGTAAGACACATAGAAGACAGGTAAGACACATAGGAGACAGGTAAGACACATAGGAGACAGGTAAGACACATAGGAGACAGGTAAGACACATAGGAAATACACACACACAGGTCAGATGCAGGTAAGGCACAGGAGACACACAGGTGAGACACAGGTAAGACACACATACAGGTAAAACACATAGGAGACACACATGTAAAACACATAGGAAACACACAGGTAAGACACATAGGAGACACACAGGTCAGCACACGTTGGATCAATACATTGTATCATTTTACGACACACTGTTTTCAAAGGTCAAAAGTCACCGGTATAAGATCCTGAAGAGTTCACGATATGTGACGTGTAGCAGCCGCCGACTTGTGTGTGTGTGTAACTGTGAATCTTGTACAACGGAAACGTTTATTATTATTATTATTATTATTATTACTATTCAACGAAGTGGCTTATCCGTATGTTTAAATGCCTAGCCTTTCAGCGTCCATTATTAGTTCAACCAATTGTTCGAGGTTCTGTATAAAATAATATATAAATTTTCTTAATCTGTCCTCAAAATATATATAAAACTATTCTTATTATATTGAGTTGTTCATTTTATAATATATTCTCACAACCAGATATATATATATATATAGTGTATGGTTTTGTTTATTTATATAATGTATTCGACAACACTAGCGGGTGGTGGGCGGTTAGTTTCACAACACAAGCGGCGTCCCACTGTTACCTGCCACCAAGCTTTACTGTCTGGATATGCATTTCTACGCTTCTATTTCTAGTTAAAATTTCACATAAACATCAGAAAATAATAACGATAGGTCTCCAATAGTTTATAGACATTAACCCATATATACCCAATGGCCGTTTGACCTTTTAGAACATTTTGTGGTGACGGGTGAGGAAGATAAATAGTCAAGAGGACAAATTCGCTCATGATAATAATTACGTAGTTTAACATTACACGTATTTAATCAGATCCGCTATGTATAGACACAGAGTATTAATACTTTTGTCCCCAACATCCCAGAAGCGGCAAACTATGACGTCACGCATCACAACAATCTGAGACCAGTTGGTTATAAGTTACAGTGTGGGAAGCGTAGGCCTACCAGAAATATAGAATTATCGGGTAACAAAGTCTGGTGACATTATTATAGTATTTAATGACTCATTAATCATATTTTCCCCTTCAGTTATGTCAGTTACGCTGTCAAATATCTCGACTTGAGGTCAGCCAACATGGCGGCATCTGTTCAATAAGATATAATCGTATTAAACAGGACATTTCCCTATATCTAGAATGTATTATTAGTATTGTGATCGCTATTTCTCGCTACGGTCGGCCCGCTAACCCTTGCCAGATGACCTTTCGTGTCCAGGGTGAGCGTAGCGGAGCGTTATGTTTCCCCTGGTGTAGGGCTCATAACAGCGGCATCACTTACAAATTAATATTGGAGGATAACTTTCTCTTTAATTCTATACCATATCTTTCTTTAAGTTCTCTCTCTTTCTTTTTATCTCATTTCCTTGTACTTCTCTCTTCCTCTCTTTCTATCGATCTACCTGCTTTTACTGCAATCTCTCTCTCTCTCTCTCTCTCTCTCTCTCTCTCTCTCTCTTGTTTTCTCTCACTTTGCCTCCTTTCTCAGTTTACAGTTCTTTAATCTATCTATCTATGGGTCTCAATCTATCAATCTCTAACTCGATCTATATATCATTATCTATATATTTACCCCCTCCTCGTCTCTTTTCCTCCCTCCCTCTTCCACTATCTCTCTCTTTCCCTCTCTTTCTACCTGTGTTTCTCTATCTCCTTGTGAATCTCTTCTCTCTTTCCCTCTCCCGCCTTCTTTTCCTCCTACCCCCTCCCTTCCTTTCTCCTTCTCTCACCTTTTCCCTACTTTCTATTTTTCTATCTCGCCTTCCTTCCGTCTCCCTTTCTCTCTTCCTTCCATCCCTATCCTCTTTCTCTCTTTGTCCCTCTCTCTTTCCCCGTCCCTCCCCTCTCCTCTCTCTCCTTCCCTGCCCCCCTCTCTCTCCGTCCCCCTCACTCTCAGAGGTGACCTTAAAATAACCCTCACCAACGCTCCGTCAAACTCCGGGTGACTTACATAATAACACAATAACAGTAATGGGAGTAGGACAGATTACCCCCCTTCCCCTCCCCTCCCCTTCCACCCCCTCCCATAATCTCAAGAGGTCGTAAGGTATTTTTCCCTTAATTGGGGTTAAGAATATGAACTATATGTAGATTCTTAAAAGTTCGCAAGTTAATTTCTGATTTAATTTCCTCTATACTCTTAAATAATCTTCAACTACGTTCCCTTCCTTTCTTTTCCTTTAATTCCCGTATTTCAGTAGGTTAATTTCCCCTCCTTCCAATTTTTTCTAATTCTCAAAATAATGTTAGTAATGTTTATTTGTTTTCTTAAGAGTCCCCCGACACACACGGCTGTCTCCCCCTCTGCCATAGATAAAGTGAAGGAAATCATCACACACGACTCAAGAAGCTATCAAAATTCAAGAGCTGTAAATAAGGTAATGTTTTTGCTCAACAAACCAAATTCTAAAAATAAGTTTCTTATTTCAGTCTTCCGCCTCAAAAAAATGTGTTCTGCATAATACGGACATATATTCTGTGTTATAGGGTGATATATACTCTATGATATATGGTAATAACATGACCGGAGAGACGGAAAACATTGGCGTGGCAATATCCCGGCGGCAACTCTAGTCCCTTTAATCTCTCTCGCGTTGAGATATTTTTCAAAACGGCTTCCATTTTCTATGACGGGGAGCGCTGGAGGGGAGAGGGGGGGGGGGACTATAAAGAACTTGTGGTGGCCTCACTCCGCTGGGACGCCGCGGATGTGTTGCGTTCATTTATTTATCTTCTTCGTCAGTCGTCACCCCACTAGCCGGTCGGGCAGTCGGTCAGATATCTGTGGCACACTGTTGGCAGCAGGTACTGGAATGACTGGATATGTAGAGACTGATGAATGTGCTTGAACATATTCTGGATCTAGAGTATAACGAGGTCTCTGAACTAGCCTCAGCAGGGTCCCCATTACTGCTAGATTATTCCACGAGCAATTTACTTTGTTTACCTGGTGGCCGCGTATCTGGAGATAACCCGCAACGGATTAACCCTTTGAGGACGATGGTTTAAGCTTTAAACCTTTGAAGACGATGGTTTAAGCTTTAACCCTTTGAGGACGATGGTTTAAGCTCCTAGTCTTCAAGAATTATAATCTACACTATAATCATTAAAGGACACATACAAACGCACATTCAGTCACATATAAACGCACATAACACACGAACCTTCCCTCGTAACACTCGCCAATAAGATGTTTATCACAGGCTTCAACATCCCCGTCAACAACAATTAAAGGGGTCAAGGCGCTGCCCCGTGTGTAGAAAACAACTTAATGGGGATTCTGGGCTTCTGGGGTCACTTATATTTGTTGCTGTCATAAAACTCGGCCACTGATCAAATTGACTTACGCTAAAGAATATTATTATTATTATTTTGCACTGTGCTGCTTTTCATACGAGTCTTATAAAATGAGAAATTAAGTATCTCTTGCAGTGAGTAATTTTTCATGTCGGTCTAGTTCACACACAAACGTAATTAATAACACACTTCCTTTTCCTATTTCTGTTTCATCCTTTTGTGAATGTAAACATTAATCAGTAGCAGGGTTCCCACACACGATATAATTTTCCTTTCCATGAGTTTTCCATTATATTTTCCCCAATTCACTGATCTTCCATGACCAAAATGTTTAATGTACATTGTGCTAACTTATTAAATTATATTACTGTCAACTGAGAAAATGGCATCCTCCTCCCCTCCTGACAGCCAACCTATCCACCTACTTCAATATGCATTAAATTCAGTTATATATTTATTAGTAAGCTCCCCAATATATATAAACTATAACTCAGTAACTGCGAATATTGTTACCAATTTTATAACCGAAAAGGCTTTTGTTCGTCTTGGTCGTCGTCATAAGGGAACTGACCTCAGTATATTATGTTCTAATCCATAAATTATGCGTAAAAGATTGACGCTCACAGTAAATTTTTCATTTTTCACTCTATTTCCAAGACTGGTAAATTTATCAAAATTGTCCATGACATTTCCACGACTTTGAATGACCGTGGGAACCTTGCATTAAGCTATGAGTTAATTTTGACTTTCATTTTTGTTACTCGTTGCTTTTCATGTTTTATAAAATCAAAATCTTGCCACCTCAAAATTCTGGTTTGTTTATCTTTTCGGTTTAGTTTTATAAATAATAATAGTACAATTCTTTAAACTTTGCTTTTAATGTGTGTTACTGTCGGCCGCAGCTTTTCATTTAAATTCTCTAAACAAACGTATTTATATTCCATGAATTTATAATTGTAAACTTTATTGCTATTTTTTTCCCTTGCATAAACCACCAGGATTAAAAGCAGCGTAATTTTTTCCTTTAATATGGAAAAATTGTCGTTATAAGGAATTGTTTACACATTAGACAAAATTCCCTCGACTCTTGGTGACACGTGTAAGGCTAATATCACATCGTTTTTAATTTTCTCTGTAAATACAGAATATTATTTTTTTAATTTTATATATAACTATTAATCTTTGTGTTTTTATCTTACCTATGAATTTACTGAAACATTTACGTCACTTTTGTCTTATAAATATACTTTTGGGCGCTAACGAACGAGTAGACAAACTTTCATGACGTCACAGGGCCTTGTGTTAAGTATGATTCCATTCACGCGTTTGCGTTTCCAATCGCTACAGGGAGCAATTGGCATATACTGCAAACGCATAACGCTAACGCAAACGTGCCAATGGAAACAACCGTGTACATTTGAATGTGATCTATTTTTGGCGCTAACGCGTAAATGGAATCCTAGCTTCATGCGCATTTGTATTACACGATAAATTAGCAACGAAAAACATAAATAAAGTCTTCATGCCGTTTGAAGAAGGTAACAACATCATTAAGCGCCTTATAAATGGTAAAATTATAATTGAAAAAATAAATATTGAAAAAATAAATGAGTGTGGGGTTTAAACCTTGAGTGAGGATGTTTAGGTGTAATGTTAAATGGAAGGTGAGAGAGAGAGAGAGAGAGAGAGAGAGAGACACTCACCAGTAGGGGTACAGGAGCGAGAGCTGCCTTCCTCCCCTGACAGCAACTCGGTCCGTTCTTGAAGACTCATACTGATGAATTCTCTCACTCGTACTTCTCTTGTGGCACCTGAGACCTTATGGCATCTCTGTTCTGGCACCTGGGACCTTATGGCACATCTTTTGTGGCATCCGGGACCTTATGGCACCTCTGCTGTAGCACATGGGACCTTATGGCACCTCTATTGTAGCACCCGAGACCTTATGGCACCTCTGTCGACAATGGCACCTTCACCTGCAGCTGGCACCTTCCTTCAGCTGGTCAACAAACGCCTCCTTCCTCTAATCCGTCCTCACAACACTGCCGGCGAGAGAGACACTGATAAAAAAGGAAATACAAAAAGATGAAGAAGATTAAGAACAGAGAAGCAAGAGAAAGATGGAGAGAAAGAGAGAGAAAACTAAGAGAAGCAGATTAAAGGAGAGAGAGAGAGAGAGAGAGAGAGAGAGAGAGAGAGAGAGAGAGAGAGAGAGAACAATGTTTGACAATAAGCGTCCTGTTAACCTGTTGCTTTTGGATCACTGAAGGAAAAAAAAATACAATGAAAATAAATACAGATCCGTGTGTGTGTGTGTGTTTTCGTCTGTGATTGTTTCTGTGAATGTATACGATATATTTGCCAGTCTGTCAGTGAAGGTGTGTGTATGTGTGTGTGTTTATGTGTGTATAAGTGTTTGTGAGGATCTGACTGCCATAAAGAACTGTGGCAAACGGCTGAAGGTAGACGCAGATTAAGAAACTCAGCGGAAGGTACAACTAAATTCATTTTCGCTCCACAACAGCAAAAGGAAATTGAATTTCTTCGCGACTAACTTCAACATTATCGCCATCCCAGTGCTGCCAGACTACCTCCCCCTACCCTTTATCTCCCTCCCCTACCCCCCCCCCTTTCTCTTTCCCTTCACTACCCACTCCCTATTTCCCTTTCTCTCCACTTCTTTCTCTCTCCCCCTACCCTCCTCTCTCCCTCTTTCTCTCATTTAATCTGCTTCTTTTTCTTTTTCTCTCTAGTTGTTAATTTGCTCCCCTTTAACTTTTGTCTTCTCTTTTTCTTTCTCCTCATTTTACTTATCTCTGTCTCTGTCTTCTTTCATGGTAAACATTCTATCGACTGTCTGTGGGTTAAAGGCTAAGAGAAGCGACATACAACTCGGGAGTCCCCACGATCGATTCCCACTTCCTTTATGTCAGCTGGTGATATATGAGACCATCTTGAGTGAGTGTGTGTGTGTGTGTATGTGTGTGTGTGTGTGTGCAGGACGACCAGAGGACTATACCATACTAGCCTCTAACCATGGACTACCACCACTACCATATACTAACCTACCATGGACTATACCATACTCTACCTCAACAACATGTCCCAAGTCCGCTACTTAGGGTACACGTGAGACCATCAAGGTAGGAAAATTAATCAAAGGTGTCTCTTACCTGGAAATGGTGATGCGGGGAGGGAGGTGGTGGTGGGAGGAGGAAGGTGGTGATGGGGGAGAGGTGAGATGAGGATGAAGAAGGGGAGGTAGTGGTGGAAGAGGGATTGGGAGGGAGGTGATGACAACAGACATAACAACACAACATATCAATCTTCAGTTATATTTAGATAAAGCTAATCCGTGTAGTCTATTGCCACATAAATTACATCACCCGAGACAAAGAAAAGGTTAAATTTAAATATTATCGGTTGGGTTTAGGTTTAAAGAGGTCATGACAAAAATTCAAATACTGTTTTAGCCTCATAGCCTCCTTAGTAAACCATCAGACCTAGAGAGGATGGCTGCTGCTGTAACCTCAACCAGATTATAATTTAATCAGACAGCGAGATATAATCAGTAATGGTCTAATACTACCCGTGATGAGGTATTAGGCTATGAAGATGGATGCTGTCATTAGTTTGTGCTCGCGTGTGTTGATAGGAATGTAGAAATAAACATATAACGTACATAAATAATACGTACCCAATATCTTAAAAAAAATGGTTAGAAAATACCGCTAAACAGATAGGATTTACCCGCCAGAATAATCGTCCCTTCCCCCTCAAGGTCACAACACCAGATTTAATTTTCTGAGATTTATTACCAGCTGTTATTGAAAAACAAGTTGTGTGGGTAATATTAGAATTCCTTGATGTGAGAATAATTATTACGTTACATCCCTGCTGGTGAAATACATTAACATCTTGTAGAATATATTAGAAAAAAAAACTATTGTCCGATAAATCATACAAGTAAAAACACAAATTGGTTATGAATTTTCGGCATATTATCTGGGTCAGTGAGTCAGTAATATGTATAGTGTCATCAGTGAAAATTAAGTGCTGTACAATATTGCAACGTAACCCATAAAAATACAATAACCATATACTTTTATTGATGTAATTGTATTGAAAATGTTAACGCATCGTATTGTTCTTTTTTTATGTATTACGAACAACAAGAATGGCGTTTACAGTTGAAAAAAAATATTTATTGCCGAAAGTTATGGGACAACAAACAGCACAGTAAATAAAATATAATACAGAGAGATATATGACAACACATGCAACATCAAGTTTATTTGTGTGAAGAACAAAAACCGTTCAACACTCCCAGCAATTAATGTCACTTAAATAAATATAATGTTAGTTCTGTAGGTTGTGTTATTAATTAAACACCCTGCATTTCACTACCTATACTTATATTCAATTAAAATATAGTGCAGCGTATTTTATAATAATCTAACCTCGTAGTAGGCAGCTATCAAACAGGGAGGTACTACCACCTGGGAAGATATTTAAAGCACAATTTGTTGTCTAATGGTAGACCCTGCTGCCACATGGCATCACAAAAATTGTGACCAAGTCCCAGGTTGCTGACTTTCTGCGACATTTACACACAATTGGGTCTCAATTGTTTCTCTTAATTTTTACAACACAACATACATATATTGTTTCTCACAATTGATTTTTTTTTCATTTTAGTATTTCTTTATGGTTCTTTATTATTATTATTATTATTAGTGTTGTTATTATTATTATATTTTCAATTTTGTATTATAAATTTTATTTACTTTGAACTAATTATTACATTCCCCCCCTCCCCCCGGTCCCGATGTGGGTCAGTGACCTGTGCCCGGTTGGGCTAATCCTGAAATAAAAAATAAATAAATAAAATGCTCACGGCACACTGTACGGAGATTGTCTAATTTACAAACACTTCCGGTTATGTATGTGAGTGTGCGTAAAAACAAACGCATTCATTCGGTGACGTTTCAACACCATTATCACCATTGTTATTGTTTTTTATAATTGGTATGTAATGTATTAACCCAACCGTGTATAATTGGCTTCTTTATTAACCTATTTTTCTTTTTATTGAGTTCAGGGTTTCTGCTACGTTTCCTGAGGAGAATGAACTGCATATAATACAGTATATTGCTTTGTCTTAGTAGGATTAGAGAGTCTGGGAATCCTGGGGCACTAATGCTCTCAAGTTCCTTAATAAACTGGATCCCAGACTCATTGAAACTACCAGAGACAACAGAGCAGCGAGCGATACTTGTTGCAGCCATCCATTGGACAAGCCAGAAATCATAGAAAATGGGCTTTGGTGTTGTCGAGAAAATGTTTATTTGTTTATCGGTAACTCAAGTATTTCCTGTTGGTTTTACTTTCGGTTGCATCAACATTTATTTAATTATATTTTTATTATTATTTATCATTTCACCATTTATCACTTTATTAGTGTGCATGTAAAGTGAAATAAATAAACACTTAAATTATTAAAAACAATAAATTGGGTCTGGTAGTAGACAATATCTACCCAGAGACTAGGACAAATAAAATCAGTCTTCTGTGAACGATCTTATTCTCTTCTCTGAACCGAAGAGCCTCCTAAATATATGCAACCAGTGGGGGTAGGTGCCCCTATCCATGGAGATGCGAGTGCTCCCCAGAAGTGTCCCGAAGGTGAAAAAAACACTCCCAATGGTGGAACCCTTCATCAAAAACAAGTTTAAATGGGGGGGGATGACCCCACAGAAGCCAATCTCCCACTTATGTGTACTGGCGATATTGATGTAGTTTAGATAATAGTGTAGGTGATGAAATGAAGATAATAATGTTGTGGACGAAGTGTAAATTATAGTGTAGTGAATACAGGTGATAGTGCAGTCGCGGACACATTTACTATACAACACAATGTAGTACAAATACAGGGCAATTCTAATACGCTAAAATACAATATAAACATGAGGTCACAGGTTAATAAAGTGTTAACTTACATGAATAAATTCTTCGTTGACAACTTGGTACAGTAAAATAACTAACACGCGACTGTTGAAGGAACAACGGTGCTCACTTGATACAAACTTTAATTTTCTAAATGGACGAGCTCAGAAATGTCATTTAAATTAGATAAAGTACGAGTGAACACAAGTCACTGGGATAGTGAGTGTGTGTGTGCGCTGATTGAAATTTATACGTAGTCCAGGGCAAGAGCACATCTTCAAATCTTACATATTCATAAATCCTTTCATGAATTCACTGTCCACACGCAATGTTCAACATACAATTCTGCTGCAAATTCTATTATAACAGACATGGTCAAATATATTCTAAATAATACAGAACGAGAGTTGGAGCGGTAAGCAGGTGGTGTGGCAGGTGAGAGAGGACGAGACAAACGTCTCCCCTCCACAACGTGGCGCGAGAGACTGACCCAGAGCCAGACCTGGCAGACCAGCAGGTGCCTCCCACGCATTGTTGCCACACCTGCAACACACACGGTACCTCCTTTCGACTGCATAGTGTGGGTCAGGGAAGTTATCTATAGTATAGTATATCAATAGGTAGTGTATAGAAAATTGCCTACCTTTATCGAGTAAACAGAACACCATAAGGGTAGAACTCAGTAACCGAAGGTAAAGTATTTTTTATTCCCACGTGGATGATAATTGATGCAGGTAATGTATATATCTTTAGCAGTCAGGACGAAAATTAAATTTACTTATAAAGAAGTTAATGAATATTTAGATAAGAAATCACTTCTGCGAGCAATCAGACCTCGGATCAAGTTGTACGAATAACTACACGGAAAATATTAATAATACAGAGCACTGGACTATAAACACGACATGCCAAGTATTATACGTATATATATTCAAAGAACATAATAAGCTGAAAAACCTGCCCAAAATAATTCATGTCTCCTACCCAAGCTCAGCCTTATATAAATGACACCATAATAGCTTTCCTCTCACGAACATCATACGACCAAGAAGTAAATGAATTTCACCAAATTTCCTTTAACTTCTTAACATTATCATCCCAAAAAGGTTCGCAAGATCAATATTCCTCGTAAATTATTTTTTTCTTCTGGCAGTTGCTCAGTGGACTTGTCTAGTTAAGGAATAATCTCTGTTATTTCGATTTAATAGTGGAAGTCATATGTTGTGCTTCAACTTCGGTCAAATAGTTATGTTCATTTTCACCTTTCACACTCTACCTAAGTGGGTTCGACAAGTTAATGAGACCTACTTTTACTGGAGGAATATTATTGTAGTAGTAGTAGCAACACTAGTAGAATTATTATTAGTGGTAGAGGTAGTAATTACAGTATAGCTATTAACCCTCGATAAGTTACGCCATCTCTTGAAAACGGGTCGATGATTTTTTTCATGTATTTCTCTATGTGTGTGTTTTCATAAGTTACTTTACCTCAGTGTACTAAATCAACAACTGAATCACGTGGATTAACGGTACTAGCCAAGTGTAATTTAGTCATTATTCACCTTGGGGGTTGAGGAGCTGTCATTATAATATCAACAGAAATAAAACGTTGTTGACACTACGAGGAAACGTAACAAAACACAGGAGGCCACGAGACGGTTATTACGATACACACCCAAGATGACATCCATTATCATAAAAATATAATAAATAAACAAGGTGGGGTCCAATAAAAGAAGTTCTGTGTTATTATGGTTACAAAAAATATAAAATGGCCGACATAATGGTTACCCCTTCCCTTCTCCCGCCATGAACGGACAAGTCAAACCGGTTTATTACCGTAAATTAAACCTTTACCTACACTGACAGAATATTTGCATATGTTTATACTAATGTATCTTTGATAGTGCTAATAGTTACTCCATCATCAATTCTATATATTTTTCTTTACATGTCTTCCGTACAGTTGGACTATTTACCTTTTCTTTATATGAGTCAGTTATCCTTAGGCAGCAGACATTCCACAACTCGTAATTACTTATGGTTCGCTGTTTACTTGTGAGTCTTCTTACACTTGATTTACCACTGCTTGTGGCTGGTCAGGGCCAGGGGACGGATTCTCAGGAAACAGTTTTCATGTACCCCGCTGACCTGTGGCCGCGGCCATGTGTCACGATTCCCTGCACATTAAAGGTTGATCTAATAAATTCCATAGGTGCATTAGGAAACGATGAAAATATGTAATGAAAGACACCATTTTTTTATTTTTGGTCGAAATTCACTAAACTTGATTACTTATATATAGTTTTGTATTCTACATGTAAATATATAAATATTATTATTGTGCACTGATTATTCGAGCTTGGCGTCTAACAGTCTGACAACTGTTATTTGAACTATTTCCTGGTGACTCATGACCATAACAGCGGAAACGGTAAGAACATGTAAAAAAAATAATATATACTAAATTATTAATCAATTTTTATTGTTCCTAAAAACTGGTAATAGAGTTTAGAGGAGAAAGGAATACTAAGACCTACAGAAATTAAATTGATACCCGCGGTTGTGATCCTTCACGTAGCAACCAATCACAAGCAACTATGGGTGTGACGTCACATAATTCTAAATTTCATATTTTAGCGAATATTATCTAAGTAGAGGACTGTCAGGTTGAAATAGAATCTTGTAATTGAAGATATTTACCTAACGTTAAAAATGGGTGTGTTGTCGTGGTAAAGTTAGTATTATAAAACGCTAAAGTAAGATCCTGGTAAGTGGCAGGGACGCGCAGGCAACATGGGCCATAGCGAGCAGCTGATCTGCGGCCACAAAGCAGAGAGATGATGCGTATATCAGTATTTCTGGGCTTGTGAGCTTTTACTCGTGACCATTGAACTTGAAACTCGCTATAATGCAACAACAAAGTATCTCTCGACTGAGTGGGTGACTGAAAATCGAAATGCCCAGGACAGTGGCTTTATATAACGGTGATAACAATGCAATAGGTATAGAGGACTGTGTGGTGGCAGTCGGGAGGATTGACGGGGTGACAGCGGTGAGGGGAGGAGGACGTCCTCGTGATAAAGTGGTGACATCTTCTATGACGACCTCAGAGGCCAACGACAATAAGCTGGCCATGGCGGTAGAATTTGACCACATGTACACTGGATGCTCGGACTCAAAGGCTTCCATTGGAAAAGATATCGAAGTTCAACACCTCAAAGATCTCCTCTTGCTGCACTTAGATTTAATACAGCAGCAATCTGAACAATTAGTGGCCAAGGACAAACAGATTAAGACTCTCAGGGACGAAAATGAAAACGTGAGTTATGATTTATAATTACATTTGTCAATTTCTTAAATATTCATGTAGTGTTGATGTAACCCAGTGATTTTGTGTACATTTAGGCGTAATTTATGTTATTTACTTAACTACAAGGTCAAACGATAACCCAAGTCAAAGTTCAGGATCCAAAGAGATGACTTTATTGATTCATTTCAGACGTCAAGGTAAATTTGTGTTGATTGTTATGAGGAGAGGTCGCCATGCCAGCCATCATGGCCGTTGAGCGTAGTAGTAGTAGCAGCCGAGGTCAAGCGAGCCTCCCACACACACATTATTCTTATTTATCACCTCACATATTTTAACCCAACACCTGTCTAACATATTAATCTCATCTATTAATCTTAATACACGTTAATGATAGATAATTAGTGAAAATAATAGGAAGTTTAGTGGATAATACAGACGGTGAGTTTGTTGGTGTTGTGATCATGAATGGCGGGAAAGAGTCAGCTGATTGTGATGGACGGTCCTTGGCGACCACCATGTCTTATATTTTTTCTCTCTCTTAGCTTATGAACGGCAGGGCATGCTATCTATGCCTCAGATTCGGTTAAAAAATAAATTTACTGAATTACTGTTAAAGTTTTAATAGTTGACATGGCTCTCAAAGCCAAGAATAGAGTAATAAAAATTAGCTAGAGATGGGGGGACCGGCTGAGATAGATATAAAATGATTTGTATTTTTTTTATTTTTGTTAGTAAACATGATTATGTTTAACTCAGTACATTTCTTTAAAGATTTATACTTGTAACTGTATTCTTTTAAGAGTTCATAATTGTTATTGAACTGAATTAATTACCAAATAACAGGTGATCTTATGAGAGGTGAAGATTAGATTTTGAAGTGCATTGTTAGATTTCAAGCAATTTTCAGACATGAGTTTTATTATAATAATTTATATAGTATGGGAGATAATTTGGCCAAGGTTAGGTAAGGTTTTTCACTTTACTTCCGAAACTTTAATTAAATATACTGTATAAAAATGGGGTAAATTTTTACAAGGAAGAATTCAATGCTTGTGTATTATTCTCTTATGACACCCCCTCCATTACCTTATTAGTTTTATAGTGTAAAATAAAGCACTTTAAAAAAAAACATTTATCCTATATATTTAAATCCCACAATAGTAAACTGTAATGGTAGTTTATTTTACTTAGGTTTGACTGAATTTTTATTATTTAAAGAGATTATCAATTTTATTTTCTAATTAGTCAAAACCAGGTGATATAAAAAATTAATGTGTCAAGTTTCACAATTTACTTGAGCAACTTTTTAATTGTTACTTGCATTTACTGTTAAAACCTTGTACAGTGTTACAGTATATTATTTTCCGAAGACTCTCCATATTAATACTTATACTGTAGTGGTAATTTGTCAGTTTAAAAATGTTCAAATGTTTCCTAATAGGACTACAGTAGCTACCTGGTATTCTAATTTACTACAATGAATCTCCAGTTCGTCTTGTGTTACTTTTAAGGTTAATTTAGTTTGGAAAAAAGGAAATTATACTAAATTTATTCACAATGTATTTAAAATGTGATAAAGTTTGAATTTCTATTTTTATCATAAACATATTTGTTTTACTATTTTTCTACTAAAATTGTAATGCATAATGGCTAAAGAATATTGCGTAATTTATCAAAATTGGCCAAAATAGACTGGTGCTGCTTCACAACATGTTTCTGATTATATATATATATATATATATATATATATATATATATATATATATATATATATATATATATATATATATATATATATATATATATATATATATATATATATATATATACACTCTGTACTTTAATCACTTTTCACTTTGTGCAACACTCTTCCTCTACAATTTTAAATCCCGAACAAAGTGATCAGGGCTTTGAAACAAGAACCCTCTTCCTTTAATGCTTTAACCTTCCTTGTACAACATTGGATATTGATTGTGAATTAATTTTCTTACAGTTGCGGGCCAAATTGGAGCGTATGGACAGGAGGGTCTGCCTCAGTTTACATAAAAGGCCAAGTGAAGCTTCCACCAACACAGAGAATGTGGTTGAAAAAATACCCGAGGTGACATCAGTGAAGCAGACCAAGTCAGAGTTCCCGTCTGATAAGCCTGACAGTACTGAGGCCCCTCTCAATAAAACTCCGCCTTCATCTATCACCAGTAAAACCGGGTCTCCCACAATTAAAACATTATCTCTAAGTAATAAACCAGGTTCTCCACCATCCAGTAGAACAGGATTTCCTGGTAATAAAACAGGCTTGCTCTGCAACAAACCCGTATCACCGAGCAATAAAGTAGTGTCTCCCATAACAACAAAGAACGCTTCCCCTCCGTGCACTAAAGTTGGATCCCCGCCTAGTAAGCTTGGATCACCCTCTAGTAAAACCGGAACACATTCTACTAAAATATGTTTCCCTGTGAGTAAAGCTGGGCCTCCTGGAACTAAGGCTACATCACCTTGTAGAATTACTGAGTCTAATGGTAGTAAAGCAGATTCCGCCTCTGAAAAGGCTGGGTCACCTGGTAAACCAGGCTCCCCCTCGAATAAATTGGTCTCCAGCAAACCTGTATCTCCTTGTAGCAAACCATTGTCCCCTTCAAGTAAAACCGTGCCCCTTCCTAGTAAAGCAACCTCTCCGTCAAATAAAGTAGCCTCCCCTCCTAGTAAGCCAGGGTCCCCTTCTAGTAAAATAGGAGCCCCTCCTTCAAACAAAACAGTATCCCAGCCAAGCAAAGCAACTTCCCCACCAAGCAAAGCAGTTTCCCCACCTAGTAAAGCAGTTTCTCCACCTAGTAAAGCACCTTCCCCACCAAGTAAAGCAATTTCCCCCCCAAGTAAAGCAGTTTCCCCACCAAGTAAAGCAGTTTCCCCGTCGAGTAAAACAACTTCTCCACCAAATAAAGCAACTTCCCCACCAAGTAAAGCAACTTCCCCACCAAGTAAAGCAACTTCCCCACCAAGTAAAGCAACTTCCCCACTGAGCAAAGCAACTTCCCCACCTAGCAAAGCAACTTCCCCACCTAGCAAAGCAATTTCCCCACCTAGCAAAGCAACTTCTCCCCCTAGTAAAGCAACTTTTCCGCCTAGCAAAGCAATCTCACCTACTAAAGCAACTTCACCACCTAGTAAAGTAATAATTTCACCACCTAGCAAAGTAATAACTTCCCCACTCAGTAAAGTAATTTCCCTGCCTAGTAAAGCAGCTTCACCACCTAGTAAAGTAACTTCCCCACCTAGTAAACCAATTTCCCCACCACTTAAAACAAGTTCTCCCCCTCATAAGGGCGGGTTATCCCCTAAATCAACAAGAATTGAACTAACAAGGAGACCCTCACCAAAGGCCATCACACCAAAGACTTCTCCCAGAGAGAGATGTACAAGAAGAGAAACAACTGAAAGTCTTTTAAGTGAAAATGAAAGTGACATTGAATCAGTATTAGATCCGTCTAGGAAGGAAACATCCAAGATCGCTGAGAGAAGAGACAGCAGACAGGCCGTGAAGCGTAGATCAGAAAGTGAAAATGAATTGCCAACTAAGAAAATAAAGTCTGATGATTTGAATGATTCCAGTGGAGCGACGGATCATAATCTGAGGTCACGGGACAAATCAAATCAGAAAATAAAAGATACAATCAAGCAGAGTTCACCTGTTCCAGCAGTTGAGCGACCTGCCACGCCAACCTCACGAGCAGCTGCTTTAGAAGCCAAAAAATTACGCCAAAAGCTTCTCCTAAAAGGTAAATATGTGCATAGTATTATTCTGTACATAAGGTGCTGAGTATTAGCTATGCAGTATGTCTAGAATGAAACAGGTAATTTTATGGTTAAAAACTTTGGGGATGTTACCTGGCTCGGGTAACTCCTGTACAGTATAATATTGCGTCCACAGGTTGAGATCTTAAGATTCTCAGGACCTGGACATGTGAGGGGAATCAATTTAGAAATGAGTTTTTCTTCTTATTTCTGGGTTTCTTAAAGAGGCCTGATGAGTACAATTACCATTGACAGCTGAAAGTAATGAGTCTTGCTGCCACCTGCACCAGTTTGTTTCTAACTTGTCATTGCCTGGTTGTAAAGTACCATTTCACTATCAACCTCTCCATTTCCAGTCACTCGAGCCAGCTGTAAAGATGTCAACAGACTTACTGTAGTCCTCTCTTAAGGGAACCAATTCCCTCTACACACAATCTCTTTGGCATTTGTCTTAAAGAGTTTTACTGGCCAGGCAGTCCTCATTGTTGTATTGTGATTGGTGTGTGTTATTAGCTTAATCTCATATGGAGTATCATTATTCTAATTTGTATTGGAATTGGTTTGCTGGTTCACTTAATGGTAATCATATCTACTAGTAGTGTTCTCTCTCTCAAGGGATTATTTTGTGTTCCTGTTAACCTCAGGTAGCACGTCTCAGGAAGGGGATTGTAGGGTCATTCCCAGATTAAAGTAACTATAATTGCTTTTTCTCCACCCAAAAAATATAATTAAAATCATAGGTTGGATTTACTTAAGCAAATATAACCTATGATTATGAAGATGAGTTGATGCAGTTGATGAGTGTTAAGAGTCAGGGTACTCCCTGCACTGCTTTAAGTTTGATAAATAAAGTGATTGGATATTGTATAAAGATGTTGGATGGCATTTTACACTCTGGACTTAGTTTCCATGGCTGTTTCAGGTTTAAGGGAGAGGGTTAACACTTTACCGACAGTTGAGAGTGGCCACTGTATAGAAAGTTGTGGGATGATGTGGCTTTGTTAGCACAATACATACTGTTCAGGGCAGGATATTCTTCTTCTTAACTTACTTTTATGACCTTAAGAAATTTACAAAAAAGTGTTGAACTAATTTTTGGATTTGCTTCAGTCACATGTCTAGGTTCTAAGGAGCTTCAATTATGCCTGTGGACTTTTGACTATAAATGAGCCGTCCAGCCTAAAGCTCTGTTATAAAATGGGGTTTCTGGATCACTCCATTTTTTAAGTACTGTAGCTCTGAATTTCAAAAACTGAATGTAAGTATTTGTGTATACTATTGCGATGTGTTTAATGAGAACTTTGCATGAGGTATTATGCTTTGAGTGGATGAGTCATTGTTATGAATAGGTGAATAGGGTAAATATTCACCTTAGCTGTGCATCTATATTATTTGATGTATTTTTGTCAAGATCTTCACTGACATGTCAAATAAAACATGAAGAACGACGACTTGAACTGACCAAACCTTAGCTACCTGGTGGGTTTGTGTGGGCTGCCTAGTACAGTAAAAATGGTTTTCACTTTTTTTTTTCCCATTTCCTCACCAGAGTGTTATTGGCTGTAAAACAATAATGATTGTGATACCAGTGAAGTTCCTAATACAAAAATAGAAAAATAGTATAGGTAGTGACAGCTAAACAGAATATTTCCCTTAAACTGTGGTTAAAATCCTTGCGATATCATTGCTTTATAAATTGGGAGGATGCCTGTTGTAACTCAGCCATTGTCATTTCTCAGTGCAGAAGGAATCATAATTTTATCGTCTTTATTTAAGAAGAATTGTGTTTATAGCTGTTTGTCAATGGCATGGCTTTTATTGCATTAGTATATACTGTATAATAATTTTAAGTCTCTAATCTTAGACAATTTGTGGTTTTTATAAGAGAAGAGTATCTGTAGACTGTTTAAAAGTGCACATTATTACTGTATTTTTTTCTTTTTGTTTGATACAGTATTCATAAATAACTAATTTCAGTTTATCTTGAAAATTTATTAAAAAATAATTGTTTGTTTATTCCACTTCACAGGAATAAGATGTGGTGATTGATTTGTAAATAAACTCAAGAACATTAATTTTTTTAAGTAGCCTCTAAAACCAGTTGGTGATGCGGAAAATGATGTGTACCGGGGGCATGGTTTTTTTTTTTTCCCATTAAAAAAAATCTCAGTGTTTGCTTCAAGGGAATGAGCAAATTAATAGGAATTTCTTTACGTTTGCTTTGATAGAAGGAAGAAGTCAGTAAGTAGGTTCAGCTGATGTATTAAATCTCTCACCTTGTTTTCCTACGACCTAGACCGTCCATGCAGAGGGCACCCGTGGGGTCAGAAGCGAGGTAACTCAGGAGTGGATTGTTTTGCTTCTTTGTTACATGGTTTCAGTTTCATTATGGATTGCACCTGACACACTTGCTTATAGATAATGTGATCATGCATGATTATTGTTAATTTCAGCACAGATATTTATTGTTTTCCCTTGGAATGTTGTTTAGATACACTAGTGTCTGCTTTGCACAAAATCTCCAAAGTTCTTAATTGTAATTTTTTAAGAATTTATTGCTTAGCTTCTCAGTTATATTTTTATTATTTTTGGCTTTGTCAGAAGTTTCCTTAGATATTAAAAATTATTCAAAAGATGCTGGTAAGTTATATGATAAAAGTGTATCGTGGTCACAGTACAGTACATGTTGATGACAGTGAGTGAGGAGTGTTGGCTCATCATTTACAAATACCAGCATCAAGGTGGGCAAATGCTGGCAAGGAATGTAAAAAGAATATCATGTTATATAGACTTCAAACATGTATAGCAGGATCACTGTGATGTTTATTGTTTCAGAATCTAAACTTTGGATTACAGTAAAGTAAATACAGTACAGTACTTGTACTGGAGTCACTTTGTTGTTTCTTGGTTCACTTCATGGTAGAATACAATAATTTTCTTTAATTGGTCTCTCTAATGAATGTCTCATATTGAACATAAGGAACAAAGCATTTTATATACACTTAGAACTTGGCCTTTTTTTCATGAAAGTTAAATAAATTACAGCAGTAGTGTACTGTACTGTTAGTGCCTCAATATAAACTCTCCTAAGGTTTTTTCCTTGTTTTAAGAATTAGGTTTCACTGAATTTCATAATCACTACAGCTCTTCAGTCCACATTAATAGGTTTTGTTGATATCATAGACATGAATTTCAATATTAAAAGATTTGGGCCTAATATATAATTTAAACTAAAGTTACACTGTGCATTTGTGACTTCTAATGAAGAAAAAATGTACCTGTACTGTCATCATGTCAAGTAAATACATTACAGGACTTAATCATCTGGGGAATACCAATAAGCTGATTCTTGTAAAGTAATGTAAAAGATTACAATTATTATAACACTACAGATATTAGTATGGTATATCACTGCATCAATATTTTGAGAAATCGGTCTGCCAATTATGTTGGAAGAGTCTTCAAGTTTTAATTAACTTTTTGATATATAGATTCCATCCAAAAGCATGTGTAGTTTTGAAGAAAAAAAATGCTAATGAGTGATTCAGGGTGAGATGATAATAAAAATGGTTTTACTGCCTCAACAGGTTGGGTTATGGGTATGGGGCCACAAGATGGCTGTAGGAGGCACACAACTTAATTAAATCAATAGTGTGTGAAGTTGTGTAAGAAATTTAATTTATCAGCAATTTGGAAGGACCTACCGTAGTTGAAGCACTACTGTTAATGGCAATGAATAAATGGAAAATATATGAGTGTATATGCACTTATTTCTGGTCACTCTGCATGAAGTGGAATGAGGCAAAGGTACAGTGTCACATTATTTTTTATATACAGCACTGTACTGTTCTGTCATGTGAAGGAAGTGAGGTGGTAATGTATGAGGCAGATCCATGAATTTGCAAAGGAGACAGTTGCCTTGAGCAGTTCTGGATTTTAGGGAAAGTGAAAGAGCAAAATTAGAATATATAGAAGAAGTGGAGAGGGGAACTGTGGAAAAGGAAAGAGTACAGTGTTGGTGCATCTGTATGTAAATTCAGTGCTGGGTAAAATTTTCAGGCTTTCTTTAGATGCTAACCGAAAGCTGAAATAATTAACATCCATCCACCCTGAAAAATGTGAACAGTAGTGCAGTAATCAACATAATATTTATGTGTATTACAATATTATTGTTAGAAGTGATGTTGCATAAAAGGAGAGTGATAGGAATGCAGAAAATTTGATGGTACAGTAATTTGATTGTAAATGAGCACTTTAGTACATTGAGTAAACATACAGTACTGCAATCACAATAAGCATGTAAAGCAAAGAGCTTTTCATATTATGATTCCATATTGAAAGACATATATTATAGTTTGTTTTGATTTACATTGGTCACTACTGTAACACATAATACATTTCTAGTTTTTTTCTTCTTCATGAAAAATATGGTAATCATACTGGTAATAATATGTACATATGTATGACTAGTTTTTAATTGTAGTTCATACCTCCTTCAGGCCAACCTCCAGCAGGGAGACCTGTGAGGGGTGAAGGAATCCTCAATACCAGTGTGTCTTATTACCTGCCCTATGGGATATTAGTGCAGGACCCAAACCCTGAAGAGGAATGCTTACAGGCACAAGTAGAAGTAAGTTCCTTATTTGTATTTTTCCTATTTTATCAAGGTAGCTAAAGCATGTACAGTTGCCTCCATTTATAATACATACAGTAGCTGGCATGTTTTGTGAGATGTGGCCCCACTGTTTGTTTAGATCATAATAAAACTAGCAGCATGGTCAGAACTACCCTCACAATGATAACCAGACCAAAGCTGCTAAGTAACCAGTCCCTCTCTCTATCTGGTGGTGCCACAGCTCATATAACACGTCAGCCACTGTACCCATTTGGATGTCATTTCTGAAAATAAATTAGTCCCCCCACTAGTCTATCCACCTCTACACCCTTCCCTCATTTTCTTCTCTGCTACAGTATCTTCATCTCACCTTTAGAATTTATGTGGTGCTGTTTGTCCATTAGATGTGAAACCCATCATCTTAGTGTCGGTAATAGTTTATATTTAAAAAGTGATTAGGAAAATGATGACACAATTTCATTCCTTTAGATTCCACGATGGGGTACGCGCATCTTAACTAGTCTCTATGTGATGGAAGGGACGGAGAACCTAGAAGATGAAGTTTTCCTCAAGAGACACGCCAAGCCCGAGCAAGACGAAAAGAGACGCAAGAGGTACTGCTTTAAGAATACCATTACATGCATTAGGAATGTTCTTACTACCTTTTAAGATCCCAGAACTGAACATATTTCTGTGATGTGAGATGTAGTCACTTATAGCTGGTATGGTGGCTGGCGCATTTTGTGACATATGGCAAGTTGGTGTTTGTTTACATTGCAATAAAACTCCCAGAATGGCAGTAAGGAACCTCACTATACTGTAATAGCCAGAATAAGGATGTTAGATGAGCATTCTACAGAGTTGCCACATATCTCAAAACACGTCAGCCACTGTACCTCCATCCTAAACTTTCATTGGTCTGGTGTTCTGAGTATAATACTTGTCATGCTTTACCATTAACAGGTCAATCAAGCTTCTTTCTACTATATACTTGGCAGATAAACACGCATAGATGGTCACTTCTATATAAAGTTAATTTTCCTGTATGCATAAAAAATGTGTGATCAGAGCTTGTTATAATGTACAGTATATTGCAGGGTGTCTATAAATTATCTAATCCACTTTGAAGATTAATTAACTTTAAGAACATAATACTGTAGATAGAACACACTGATTTTATTATTCTGTACTTGATGAACTGAGGAAAGAAACTAATGAGGGATTGTTGAGTTTTAAATTGGTTCACATGACTTATGGATACCCTGTGTTTTATGGTCTGATGCAGGTGGGATCTCCAGAGAATGCGAGAACAGCGGCATTACGAGCGTCTACGAGAACGGTATGAAGGCCGGCAAAATCCAAGTGAACCGGAAGTGTCTGGATACCGTACGTTGTGGCCCAATCCCGAATCGGCCGTATACTTACACGTGGACGACTGTCTCCCTGTATGTGCCTTTGGTCAACCCATGGCCAGGATACCTCCTCAGTGAGTAATTAAACTACTGTACCAGTAAATGAAACATAATGTTGCTAGATACAGTATTGTACTTTTTAATGGGCATAAAATTTGCTTTGTCTTTGAAATAATATATTAATAAGCTTTTGTTTCATTTATTAGCTTTAATCACCGAGTATGGAATGTTCATTTCAGATTGGCCATTTAAGTACCCCAAATTATTAATGATCTTTGTGTTTTTTCAGGGAGTTTCTTTTGCCGTGGTTATCAGGCCGCTGCCAGGATGGCGTATCAACACGGCGTAGAAAGCGACCGTAGAACTACTTACCAAGATGGAAAAAAAACACACAAGATATTGCCAGTTTGTTTAGTTAATGTGGTGTTTTTATTATGCATATTTCTTGCTACCGTCATACTTTAAAAAACAAGGCTTTACTTTTTTTACACGTTTACTTTCTCGAGGATGTTTTTATCATCAATTGTGGGACAGTAGTAAGTTAACTTGCAAAATAAACATCACAAGAATTTTTTGTTTTGTTTTGCTTAAGATTTGTATAACTAGGTCATCACGTGGCTTTGTACAAATTATCGTTTAAGTGACTCATATTGTGTCTAACTTGTGAATATTAAGCCAGGTGAGGTAAGCAATCAATTACTATGTGCTAGATTTAATTATCAGTTATTGTAATTGTCAGTCAGTTCTGTCCTTATAATGTTGGAATACTATTTGACCAATCCAAACTGGTGCAGCTTTCAACCAAATATGGTTCCTGTGTTATTTGTAGTAGATCGGCCACTTCCAACCAAGTGTGATAGTTCAATGATTCTGTTCAATTTTGGTTATTCATATGGAGAACAAATTATCTCAGTGGTAGTTCAATGATTCTGTTCAATTTTGGTTATTCGTATAGAGAACAAATTATATCAGTGGGTGTAATGCTTAGTCTGAGCTGTGCTAGTCATCTTTTAGACAAATTCAACATAGTTTTGTTCATCAGACTTTGTCATCATCCACCACATCTATGTAAAGTGTTAAATGAGGTTTAATTCTTCAGGTACAATACATGTTGCCAAGGCTTGTTTTGAGAATTCAACAAAATCTTTCTAGAAATGTTCCAGATGATAGATAATTGAAGATTTTTCTTTATGCTTATGTTCAAATACTCTCAAGTTATATTACCTCACCTCTGGCCGGCCCCATTATTAGGGGTTGTTCTTCACAGGGTCTGCATAAGCAATTGATACTTAATTTCCATTTAAAAGTAAAGATTTTTGTTAAACTTGGTCTTTTGCAACATGTTTTGTGAATGTTCATGTCATTGCATTATACTTTGGATATGTATATATCTGTATTAACAATAGAATTCTTTAGAACAAGCAGTATAATATCAGAATTATTTTGCACACCAACCTGAACTGAAATAATGTATAGAGAAAAATCACAAAGTCATAAAACCTTATTTCAAAGATGGCTTAATGCATATTTTCCTTTAGGCTATTTCTCATGTCCTATTTTTCCACAAGCTTCACTGGAGAGTACAACAGTTGTTGAAAGGAATTTTAAAGACTAAATTTCTTGTTAAACTAGGGTAGGAAATAAACAGTATTGCATCAAATTGTAGATGTTAATATCCAACTTTTAGATCACTATCACTCCAACTACAGTAAAATAATTCTGCTTCAGGCTAAGACAATTTATAGTGATTGTGTTATGTAGGCTGTACAGTACAGTACATATATTTTACTATGAATGTCCAGTACTGTAATATGTGATAGAGTAATACATGTCTTTCTTATTTGACAGGAATTCTTATATAATTTATTCCAGGGATTTAAGATTATCTGTTAATTAAGATGTTCCCCAAGGGGAAATGAATTTCAACTTGCCATGTCTCCAAAATACAACTATTATTTTTAATCTGTTCACTGATGAGCCCACATATGTAAGTTTTAGCATTTTCTCTTGAGCAACAAGCCTGAACACACAGTATGTACAGTAAAATCTTTAATGGAAGTCTAGAACTCAGAGGAAAGAGCAATCCAATGTGTAAATTTTATTTTCTTCCTCTTGAAGGCCTTTTCTTTCTTAACAAATAAATTAAAGTTCAAATTTTCTGTGCATAGCTTGAAGCTATTAATGTATATATATGTACATAAAAAAAATCACAGTTCAAGATTGGCCTTTACTTTAGAAAAATCAGATCACCTTGCCAGAATAATGCAGGAAGGTGAAAGTAGGCAGCAACACTATATATACACCTGTATATGCCCATAGTTCTGCATTAGAAGGCAAAGGTAGAATTATGTATTATTTCAAGATTACACAAACCCAGTAGAGGCAACTACAGTAAACCCTCAATAACTTGGCATGGATATGGTCTTGGAATGTAGGAGTAAACTTGGGAATTGCCGATATAAAATTATCTGGGAAAATCTTGGCATATCTGAACTCCTGCCTCACCTACCATGCAACTGTCTCTCCTACTATGATGCTTCATTCTTTGCCTGCAGTGCTGGAAAGCATTACCTTTTACATTTAGTAATTACATGTACACATACATGGGTTGAAAATTTTTTGTTGTATTTTTGTAGAAGGGGCAAGTGCCTCAATAAGTCGGAATTTGGGATCACTCGGCAAGGCCAGAGTTCCATGTGCCGAGTTATCACTGTCCATGATTTTAGGTAGGTGATGATCAGGAAGAGAATGTCATAATGAGGAAAGGAATCAAATACACTTGTCTTTTCAAATTTTCATCTTAAAATTATAATATTTAGTTAGAGTTACTCTTGGGAAAGACAGACAGTAAAGAAAGATTAGTTTTGCAGACTATTAGTACAATTATTAAAACTTCACTTTATTGTTTACATTTTTAAACATCCACACCTCTGCGTCCTTCCACTAAAATGATTCAAGGAAGAAACCACAGTATGCAAGTAATATTCCTTCATTTACACAACGAAAATAAAAATCTGCAGATTGAGATAATTTACATCATATTCCAATAGATGCAATGGTTAACAAATAGCTCATATAACCTATCAAACACTTGTATAAACTTTTTACAACCAAATAAATCAGGTTACGTCATTTCCACACATACATACTGTGAAGTGCTATTAGGAATAACCAATTCCTGTTTTCAACAATAAGAGGCAAGCAAGGTACAGTAGTCTTTAAGTTGTTTTAATTCCACTACAAAGTACCAGACAGGACAACTTGACCATAAATCATACTGTACAAACATTAAGTAATCCAATGTCCTAAGGTAGTTTTGGGCTACATTAGGCTCTGTTAGTCAACCATAGGTAAATTACATGTTTTGGGGGTCCTGTTTGTGGTAAATTTTTAACACTAAAAATTCATCCAACTTGAGAAAAATATAAATAAAAAAAGATTGATCCTGAATCACCCTTTTATGACCTGTAGTGAACAAATGGTTTGGTGTAAACAGCTAGGTTGTATACAGAACACCCAGCAGCTGGACTACTTCAGAATGGTAAATACCTTTCCCCCTCATAGCTGAACTCCTCATTTAAAGAGATTGTATGACCAAGATGGTTCTCCCAGAAAGACTATACAATACCTTTGCTCAGGTTGGACTTGTATATAAAAGTAAGGTCAAAACTGGGGGATAGGTATCAATTAGATGTGAATAATGCCCCGAGAGATATGGGATTAGTAACTACAGTACAGTTAAGCAAATATACTGTGCCACCTACATCAAAAGATATCTGATGGAAAATGATAATTGCATCCCCCTTAAACATTGCTAGTTCCTAATTACCGTATCCAAAGCTTGTGAACGATATACAATTGTTATCAGATCTGATGCCAGTCTTCCAGTTTTAACCCTTAAACAGCAGCCATGAGTGGATGTTCCTTGATTTCTGATATTTGGACATATGGGGGTGGAGTAGGGAATCCTTAGCTGCTGGTTAAGGGCGAAGATAGAAACTGTTCCTAGGGATTCTCTGAAATTGCTGACAAGAACAAATTTATTTTCTTGGAAATTAAAATATTCACATAATTATTCCCAATAACCTCATCCCTCTTAATGCAATTGTTTAACATCCTCACTGAACAAATAAAATTTCCTTTGGCATGAACATTTAGGATTTAACCAGGTGACAATGCCTGGGTTGCCTGAACTTAACCTCTGTATACTGACCCAATAAAGAAAAAGAATGGCAAGTGCCAAAATCTAATTGTGAAGGGTGAATTAGGTTCAAGGATTGGTGAATATTAATAATAGTGTGCGTACTCTCCCGCCAGTCTACGAGGGAAAGATATCTACCATTCTCAGGTAATTTAGCCTCTGTAATTAAACAGGATAAGCCATATAAAGATATACAGAAATTGTAAATGTGTGAGTGGCAAAAAAAAAAAAAAAAAAAAAAATGTATTTAAATAATTCAAGAATGAAAGAAAGAAACATCTAAGAAGACCAATATAAGTCAACCTTTTTAGTGTACTTTAGGTCCATTGAGCTGTCCCCATCCACACAAAGATCAGTTTGTGGCTGGAAGAGCAGACTTGTCTAGGTCGTCAAAGTATGGATGTTTCAGGGCCTCTTTTGCAGAGATCCTCTGTGTTGGGTCGTAGATCAAGGTTTTCTGGACAAAAAGAAAAGAATCCAACATTAATTACCAAATCATCAATGAATCAACCTTTTCTAACTGGAGAGAGAGACTATCATAACAATGAACCCTTTATAACATTTTAACGGATCAATTTTTTTGCATTATAAATGATAAAGTAAGATTAAAAAAACAGTAACAACATATCCACGTTCCACCGTTGGTACTCACAGACAACAAATCTAAACCATCAGCATCCATCTGTTTAACTGAATTTGCTAGATTGTAATCAGTCCACTTGGGGAAATTTGCCTTGTAATCCTGCAGCTGGGTGACCCCTGGCCAGTTGTCTTCTGTTGGGGTCGTTAGAGTTCTGGAACATACAAAAAAAAAAAAAACTTAAGTATCATAAGTTGCATTAAAGAGAATGAAGTCAAAGAAAAGAATGATAGTGATTTAATGGGTAATTGAGAGTGATTGGTTTACTCTTCACTGTAGTGTACAGCCTTGTTCTTGAAGGTAATGAAACTTTTACAGTGTTCAATGATCTTGGGAAACCAGGCAACTAGAATCTGCAGAATGTCTATCTCCACAAGGCAGAGCACTTATGCATGCATGTTACACTTGCTCTAATGTTGTTTCTAGTTTCTACAGGAGTACAGTATGATCTAATTACCAAACTATAACTAATAATAATTGTACCTGAATATTCTAAACAGCTGGTCAATCTCTGAGTCCCCGTGGAAGAGTGGGCGCTTTGTCATCATCTCGGCAAATATGCAACCCAAAGACCAAACATCAACAGGGCAGGAGTAACGAGAAGACCCCAGAAGAACCTCAGGAGCTCTGTACCACAAAGTGACCACCTATTGAAGAGCAAGAAGCAGTTCAAAATAAACACAAGCAACAATTAAAATATATTTGGTATTTTGTGCATAATTTCAGTTGTAATTTATTTCTAGTTAGTAGTTCTCATCTCCCACAAAACCTCCAGGCATTGGTCGATGAGGGAATTTTTTTTATTACAATGCAGTCCTGTAGTTACTTATTTACCTCATGAGTGTAAACCCTAATAGGGATACCAAAAGCTCTGGCTAATCCAAAGTCAGCAATCTTGATGACTCCTTGTTCATTAATGAGGAGGTTCTGAGGCTTAAGGTCTCTGTGTAGTACCCGCCGCTGATGACAGTACAGGATACCTTGGAACAGCTGACGGGGGAAAGTTGTCGTGAATTATTTTGCCGATACAGTCCACCAGTGAGGAACAGGATAGGAGAAAAAATATCAAGACAAAGAAAAAGCAAAGACGAAAAACAAGAAAAAATGGTGATAATGTGCATATCCATTTGTTACTGTCATGCCAGGATCCATATTGGAGACTAGCAAGGCAACAAAACCTCTTAAGAACAATGTAAAACCCTTAAACTTGATAAGAATATAAAATGCAACTACAGTATGTTATTAAGCTATAAAATATCTACAAATCAACAAGAGCTTTAATAGGAATTAAAAATTATAAGCATCTTCATTCTCATATCTGATGTCAAAATAAGCACTGAACATAGAAAACTGTAATTTGGATCATGCAACCACAAAGAGCGGCAGGTTTCACGGAGACGATATAAACATCAAGTCGAGACATGAACAAATCGGGCAGGAGAGAGGTATAAATTAACACTCGCCTGATAACAGTAGGATTTGACGAGCTTTTTGTCCAGGTACCGGCCAGAATCAAACGAATCTACATACTTCTTTAGGTCCATGTTGAGGAACTCGAACACCAGGAAAAGTTTACTCTCTTGCATGAGCACATCTTCCAACCTTTAGAGTTTATTTTTGAGTTAAAATTATATAAATGTTCACTAAAAAACCACCAGTGGATTGGCTTCTCCCAACCTTGACTATCAAATTCAATAGATTTTTTCCTCTTAATCCTTAATTATATTCACTGAAGTTCACTGAAGCATCCATAGAACTCCATAAATACCCAAGTGACTACCTATTGTAGATGTGACAAAAACATAAAGACCTGTCACTTGGCAACATAATGAGCACCCATAACTACCAAATCTTATATGTGCAAAAATTTTATACAAATATATTTATAGGGTATACATAAGGTACATACTGTATTGAACTTACAAGACAATATTGGGATGTTGGAGTTCTTTCAACAGGGATATTTCTCGGATGGCAGTTGATGGTACGCCTTCCTCCTCGTTTTCCAATCTGATCTTCTTCATGGCCACAAACTTCCCCGTCTTGCGGTTCTTGGCTTTATATACCACCCCATACGTCCCTTCACCAAGCTTCTCTATACGTAAATAGTCTTCCATGTTGACCTATAGTCAGTGTTATACAATTAAAATGATGCTGGCATTATAGGGTACTGCCATATACAGTATATAATACATGCTGATTATTAGACCTGTAAAATTCGAGGTCAAATAACCTAACCTTGCCTGTACTGTACTAACTAGTATTAGGCACAGATCCTATCTGTTAGCAAGGTGTGCACAGCTGTAGTTCCCATTGTATAGATGCCTAAATCATTTATTAAAGGCACTGCCAGTCAATGAATAGGGTGCTTTGAGGCGACTCACCTGATTTTAAAATAAAAATACATTTCAAAGTTATTAGGGACGATGAATCTTTAGTTAGATCACAACAATAAAGTTTACTGCACCTGTTTTGTCTGGAATTATTTAAATGCTTTTCTTCCCTAGTCATATTACATGAAATATTTCCAGATGTGTAAGAAGGTCACAACTTAAGACTAATAAAAATAATTCGACGATTATATTTATTAATTATATCATTCATAATCGTCTTAAATGTGTTTAATTAGACCTTATATTGTTACTTTGTTAAACTTACTCTTTGTCTGCCTGGTGACGATCATATGGTATTCAAACTACCATTTAAACACTCGTAAAACTCATTTAAATATTAAATCATTTGAAACACATTCCAGCTTGTACAAGTTCCTCCTAGGAGTACCTACAACTACTTAACCTTCATTAAACATCACATAACAACAATATCTAAAACACCCGCCAATATTCCTCAACAAGGTAATATTCCTCAAAAACAACGGTATTAACGAACATATCGATTATACCCCTCAGACGAGATATAACGATGCCTCAGCTTACTCTGTCTGTCAGGCGCCTTAATGTGTTTATTACAATGGCCTTAACCCAACATAAACACTAATAAACTACTTACTTTAACTGGTGTTGTTGCGGGAATAAACTCCTTCACCTTCCCTCACGTTGCTGTCTGAACCTACCAATCAGGAGGAGAAACGCCGTCAACCAATCATCTTGTTTGTTTTTATTTTTCCACCAATCAGAGAGATATATTGAAACTATTATGATAGTTCTTTTATATATATTTGGTATTATATCACCACAACGAGAGATGCCTCCGAAAATAATTTTTATTTAAAAGAATTATCGTAAAATAAATATATTCAGTGTAATATTTTCGGTGTTTTAGTTAATTATTCCACCATTAGGCTAACGAGTGTCAGGTGTGACGTCACAGGATCAGATGGCAGAACAACAACAAACTTGACCAGGAAGACATGGCTCCATTGTCCTGTAAATAACTACTTCTTCATGAATGGTCGTATATTACCAGAGTAGTGATCAAGGACTGCTGTCAGATGGTTGATAATGTGTGGGTGAAGTGAACAGTTAAGGTAGACGAGTCCGGAGAAGCGCCCTTGTTGGGGGCGTAATCATGTTATCATTTTGTAGTAGTTATTTACCTCTAGTTTGTGTAACTGCTGATAACAGTATCTAATTGGTGATTATATTTAGGAAAAATATTAATTTAGGTTGTCTTGTGTTATTACATAGGAATTCAGTGGATTCCATAGTAGGTAAAACTTTTAACTTTTCATTTGGTTATTTTTAAGTGTCTTGGAGGACTAGTGGGAGAAAGTTCATTATGAATGAAAATAAATGTACAGGAACTGTGTGAAAATTTTACCACTGTTTTAGACTTTTCTGGCTAAAATACTATACACATTTATATGAGAAACAGGTGTAAATTATTAGAAAAAAATATAAGATTACCTGCACTCCTTAACTACCTCCTGGAGGAAATTTCACGGTATTATTTTCTTGTAGCACCGTTCATTCCTACTACTAATCTATTATCATATTCGAATAAGACATCTAATTATAAGATAATTTTCATCTATTACATTACCGGCGGAAATGTATAATAATTGAGATAGCTTTTCCACATAAATGTATATTTTCTTCCATTATTTCCCGCCATTATCGTCTGCCTCTCACTAACACTGCGTATCTCTTGCGTCTCCTTCATAAATCATGACGCGCATGCGTACCCGTACACATCACGCGGCCAATCAAAAGCGTTTTTGCTAATTCAGAGTATATTTGGCCCAATCAAAATCGAGTTTTATTTTGGGTCTCATATTTTGAAATTCAAGTTCAGTTCCGACCATGGAAGTCTGCGATGGATGTCACTTTAAGTATATGGAGCTGATTGCGAGTTTTTGGAAAAAAAAAACTATAGCATTTTTTCGATCGCATAGTGTTCTTCCAACCTCAGTAAAGTGTACTAAGAGCAAGACTGAATGTAATTATCGCAAAGACCAACATATGTGGCGCTGGGTAAGAATCCCAGAATGCAACGACGAACAAGAACCAGGCCAATAAGGTAAGAAATAGGTGATTCCATCATATGGTGAGAGTCAGTTAAGTTAGGTCAGGTCAGGTTAGGTTTGGTTATTGTTTTTCTATTGTTTTATTGTGTATTTGTTAGTCGCTTAGGCACTTTTTTCTCGGAAAACGTCAAACGAAAAAAAAATCGCTAAAAAAATCCGGCTAATTTCCGCCAAAAAGGAAGGTCATATTCGGTCTCAGCACACACAAATACACTAGAGAAATATATTTTTATCTTGCTACAAGTGAACGGTGCTATAAGAAAAATTTACCAATTTCATCATTGAAGATAAATCCAGTTACATTATAACTCAAACACTGGCAAATAACTTAGGCATAAAATATAAATTTGTTTAACATAGTTTTTCATGCTGACTATAGTAAAGATAATGGAAGTTTGGTAATATGATTAATTATAGAGTTATAATTCTTCCTCCACTGTTAATCTTGACTGCACCAAAGGTCGACAGAGCTACAAAGTAAAGGGAATCTGACCTAACATAATCAGGTCATTGTATTGTACTCACCTACTGGGTAATAATACCACAAACACTGGCTTATGATTTAGACTCATTTTCCCGTGTTTGTGGAATATGGTCTGCTTTTTACCCCAGGAAAACGGCAAATAGTAGGGAGGAAAAAACATCCCACCATTTTCTTTTACATTTGATAATTTTATAGTTTCTGAGTATACTGTACTGTCTCTGTGTTACTTACATACTGTATTACAGTAGCATATCCTTATCGTTTTATTATATTATTGTTTTTTAAATGTATAAAAACAACTTTATTTCTTTCAGTGGATGTAATACACTACATTGTTTTTCTATATAGAATGGAGACCCTCTTGACCTACCAGAATTATTGACGATGGAGGCGGCGAAAGATTTGTCAACAGATGAGCCGGACTGTACAAGGTGAGTAAAGCAGTGGTAATGTTAGTCTGTGAGATCAATTTTTGCATTTTATAAGTTTCATGTAAATTGAGGATATGTGTGTGTATTGTATTTAGAACAATTGCCTAGACTAACTTAGGTTTGGTTAGGTTAGGTTAGTTAAGGAAATTACCTTTTGTTGGGGTGTATAACAAAAAAGTATTCAAACTATATAAGATTGGTGATGTTATATTCTTACAAGACAAAGAACTGAGTGAGGTGTTGTTAATGAGGATGGACTATTATATACAGGCTCAGAAGTCAACAAGTGGTACAGCTGTGGACGTACCAACATGGCCTACGTTTGCGACATCTCACCCAAGTGGTGGGGAGAAATCTTCAGGGGCACGGGAATTGTCATACGCCAATCCCTGCGTGTCCTCTCCCATCAAAACGACCTCGTCCGGCTGCAATTTCAGGGTATGTAAGCCAATTTCACAGATTTTGGGAGGAGGATTATTTCGTTGATGTGTCTCTCTTACAAGACTTTTCTTACCACTTCTTATACACCGGTAATGCCTGAAGGTTGGAGTCAACAATAAACACATACAAGCTCTTCATTCATTTGGTAAATAAGTACAAAAATCAGTTAACAGTACCTGTATAATAACTCATTCCGACCACTAATTCTCCACATTATTTAACTGTGAATGTTAATTACTCATGTACGGTATTGGATACGGGTGACCCTCGCATCACGCAGGAGATGTGTTTAAAAAAAAGTTGCATCGGGTGATTTTTGCTTGTAGAGGACTATTTATTAACTTGTATTTGATAGTGATGCATTCCAGGACCTTTACTGTCCCCTCAAAGTAGATAATTTCTAACTCTACATTATAAGAAATCAAAGGGCCGACTGTACTGTACTTCCTTTTTCTCTGCAGTCAGCCTAATCAAGAGTAAATTATTTACTATGTAGCTTGTCCAGTAGAATGCTCACTATTTTGATGCCTCAAATGAAGATGATGATGTACAGGGTTTGTGGAACAGCAAGAGAGATGACAGAACTTTTGTGGGTGATTATACGAAGGTGCTCTATCATAGAACGCACTGAAATGCTTGACTCAACTAACACAACCTTTAATTTCAGCTACTACTTCTGCATTCATGCACCTTTAAGTAAGGAAGAACTATATTCAAGTGAACTTCAGAGCTCTACAAACCCTAATTGGTTGGAACTGGAACCAGAAAACCTAAAACCAATTAATCTACGATCTATGAAGGGTAAGTCATGTCTGTTACTCTTTATATTAATTCCTGGCCATAAAACGATGATGATGATGATGACAATAGTTGAGAAAGGCAATTGTATGAAAAGAGTTTGTTGGAGTTGTAAGTGCTGACCGTGATAAGAAGGTTGGGGAGTACAGTACAGTTATGAAGAACAAGATCATGTGAGATGGAATAGTAGGGTAAATGTGTTGCATATGAGTGGTTGGGTCAAGGTCTTTGCAGATGTTCATCACTAGGCTGGGGTGGGTTGCGAAAGGGTCTTCACTTTCTTGATTAATATCATTTATATCATCTTTAAATTTCCTCTACTTTTGCTATTCTGTCGTAATAAATACCGAATTAATGTACCTGGAATTTTTCACATTTACACCTGGAAAAGCCAGGGGATTTAGTTTTGTCTGGCTAGTAGACACCCTGGTAAGGTGGTAAGCCTAATATCCAGTCAGCCATTACTTCTGTTTTTTTTTTTTCCAGGTGTCTTGATTAAGTTGTGGTTCAAACCAGAAAGGGAAAATGCTCAGCTGGTCACCACATGGGGAGTTCACTTCAGTGGTCTAGTTCCCATAGGTGCAGTCCTGCCTTATGATCATAAGAGGTACAAGCCAAATACGTTGGTCTTCAAAGTACGACAAATGTTTTACACTGCACCAGGAAGCTATGAATTTACTCAGCCTGAAAAATCATCACAGCCACTTCGCTTTGGATATTCATTACCATTGTCAGAGACAAAGCGCAGTTATACTGTCAATGCTCTATCAAGGTTGGTTCATGTTGACAATATAATTTTTCTTATGGGCATAATCAAATTTTGTGTATGTTTTATTACTCACACAGTATGGCAGTAGTAATTCAGTCTTTGATTTAGATAAAAGTTGGTGAGATGTGATATTATATGACAGTGGGAAATGCATCACATTAGTCTATACTGTATTGAACTTTTATGAGCTATATCTCCTAGTTTGGTGTACATTCAATATGTTTCTTTACCACATGACTTTTTCTTCCCCCTACTAATCTGGTTTAGGTTATGCAAGTCACTTCTGAGACTCCTTTAGGCTATATGTAAATGGATGATTGAGTGACCTAGATTTCTCACTCCTCCAAAGAGCTAAGACCTAGTTCAGCAAGTCACTTACTCATCTTTTCAGCTGTAAAGACTTGGTTTTATGAGTCATATTTGGATCCTGGTACAGTAATGTACTGTACAAATATTTTAGAAATATATGGACCCCTGAAATAATTGGACTTCAAATGAGTGTTGACAGTACTCTTTAGTTTTTTCAGAATCTAATAATACAATACAGAGAAGCACAGTATGTTTCAGAGGACTCAAATATGTGCCTTTAGCCGTCTAGTTTCCCATTAGTGTGTGTTCTCTGAAGCATCCCACCTCATTATCACTTACTCTTAATTTCAGTGCCAACAACTTACATGAGAGCTGCGATGTTTCAAGTTCTCGGTCAAAGCTTCTGACTATTTAGAATGTGATTTTTAACTCATATTTGATATATGTTCTTTCTATTTATTATTGTATCTTATCACCTTCTTGTTGTGTGGGATGTACCAAGGAATATCAATGCCTCAAAGAAAGGGGTGGGGGGGAGGGGGTGTAAAAAGTGGCGAGAGAGGACTTAGCATGTAGAAATACTCCAAACCTTTCGCCTACAAAACATATCTGCATTTTCCATATAAATATTTTATCTTGTCTAACTTCAGCCTTATCATCATCCAGTATCAGTCCACTCCAGCATGGGGGCTTCCCCCTTCTGTTTCCTGAACTCTGTCTTCAGCCATCCTGCCCATTGAGCACCTCTGAACTTCTTAATTTTGTCTCTCCATCTGGTAGTTGGTTTTAAATAATGTTCTCATTAGTGATAATCATAGATGAACTGATGTTCCCTCCAGGTTACACAGCACGAAGCGAGCTCAGCGTCAGCAAGAGCTTAGATGTCAGGAGACTTGTGAGGTCTTAGAACTTCGAGGGGTAACTAGAACATCACGCTCTGAGCTTCTGGCAACAAAGGTGAGGAACAAGTGAACGTCTACAACATTGTGTTATAGTTCATTTACCTGTGAAGTGGTTAGTTGACTTTTTCAAAATACATATTTAACATAATTAGAAACAACTGTGTAAGTGTTTGCTGTAAGATACCAAGGATTGTGTACAAAAGTTTATTCATTGTAAAATTAAGACGTTGTGAAATATGCCTCATTGATGTGTGATACAAATTCTTCCTCATTACTCACTAACTGCCTGTATCATATAGAAATAAAATATGTATAAAAAATTCACATATACAGTCGCCAGCACTTAGACAATGAGAGGTGCATTTTGTGAGATGTGGCAACTCTGTGGAATACTTATCTAGCATCCTTAGTCTGGCTACTACTGATGTAAACAGACTTACAGGTAGAGTTGCCACGTCTCACAAAGGCATAAGTGCAGGCAACTGTACACTTCCTCGAAGGTTACCATGTTAAGATTGACAAGGGAGAGTCAAGAATGAATGGCAAGACATCTAAGAGTACAGTAGTGTGTTTAGATGTAATTCATGAGTATTAATGGAATATAAAAGAATTAATGCCTTGTAAAGAAATATATATAAGAAATGGATGTTTATTGGTTTTGTTTATAGAATTGATTAAGATGGTGGTATTTTTCTCCCAGGTTGAAGACTGCCGATTGAAGGTCGCTCTACTCAGGGAACAACTGGAGGCCGAGATCGACCAGCTCCGGGCACTCAAACTCTCAGCTGACAACCTTGATAATCAAAATCAAGAAAAAGGTAAAATAGCACTGGTTGTTGTGTGATGTTCAGGATGATGAATCAACCTCCAAGAGTTGTATTTGTATTTAGGATAGGAAAATTAATTGTATATATTGGGAGAGTAATAAATGCAGATTTTTGTAAAATGTGAGGTGAAGGATATTTACATTGTTAGAAATAATTATTGTTTGTTATACAGTATACTAAATCTACCGTACATTAAGCCATACAGATTACATGAACTGTCAAACATAGCAAACAAAATATGATAGTGGCCTTAATGATTCAATTTGGCAGACCTACACATTCATGGTGGTCCAGGGTGTATGTGTGAGTTTGACTGCTGACAGGGTGCCTTTTGCCCTCGACTGTCTTAGCTTATCAACATTTCGACCACAGAGCCTTAATCAGCTGTCGGGGATGACCTATACTGGGATTCTGGCCATAATCTTGATCTCAATGATGTTCAAAACCTCAATACCCTACTGTAATGTACTCTTGAACATGCTGATTAAAACCAAGAAAAAATGCATAGATTAAAAAATACGATGTTTTTTGAATGGTTTAAATTGGCCAACCCTGCTTAACAGGTCTGGAGCTGCTGGCGGGTTACCAGGGTCTTCACCGTCAGCTGGTCCACTTCAGAGGCTTACAGGAAATGGCTAACACAGACAGTGAAAGACTACGGGACTGCTGCGTCTATCTCAGTGATTGGCGTAGACAGCTCATTGCTCAACTTCCCATAATCTACCCGATCAATCAAGTAAGTGCTGGTGTGTGCTGGGGAGGTACAGTATATCAACGTACAATGATAACCGTATGGGGGTAATATTTTCGTCTCCCACATATTGTATACCAAAGGAATTTTGTCTGTCTATCCATCTGCCTACATATGAAAGTTCTTTGTTTAATGCAGCATCTTAAAGAAATTTTATTAGATTTTCTTAGACTTTAATACAGGGCAATCTATCAAGAAGCTCTTGGAAGTGCTGAAATATCATTGAATTCTAGCCCTTTTTAGGAGAATACAGTATATAATCATGGTCTGTTAATGATGTGTTGTATATTATACATTATGGGGCATGATGTGCATCTTTGCACACGGTCTTTGTTTACACCATGCACAGCAACATTGTACTCCAGTACTTGGCTTAATATATTTGTGTGCCCCTTTACATGATTAGATAGCCCTTTACATGATGAGGTAATCTTTTACATGATAAGGTAACCTTTTACATGATATGGTAACCTTTTACATGATATGGTAACCTTTTACTTGATAGGATAGATCTTTAAAGAATCATCAGTATACTCAATTAGGCTGGGGAGGAGTTATTTCATCTGACAGGTCATATACAGGACTAATAATCATTACTGTTGTGTGTAGAAATGTCACCATGTAATGAATTAAAAAATAAAATCCAATATATTATAATTTTGTGTACTACTGCTTGTATTTGATAATGTGGGCTCATTTTTTATTATTTTTTGTTTTTTCTACACAGGATAGTGAAGGAAAGGTTTACATATGTGGGGTTCACTTGCCTGATGCAGAGAATTATGATGGACTCAATGAGGTGACCCTTAGTGTGGGACTTGGCTTTGTGGCCCATCTGATAGTATTACTCTCCCAGCTGCTCCATCTGCCTCTACGCTATCCCATCAAGCCTAACAGCTCATTTCCCACCATCACAGACACTACCTCTGTGCAACTCCGTGACAGTGAGAGAGAGTAAGCTGCATCTTTATATCTTTTTTATAATCCTTTGAGCCTTTTCCAGTTACAGTTCAGGATGGAAACACACACAAAACACATACAAATAGATAATAATGGGAAAATCCTCTCACAAATAATCAGAAACAAGACAACAAAAATGTATTAAAAATGTGAGTCTACCCTCAAGTCAACTCTGTGCTTTGTTTTAGCTTACGGAATGAACTTGAGGGTTGACTCACATTTTCAATACATTTTTGTTGTCTTGTTTCTGATTATTTGTGAGAGGATTTTCCCATTAAGGTATTTTTTATTTGTGTATATATATATATATATATATATATATATATATATATATATATATATATATATATATATATATATATATATATATATATATATATATATATATATATATATATATATATCCAGGGTGTCATCCGCAAATTGTCAGGGCATGCTGTATTGTACAGTGTTAACATTATATTGATGAATTATTACTAAATACGTATGAAGTGTTTTGTGTCAGCTTATTTACAACAGTCATGGACATCACACTAGTGTGTAGCTGCTTGTTAGTAAGACATTTGTTTGTAGTGTACTGTGTACAGAGTATAAATGTTGTATTTAAGCAAATTGTTGCCTTTATAAATACTGTACTTTTGATAGTAACAGAAATGCAACAGAATGTGTAGCATTGAATGAAAAAAAGTCTTTGTTGGTATTCATTTTTGTCACCATAACAAAAAAGGCCTTCAAAAACAAGTAAATAAATAAATAAAAATCCAATAATGCTTAATTGGGCAAAAATAATGTAAGATTATTTTAATACAAGTAAGAGGATAGTTGGTAATACTTTTCTTACCATTAAATACCTTCATTTATTGTGACTGTGTCTGATGTGTTATTAGTTACGTGTCCACTAACTCTTGTCTCTGGCGGCAGGTTCCCGCTGTACACCCGCGGGAAGGAGCGAGAGCGGCTCCACTTCAATTATGGGGTATTTTTGCTAAATAAGAATATTGCCCAAATGAGATGGTACTGTGGCCTCCCCACCCAAGACCTGCGACCAACTCTACCAAATTTAAGCTTTCTCATGTCAAAGCTCACCCAAAATGGGTAATGTACAACAAGCATACTGTACAGTACTTATTTTAATATATAAATCTTTGTGAGCATGTAAGTAATGCTTTAGTTTCCTTCATATCTTCTCTAACCTCTATAAAACAGTTGGAGAGAGTACCTATACTAATAATTAGGGCCCGGATAGTTATGCATTTGCATATTTTGCGTGATTTCTATGATAAGTGCATATTGCCTAGATAACTGCATATAAATGCATATTTTGGTAAAATATTCATCTGGCAGTATCTCTTTGTTGCCACTGAATGAGCACACGTGGTACTGGGAGGTGAGGTGAGGTGTGGTTAGGTGAAGTGAGGTGAGGTCACGTCGCTTTAATCTGTCGTTTCCACACCTGGTCATGACTCATTGGACTAGTGAGTTAGTCAGTCAGGAGCAGTGCTGCTGTGTGGAGCTACTCTCTTCTGCTGCTCGTGAAAATGCCGAAAGTACAAAGAAACCAAAATGAAGTGCTGAGATCATATGTAAAGGAATTTGATGCATTTACTACTGATGGAAGTGTACTGTTTTGTAAATATTGTGAAGCACCAGTGACAGCGAGCAAGAAATTTCAAGTCCAACAACACCTTAAAACAAGCAAGCACATCCGACTCGAAGCTGTTAAGTCCAATAGTGCACAAAAGGAGCAACAACTACTTCTTGCATGTTCCAGTAAGTCAGGGCCTGATCGTTCCCAGTTCAACGCAGATTTGTGCAAGGCATTTGTTTCAGCGGATATTCCATTGCATAAACTGAATAACAAGTGCCTAAAGTCATTCCTGGAACAGTATACTGGAAAAAAGGTGCCTGACGAATCAACATTACGTAAGAACTATGTTTCACAATTGTTCAAGGACACGATGGAAATCATAAGGAGAAAGGCTTGTACTATTTTGTTTCCGTATAACCTGCATTCTTGGCTTTATAAGTGGCATTTTTAGTGCATATAAATGCATATTTCCCCTGTTTTTAGTGCATATTTCATGGTTTTTTAGTGCATAACTATCCGGGCCCTACTAATAATGAATGAACAACTTTGAACGTGCTGTTGTAGTTTAGATTCTACTTCTTATCTTCTTCCAGTTATCCTACTTCTACACTACTGTATTTTTCCATCCTGCTTATTATTTTTATCCCATTTCTACTTCCCATTATGTCTTCTTAATCTTTCTGCTGCTTGGCGCGTAAGGTAAACCGTTAGTTGGTTGTTTATACCTGTGTTTCGTGTCACAAGTGCTACAGTGTATGGAAAATATTGGTTCTTGCTTGTTGAAATTATCGATGCATATATTTGACTCACTTGATTGATCATTGGCCACTGTTTCCTAGTTAGCTGCCTGAGTACTCCTGAGAATTGCAGTTCTTTACTCCCAGGCTGTCATTATCGCAGAAGTCATGAACCAGGGTTGTTAAACTTGTTATATATGTGTTATGGTTTATAGGTCGAATTGTTTCTGATGTGTATTTTAGTTTATATATACAGTATATGATGTGTATTAAAGGTAATATCAGATATATATCTTGGTGTATATATGATATGTATTATAGATTACTTCTTTCATGAATTACGGATTATACTATACTGACATGTATTACCATATAGCTTATGTCAGATGTTTATGATAGTTAGAACTAATGTGTATTATGTTTCAGACCTGTGGGTAACCAAGCACCAGCAGTGATGCCAGATGTACTAATGCCAATGCCAGCTTTGTCTGCCCCGGTGAATCTTGAGGTCCGCACCCCTGCTAGTCTCCTGCACCAGCAACGTTCCCCGCGCCTCCCGCTAAATCCCCTTGGCCGTAGCACCTCCCAGGAGCATCCTAAAAATGGCTTGGTAGATAATGAAGAGGATGAAGATAGTGCATCACATTGGAAGTTAGTAAAATCTGGTAGTGAAACAAATTCAAGCGATGCATCTCCTGAAAAGGCTACACTGTTTGTAAGAGAAGCTGTGCCACTTGGTGGTAAAGGCAGTACTGGAAAATTTGTGTTTGTGGATAAAGTTCAAAATCCGTTGGTTGACACTAACCATGTGGAACAGAATTTGGAAGAACGATTATCACATTCTAATGGTTTTAGTTTTTCACTAGATAATGGTCTCAATCATATTGGTGGAAAGCATAATCCATATTATAAGATTAAGAACCTGTCTTGTTGTGATGATCTGAAACTGATGAATAATGTTTCTAAGGCACTCGGGTATGTGCGAGGCTCAGACCCCAGCTTGTTGGTAAATGCTGATTTAGTTACATCAGGAGAAGGAGAGGAAGATATTTTTCCAGTCTTTAAAGAACAAACTACAGAATTACTCCGGTCATGGCATGAAGATGATCCCTCCCACTACACAGGTGTGTCAGAGGTGGGAAGCTCCGAGAGGTTAGAAGAGGTCGGTGTCGAGTGTGACGAGTCTTTCATGTGTTCAGCGGACACCAGAGAAACGTCTCCACACAGGACAGATTCAAACCAAACTGAAGAAAATAATGACTGTCCATTGAGAGAACCCGTGCAGGCTAAAGAGACAGATGAACCTTTGTCTAGCAGCCAAGAAACTAAAAATTCAACAGAAAATACAGAAATGGAAAATCCTCTGCCTGATCATCAAGGTGGAGACAACTCACATAACTCAGCAAATGGAAAAGATGCTGTTTTATCTCTCTCAGAATTTGGGATTACTGAAGATATGTTTCTCACAGATGTTGCTTTCAGAACTGCAGCTTTAGCAAGTCAGAATTGTAGTTTTAAAATGTCATTCTCTAGACAGAGTACAGAAGATGAATATCATTAGGTAATATTTTAATTAGTTTTAAATATTGTAGTTATTACCGTAAACAAAAGTAGTAGTGTCAATATTTAATACTGATAGAATACATAGAAACTTGATAATATTTGAGAATTTGATTGGTGAAAAGACAATAGTATATACAGTATATAAAGGACAAAATTCACAATAGATAGAGTTATTGTCAAAAATACATCAAAGTCTATGTTGCTTTCTTCTGAAGACCAACTAGAGCGTAGAATAACACTACTGTACTGGGATAAAACCAGGAAGCTTAAGTATGGGTTGTATAGTAGTAGGAGTAGTTGTGCATATTGGGGCCTCAACATCCAGCTTTGTATTTCAAAAGAGACTGTAAGGAGTGTTTAAAACTTTTCCACTATACAATTTGTGAATTACTGATGATAACTGCATATTATTATTTTACTTTTATTTAAATTTTTTATATTCCAAGGCTGTTAAACCCTTTCATGTGTTTCAGAAGGGTTCATTCATACGTTGTGAAACTTAACTGTCGGAGCTGTGATAATGTGTTTTGTACCCGTGAAGGAGCTTATATATGTATATATATATATATATATATATATATATATATATATATATATATATATATACATACCCCTCTTAAAAGACTAAGTTGATAACACTAATAAGTCACTCGTACTATGATTGGTATGTATCTTAGAATAGTATTTAGTCACTGTTACCATGATTGAATGTATCTAGAGTCTGTACCATGTGTTTTCTGCCTTGCAATTTATTAACAGACATAACTTACACCTCACCTAAGTGTAAAGAAAAAGTTTGGACCAGTTATCCCTAAAGAAACAGAGCACAGAACCAGCAAGTAAATAGCAAAGGCTAAAAAAGTAATTTATTCTTGCACTTGTACCATTATTACACACACTTGGGATGAATAATCTTAAGGGTGGCCACACAGCAGGTCTATTATACAGGTCTTGTTTAGTCACCTGTGTAATCCTAAGAATGGTTAGGACACTGAACTAGAACTAAAAAATGCTGGGAAACTGTTTCTCATTTTTGCTCAACTGTCTCTAGCACATATTTTTATTTCATAATCAAACAAGATTCCGTAAGTGTGGAAAATGACCCTATCTGTTGATGATGATTACAAAAGTGTCCGCTGTCATCTTGATTGCTAAGTACGGTAAACATGTTTTGGGCTCTTGAGAGACTTATTATTTCTTCAGACCCACACTCTCACTTCTAATTTTCCTATATGGTCTTTCTTAATACTGGACTCGACTCCTTAGATAATGTGTATGACCAGGCAGGGTGGGGATGTGTTTTGATTCTATAGGGTGTCTGTTGTTATGTTCCTGATAGTCTGTGCTGTCCGTCTACATGTAAAACTGAACTAAACTTGGTCTTCAGGGTGCACTGAGATTAAATGTAGGTTAGAATGTTTATGTAAGAAAAAGGTTTTGTACCTTAAGAATTTTTTGTGATCCATTTGTACATTATAAATTAATAGTCATTATTGTAATAATTTATAATATATAGTACTTGCTGCAGTGAAAATTTTATCTAAATTTTTCATGTCCTAAAATGCAAGTTCTCTCAATACACCAGAGTGTTAAGTACAGTGAAACCTCATTAATTTGAATTAATTTTGGGGGAAACGTGATCTGGATTATTTCAATAAATGGCAAATTAACAAATACAGTATAATGGAGAAAACACAATAATATTCTGTAAAACAAATAAAGGTGATTATATATTTAAGTAAGTGCTTACCTTTAACTCCAAAGGGCTTTTGAAGGTAGTGTAGAGGCAGTTGTTTTAACACTTATCATATACTACTGTACTGTACCACTATGTCACTTGTACACTAATTTTGAGTCGCTATATCAAAGATCTGCATTGAACACATATATCCTTTAATCAGATTGCAAGTTCCAGAGAAGGTGTAGTTACAGCACTCAGATTTGATACACCACCAACACCTGAACCAACACAGAAAGAAAAATGGAAGGGCCAGGAATCGACACATTGTTCACCACGTGATCCAGATTAACGAGGTTACGCTGTACTTGTATGTGCCACATAATTTTGTTTATTTTCCTCATTAACTACTTCAAGAAAATATATAACTGAGGGCTAACTATTTTATTTTGATTTGTTAAGATACTTAGTGCACAATATATAAGATTTACACTGAGATGTGAATTTTGAATGAATGAATGAAAAGAAATTGTCAGCCATTCCCTAAACGCTCACAAATTACCCTAATACAGTACTGAAATGGTGTTACCTTACCCTCGAGCGTACAGTGTATGGTGAGGAGCTCTTCATGATGTACATAAGTAAGATTTGCAGATGTTTTTCACTGCTGTTAAGGCTGTCAAAGGTTATGATGTGCCATTACATCTTTGTGTGTCTTGGAACTACAATTGATATTGATAGTTCATCGTGGAATTGTAATACTGTACACCTAAAATTTTTGGACGGGTAATGACAGGAATGAAAGCTATCCATATCCTGTTCAAAATTTTATATGTTTTATTCCCTATATCAAATGATTCTGTTATTAATTTTTAATTAACTGTTCCATTATTTTATAGTTTTGTTTCTTAAAAATATAGACAATACAATACAGTGTATAATCCAAATTTTAAAAGGAGACTCAATTAAGATCAAGGCAGACTGGCATCTTACCTCATTAAATAATGCTCCATAACTGCAGGTGTATCTGTAGTAAAGTACATGCTTGACTCATTAATGACAGTGTCAGTGTGAAAGTGTGCAGACATGATTTATTGAAAATTTTAAGTAAGAATTGGGTGTATTGTGAATGTGTCGAGGTACAAATTACGTATACCTTGACAATTTTCATTGTCTAACCTACAATATTTCAGAAGATTCAAACTTGTACATTTATGTCAAAATTGGTTTCAATATTCACAAGCAGACACCTGTTTTGATAGTTTACAATAAGATTATTAGTATTTTTATAATATTAATGTAGAATTATTTATAAGAAAAATCAGTGAAAACTTAGCTCTTCGGTTACGTTGAATCATTTATAGAACTATTTTTTGTTTTATTACCTGTGCTGTATACAATTTATCCATATGTATTTTTTTGTTGTTAATGGTAGTCTGTTTGTTTAATTTGTGGGAATTTACTAAACTCTACACCCACTGAATCAAGGTTTTCAGAGTTGAGTGGTTCTTTTGCTTCTGTCTCCTAATTTGTTACTGCTGCAGGTTGAAATGAAAGATTTTGCTCTAACAGCCCCTAGCCATTTTTAAGAAGTACCTAAACAATACTACCACATACCTCCTGATGAATATATCTCTGGTATAGATTAAAATCTGGAATATGCAACCCCCCAGTGACAGATTTGGGCAGTTAGTAGAAAGCATGTAGAGCAGCGAACAAAAATCCTGTCGCCTCTTCCGCTTCTCCACGAACTCCATGATTTAGACTCGTAAATCCGAAGCATTTATGGACAGAATAATACCTCGGTGTCTACTGTTTTCGGGTTCACGAGTCTGAATCGTGGAGTTCGTGGAGCGGCAGAAGAGGCGATGACTTTTGTTCTGAACTTTACCGGTTTCTGCCGGTTTTAAAAGTCCTGTTTACAAGTTTATATTACTGTATTATGTCTTGTTCTTGAAGCAATGACAGAATATTGTACGACTTTGAGATGGAAAATAATTATTACTTTGTGATAAAAAATTCTAGTTTTATCAGTACCGGTAGTTGAAATCATGAATCACCTTACGTTAGTGCAGGTGAATATAGTCGTAACATTTAATATACATTGTACCATTTCTCCATATACAATGACAATAAGCTGAATTATATTATAGTAATATAAATGGTGTGCACATTTTGTAATAGATTCATTGTTTTATATTTTGTGTGTTCATGCACATGTGTACACTTATGCATGTACTGTATGTGTATTTCTTCATTTAATACACATTCTTTGTTATAATATCTGGATATCATCATTTTAAGCTTTAATAATACTGTATACTTGATGCCCCACCAAAATGTTTTGATTACATTAACATATAGACATACCAGGCAACAGGTTGAGGTAACTGATGGCTGTCACCACTGGGGCCACACATAGGAGTTAGTCATCTAGGTAAGTTGACCTCATGTTGACTTGTACTTTAGTTTGAGGTTCCAAGTAATTATTATTCCTATGATATTTGGTTTATCAGTCACAAGTGATTTTGTTTTGAGTGAAAGGAAAGGAAAAATATCTGGATTTCTTAGTGTTTGCTGGATATGATTGGGTGAAATGTTGTAGTACTGTACTGTACTGTACATGTATTTCTGTAACTTTATGTCTATGTTTCATGCTGTTTGTCCAAAAAATATTGTATATTTTGAAAGTTATGTAAACATGAGTTCAGTATAATAGTTAGGCAAAGAAATCTTGACATTCCTTTGTAATTTACCCTAGTGATTGTGAATATGTGATCTGTCCACTGGTCATGTCAGTTGTAGGTGAGGACACATGGATGGTGAAGGTATAGGAGTGTATGATGTTAGTGAGGAAGGTCGTGACACTTTTGCTACACATTTAGCTTAATACTGTATGTAATTCAGTACATGGGCCCCCTGTACAGCAAACTCTCTAATTAAAGAGTCCTCATTGATGGGTATTTTGATGATCAGGGTATCATCATCATCCCATGTGATGAATAGCCCCCAAGATGTTACTGTACTGCAGTTTGTTAATTGGTCAAACTCCACCTCTGTCATTGTTGCTGTACACATATTGACCAACTTGAAGTAAGAGGAGAGGAACCTATTTAAGGTTCGTCATTCCCTCTTCTGGGATCTCTTTTGATGCACTCAATTGCATTGACATCTTTTTGTATATACTGTACAGTAATATTTTTCTATTGCAGCTATACACTATGTATTAGTACAGTCAACCCTTGATTATTTGTGATATATGGCTTTACATATCAAGAATTCTATTTACAATTTCTCTCTCTTTTTTTAACTTCACAATTAATTGTACAGGCATATCTTGTAGAATATGCAGTTTCATTATAACAATCGCTGTTCTGGAGGAAATTTTACTGTAAAACAAAACTGTTATTAAAATTATTGAATGATTTTTTGTGCCGGGTTACTAACTGTCTCTTTAACTTGTTTTTGATCCATAATGTCTGGTGATGTGGCCATGCATTGTAGAAGTGCAAATCATAAGATGTGTGGAAGCATATGAGAATCAGGTTGTTACTGGTTGTTGGTTGGGTTTGCTCATGTCAGTGCCAGACGGTGATCAGGCTTCATTACTGTTTTATGGCCATTTCCACTATTTTTCTGGGTTAGCTATGATGACTTGATGACATAGTGTCCCAATTATTATCATGGAAATTTGAAGCAAGCTTTATGGCTGGATGCCTTCCCTATTGCCAACCCATTTTTACAGATTAGGAACTGGGCATAATATGTAGGATCTCTTAGCACTCTCTTAGGTGGCAAGGCAAGATCACTTTTCCTTGAAGTAATCAGAGCTTGACCATCACAGTCTTTAAGAAGTGTATTCTTCCATGAAGTCTTTTTATATATATATAAAATAATTTGGTGCATTTATCCTATGTACAGCATCTTTGTTAGTGCTGTTGCTGATACTCTGTTGAGCTCTCATATATCACTTACAGGTGTGAAATATTATTGTGGTGAATACAGTACTTCTGTTTTAGTACCGTGTTATACCGGTACTGACCTCTCTCGAGCTGTTTCTTGTAGCACTCCATGATCCAGGAATGCATCTAGAGGTCTATGAAAGGTATGCTTGTATTTATGGGCTCCTCCTACAAATTAAGAAAGAGTGTTTTGTTAGGGAATTATTTAAGAAAGTAAGCACAGTAAAGTCCAAATGATACTGCCGGGTACCTTTAGTTGCTATGTGGTATGATTTATGGAAGTCGCCAGTATATCTCATCATTATTTCTTGATAATTATACAGTTTGATCAAGCAACAAATCTTTCCAAAACCATAAAGAACTTAGATATCATCAGATTTCTGTTCAGCAGCTTGAGATGTATCCCATCATGGAACTCGGTCCTGTTACCTGCTTTTGCCCCCCTTCAGTTCTTGTTTCCGGTCTTCACAGTGTCTTTATTATGAAGTATCCTTATTTTTCTGTTTTTATTTTTGCTCAGTCATTTTAGCTAGGCCTTTGTGTACAATTATTTGAGGGTTTCAATGACAATTTTGTGATTTTTTCCTCATAAGCCAAAACTTTAGGAATCCATAGTTTAAGTTTAGCATTTTACATTTCACATACATATTCAAAGGTTATTGAGTAAATGGGACCCCGTGCTTAAGTATCTCATTAAATAGAGTGTTCACTATATGAGATGAGTTTGCATTTAATTTTTAGGGACATGACTTTGCAATTTAAATAAAATACCAGTTCTTCACAAGGTAGACTTATTGTTCATTCTTTTAGGTAAATAATCACATGATGTATAGTATTATAAGAAGATTTAAATGGAGTCATGTTGGTAGTAGAAGAACCAATAGTTAGTAGCCAGTTTATATAGCGAAGATCCTCAGAAGATTGATGGTGAGGCCACTACAACATTATTACATATACTTATTTAATAACAAATTGCTTATTACTGTCAAGAATATTCCTATCTATGGTATAATGATAGGATTGTATAGTACTGTAAAGTGTAATCAAAGAAAGACTATAGTATGGTTTGACTTTGGTGTGTGTATGTGTTTCTCTGTGTGATGTTTACTGGAATGAGTTATATTAGGTACAGGTACAGTATCCTGGTTTGAATGAAATAACACATAAATGGGTTAAGGTTAAGAGTCGAGTTTTATGCACATTGGAGGGTTTAGTGAGTAAGCAGTTTGATACCATATATAGTGGTCCCTCGGTTCACGAGATTTCGGTTAACGAGTTACCTTCCATAAGATTCTTAACTTCGGTTAACGAGCAATCCCTTGATTAACGAGTTTCTTACAAGCCGACCAGACCATGTTTTTGCTTGCATTTGGCGGTCCACCAGCTGTAGTATTAGTCCGCCAATATAGTAATCGGTTCTAGGGCTTAAATTCCTTACCATTTTAGCAAATATCAAGAAGTTTATACTATTCAATAATTTTAACAGTTTAATATTAAATTTTTTAGTCATTTTAACAATTATTGAACATAATTGAAGGTAATGTAACAAGTTTTATGCGCGCCATCCAGCCTCTCAACACACCATACAGGTTTCAGTCTTTGTGTCTTTTCAGTGGAGGTAACATCTTGCTTGAGACTCTTCAACTAAATGCTTTTTTTCTGTGTTTGCAAGCAAATTATTGGTCATTTCGAAATTTATTTTACATATTGACAATATATAATACAGTGCAGTGTTGATTTAAAGAAAATAATCTTGAATTACACCAAGAGAACTAAAATTTTATGGGTGAAATGGCACCATGGGGTGACTTCTCTTCCACCCCAATGCCTTCTCTTCTCCCTTCTCCTCCACCCCCATTCTAATTTCCATCATCATCATCATCCAGGAGCCTTCTACATACACACCTCAAAGTAAGTGTACTTTTCTACCTTTTTTGTTGAATTTAGGCAATTTTCGGTGAGCTGGAACCAATTACCCAAAAACCCATTGAAACAATGGTTTCGGTTAACGAGTTTTTCGGTTAACGAGCAACCTTCTAGAACGGATTGTGCTCGTTAACCGAGGGACCACTGTATATTGAGGTTGTATGTGTGTGTTGCAAAAGGTTGGTTGGGTTTTAGGTGTGTGTGTTTGTATTTAATCCTCTCACTTATACTCATTTCATCTTGTGTACCATTTGATAATCATTTAACTTATGATTCATTAATCTAAATGATTATGAAATGGTACAGAGTTTTATCATAAATACATATCGGGTCTTGATGCAGTATTGATCTTTGTACTTACATTTTGTACTGTACTGAATAGGTCCCCCCTTAGTTATAGCCCTTAAGTCAGTCAGGTGTGATACATAGCATCTTAATAATGGATCTTGTGTTATGAGACACCTGACTGCAGGCTCCACCATAAAAAAGGGATTTCAGAGTTAACCCAACATCTTTTTTTCATATTCATGATGTTTTATGTGATGATTTATACACTAAAAATATGGAGCCACAATAAGTAAATTAGATTTATCCTCTTTGTATCCCAGAAGTAAAGGCAGTAGATGGTGAAGGGGAGCACAGCAGTTTTTTTAATGACACTTGTATACAGTACACAATATTTCATGTGGGTTAGTTCTGTATATATAGATGACAGGACCCCAGATCATCACTTGGGCCTTTACGTAGACTAACCAGGAGGGTCATGTGTTGGAGTTGTTCGCTGTCTTCTGTACATTTTGAAGGAACTGATCATAGATTCAGACATTTCTTTTTCCTTAATGATTGATTCAATGGGAAGATTTGGAGTAGAACTTGTGATAAATGACACAAGAGTTACAACAGTTTATTATAGCCATTACTGCTGTACAGAGACTCGGCATCTTGAAGAACCTAGTCATCATGGAGGTGCAGTCAGTGATATATTCTTAAGTTAAATATCAACATTCTGAAATTAAAGTGACTTGGTTGTGTTTTTGCTTCTAGTTTATATATATTTGGTTGGTAATTGTGGTGATAACCATAATATATAATATGCAGTATAAGGAGCTTTATTATTTATCATGTATTGATATAATATAATGTATATATTGTGTATGTACTAAAGCATTTGTAATGTATATATGACGTCATTTGTACCATTGTTTAAAGACGAGATACAACTAGTAAATAATTACTCATATTATCCCAGCCTTATAGTAGTAACATTTGTACTTGTAACATATAAAGATAGTAAAATAGGCAGACAGTGATATAAAAAAAAAGACTGCATGAATCAGAATTACACAGTGAGATTAGACATGTAGCATATACTGCACTATGTAAGTTGTGGGTAGAAACGAGTGTAAGTGGAGTACAGAATTTGTGTCCACGCGTTGGTTTAGCCTTTTCCTGTCATTTTCTACTCTTGTCTTGCAGTATTCACACCCTGTCACTTCTCTCCCGTCTTGGGGGTTTCTTTACCTCATGATCCATCCCATAAATAAAGTAGGAAAAGGAGTGAAGATGATAGATAGGTAGACATAATGTGTTTCCCGTATCAAACTTCACATTTTATTTGTCTATTATTAGATAGATTGAAGAACACAATTTAATCTTGATATCTTACTTTCCATTTGTGTTTTGAAATGTGAGTAATCTTGTAATTAATCTCTGCAACTACTGTGTTTTCTTCCTTACTGCAGACATTAATACCTCCCTCTAACACTGTTGTTGAATCAAGCTTAGCCGTGCAGTAAGGAAAAAGTGGTTTATTATTGATTTTTTTGATTACTGGTGGATCACTTCATAATTATATACATGCATACTTTTATAATTTCCCTGTATTATGAAAGCAGTTTATTGTTTTTATGATTGTTTTGTTTGCTTTTTCTTATGGAATGCCTTAACTCTCAGTGTCCAAAGATGGGTTTTTCAAGACTCAACCAAAATCAGAGCATTACAAAACTAATATCTAATAATTGTGCATGTCATCAAAACCTTTTCTTATTAGTCATTAATCACAACACCATTAGCCTCTCTAAATAGCTTCCATATATCTCGAGTATAATTTTCCATTTAATTGTTATAAGTAGACCTCTTATGCCATTTCTTGCCACTGTATACTAATCTTCCTCAGTATTCTTTAACATTTTTTTGTGGTATTATCTGTCTCATTATGTCGGTTTATAAGGTCCACATACCGCTCATCATTAGTTAACCCTTCCATTTACTTGAGTGATTGCACTTATATACCTTCATGCATGCAACTCCATTCATAATCAATCTTCAGTACCACTGATTAGTGTTGGTACAGCAGTAGCATGCTTGTCTCTCACCATTGCAACCTGGGCTCTGTTTCCCCATGGATCGAATGTCAGTAGAGGGTTGTCCACTGTGACTGCATTGAATATCAAATGTTTTCTCTTGGTACTCTGGTTTCCTCCTGTACCAACACTGGATCCATGGAGATGGCCCCATTGGAGAAACAGATGAAGATTTGGATATACAGATATTAGAAACCTTTATCTAGAATGTACCTAATAAACCTGTTTTAAGAAGGCATATTGAGCTTATGTACCTAATTAAGCTAATTAAAAAATTTAAGGCATCTCCAACTTATTTTTCCATTTAATGTGGTTTTCGTTCCTCCAAGTTGTACACGTTAGGAATATTGTACCACTTTTGCATACAGTATTGACCCATCACTATTTCTTCCTCAGTTTTTGTATTACAGAGTGCTGTAAGAAAGTAATTCCCACATAACATAATCAGTAGAGTCAGCTGAACAGAAACCACATGTAGTACATAATCAAATTATTTAGCTACATAGATAACATGGCAACACAAAAGGTATCTTATTGGATTTAACAATGCCAATAGGTTTGTTGGATTTTTCACCTAGTTATATGCTTTTGTTTGTGGACAGGAAAAGCTTGTAAATAGAATGAAAAATAAAAAGTTTTCTTTGTTTTATTTGTTTTCTATTTACATTATGGCTTATTTACAATAAATAATAAGTAAAGGAAAATTTATTGACATTCTTATTGAACAGTCGTGAAAAATTCTTATTTGCCTATACTATATAAATATATAAACAACTAACCCATAGCAAGAGCGAGACCTTAAGAATGATGAGAAAACAACACAACTGTACTGTATCTCATGTGTATACGAATATGTCTCAACAAGGATGATTGGTACCTTTAAGAGATGGTTTTAATTGTGAGAAAAACTAATGAAATCAAACAAAACACAAAAAGCTTATATGAAACTATTTACAAACTTATGCTACCCTGGTTCTTTTGTCCTAGTGGAATCCAGTGGCTCATATCCATGTTTCATCTGCTCCTTGAAGACCAGATAGTTTCTTTTTCTGTCAAAATGTTTCACCCACATTGCCGGGCAGAGTTCAATGTACTTATTTCTTAATTCCTTGCAAACTTCTTCATTACCTGATGAATGAAAATGTAAAAAAATTAGTCACATATGAAAGATACCAAGAGATAATACATTCAACTGACATCCTTTCTAGTATGGTATTTCTACCTCCCTAATGTAGCTATTTCTCCACAACTCTAAAAAACCACCAGCATACTCACTGCCCCATACTTAACAACTCACAGGTGCAAGACAACACATTCTTTGTTCCACCCACCAAAACACAAATACAGTACACAACAAGATAACACATCTCGCCATGGTACATCAACAACCAAGAAATTACAGTTTAAAAGCACATCACTTTTTAAAGATCCATTTGCACAACTGGTTTCCTCTTTCTCACGGGAAATCTAGTAGCAGGAGCAGCTACTGTATTCCTGTCATCCCTTACACACACTGTCTCATCAGGCTCATCTGAAGAGATGGTTAATTCATACACTGCACCATCGCGTATGATGTCCGTTATTGTATATTGTACCTTATTGTCCCTTCCATTTAGCATTCAACTTCCTACTGGTACAATTGCGGAAATGTGTTCCTACATCCCCTGTGGTAACCCGTGTCTCCAAAGAGCCAACCTACATGACCTAAAGCAAACCTACCCAATATTACGTCCCTTGACTTTTAACTCATCTCCCATAACACCCTGATATCCATGTATACAAGGTGTAGGTAACAGGTTTTACATTCAAGGTATTCACAAACTCTCCTTAATGAAAGTGGCTTCACTACCTGTATTAACTAAAACAAGACAGATACATCCACTCACAGATAACTCTCACCTCCAGCATCAAGACATTCCCAAAACTTGTCTCTGGAATCCCAACACTGATAACGAGACTCCTTGTTTGGGAAGTGGGAAGACTTCTCACTTGTTTCTCTTGGCATTATGTCCCTGAAAGAGAGAACACACTGTAAATAAATCTATAACAAGGCCCAGATCACGTGAAGATTACTCCCAGGATTATTTCACCTTAAGATTGAACCCTTTAATGAGGAGGCTAGATTGGGTTAGATAAGGTTTATATCTAGGAACATTAATACAGTAACAGGAGCAGCAGTGTTATTTAATGACACCACACTTGGCTTATGTGGTTTAGTCTTAGTCACCGAACTATAGAATGAATACGATATAGATCCCTTGAAAGTGTTAAGAAAAAGATGACTGTTAATTCAAACATCAGGAACCTTCAGTAATAGTTAAGGACGTGGGGTCAGGTTAAACAGCTGCCCCCTAAAAATACTTACATATTGTCTAGAAGAAAACCTCAAATATAGGCTTAATCAAGTGGAGGACATCCCCACTAAACTGACTTCTTAACGTGTGTTATGTAACTACCTAACTGACTAATTTATTGGTTTAGCTTGGGTTTATGTGGATTTAGCTGAGGTTGGTCTTGGTTTATTTCAAGTCTGACAGTGAAGCAACATCTCTTTAACATAACACGCTCCAAATTAAATACAGTACACAATACATGTATACATTATACATTAGTTAGTAAATACACGGTCCGACTAATTACCCAAATGTAGCCGCAATGAAGTCAAATGATGGTCCTACAAGCGTAAATCGGGCTGTGAATCACTTCTCGATTATTATTTGCTGTCATAGTCACAAAAAGTTGGTAAACTTAATTTAATCTGAGTTGTGTTAGGTTAGGTACATGCACTCGATCTATTAACTTAGATTAAATTAAGTTTACCAATTTTTTGTGACTTCGTGACACCAAATACTAGTCGAGGTTAGGTTAAGTTAGGTACACGCACTCGATCTATTAATTCAGATTAAGTTAAGTTTACCAATTTTTTGTGACTATGACTGCAAATAATAATCGAGAAGTGATTGGCAGTCCGATTTATTCTTGTAGGACCATCATTTGACTTCATTGCGGCTACATTTGGGTAATTAGTCGGACCCGTAAATACATTATTCTGTGTGTATTATTATCCAAGTGTTTTACAACATTTCACAACACAATCACTGAATCACTGTTCTTTCACTCACGTATACGGCTTATAGCTCCACTTAACTCCTAGTATAGTTCCAGGTAATTACTGGTTCTAGCTATATTATATGTTGCAAAATGACTACAGATTAGTCTTGGCAGTGTCAATAGTGTTCCTGGCGATGTCTCTAAAGTGTAGGGAAGTAATTGCCCTGAATTTCTCATGAGACGGAAACGAGAGGTTTACACAAGTGAGAGAAAAATTTGTTAAATAAGGGTAGAAGATTTCGATAGTGAAACATGTGTATAAAGAGTAAGGTAGAGTGAAATGACCGTGATGACGAACCTCGGCTGGGTAAGATGTAAGGGGGGGGGAGGAGACTGGTTCATCAGAGTCTGTGGAATTTTATTTGAGAAAATTCCACGAGACAATTTTCTTGGGGGTAAAATCTTATCAAAATTATACAAGATAAAATCTCACCAGCTTAATTTCTCCAAATTATGTTGTTAAATGGGTTTTTCAAAGATTATAGGCGAACATTAAAAATACTATAATCTTATGCAACACAGCCTGCAATCCCACGATGCAACACAGCCTGCAATACAACCTACAAGTCCACCATGCAAAAGTTTAATACTGTATAAAATAGCACCAGTGGCCAAGCAACACAACTCCCTCCAGTGTAGGGTAAATAAATCCATTCTGCCACATTTTATACCCAAAATAAAATACCTGTATTATTTCTGTTAATGTTTATTTTATATGATGTCATGATTTGTGCATTATGGAAATATATTTTTTTTTTTACAAAATTCGCCCATTTGCCCCCAACAATTAAGGTCAGATTTGAGTAAAACACATCTAAATATACACACAAAAAACCCACTATGGTAACAAAAATATTGATTATCGTGAAGAATCAGCAAGAAAATAATTAAGTTGTCATTATTTTTCTCGGTTGATTTAGTGAGTGTGGGAATATCTTCCTTCACCTTGTTGAGGGAGGCCTTATATATAAGCATTAAGGCATTTCTGGTAAAGAACACAAAGTGACAAAATTACACAATTTAAGATAATTAATAATATCATAGAGTAAATTTATCATTATAGAGAGTTTAAAAATGAAATTTAAGTAAAAAATGATGCCTTTTATATGCCGTGACAGGGAGCGTTGGTCGACGTCATACCCACCACCATGTGAACAGCAGCAAAATTTATTCTAAGGAAAATTGGTTCGTATTGCTGTAATATTGTTTTGTCAGGATTCATTTGTGTATTAATATGAAGGATATGTGTGCAGGGATTATGGTGTTGTAAGAGAGAGAGCCTTATAATACTTGTGAGGACAAGGTAAGAGACTTGCTGTGTGGGGGGTCCAGTCTCCTGGTAGGAGTAACAGGTAGGCAGGGGTCCGACTAATTACCCAAATATAGCCAAATATAGCCGGAATGAAGTCAAATAATGGTCCTAGATGAATAAATCGGACTGCTAATCACTTCTCGACTAGTATTTGGTGTCACGAAGTCACAAAAAATTGGTAAACTTAATTTAATCTGAGTAATAGATCAAGTGCATGTACCTAACCTAATCTAACCTAACACAACACAACTCAGATTAAATTAAGTTTACCAATTTTTTGTGACTTCGTGACACCAAATAATAATCGAGAAGTGATTTACAGCCCGAATTACGCTTGTACGACCATCATTTGACTTCATTGCGGCTACATTTGGGTAATTCCTCGCTCCCTCGGTACATGCACGCGATCTATTAACTCAGATTAAAGTAAGTTTTCCAATTTTTTGTGACTTTCTGACGCCAAATACTAGTCGAGAAGTGATTAGCAGTCCGATTTATTCATGTAGGACCATTATTTGACTTCATTCCGGCTATATTTGGCTATATTTGGGTAATTAGTCGGACCGGGTAGGCAGGGGTTATATGACTATTTTACCCTCAGTTATATATAAACTATTAATGTGAATAATTATTATTCAATATATTTATGTATGATTTTACTGTATAAATGTGTTTCAATTTACTAATATTTACAATATAACTTAACTAACTTACAAATTATAAATATAATATAATATCTTGAAGGGTTCTAAAATAAAACAAAGTTCTTCTGGTCACAGAAAATACTACATATTATTTTATTGATAACTTTAAACTATTGTAACAAAATCGACGAAGTAGAGATAGGAACACGTAAAATTAATGATAAGGGAGATAAAACATGATTAATTTATAAATCAATTTATTAAGAAAACCAACAGCTCAATGTTTAACGGTTATGATACAGTTTAGGTATCAGGTATAGACTAAAAAATGTTTATCTAACCTAACCTAACCCAATTCAACCTACATCATTATATGTCCATAAGAGAAGTGGGACATCTTGGAGTATCTGAAGATAATTAAGGGAGATAATGATTAAGCATTTAACATTTAAGTTATTATGTAATGACTAGTGTAATAATGCCCACAGCCATCCTGTCCATAATCCCATTAAAATCGTAGTAAAATCATAAGCAATCTCCACAGCTAACGGTCAAATACCCTTTGGATATTTGCCCAGCCAGCACAGTCAAATAACACCTTCATAACTTGTACTGAGCCATTATTGGGTAGTAGTGGTGGAGTCACTTAGTATCAGAGTACTGTGTTTATATTTGATTCATATTATCCACAGTTGTTCTGTGGATGATGTAGTATTAATGGTAAAATTTCACTTGTTACCACCAAGCATTTGGAAGTTGAAATTATGCTTGATGGATGTAAAATGTTATATAGATTTGATTCTATTGTTTGCAATTTTTTTGGTACAAATTTATAATTAAAAAAGTTTTGATTTTAGGGGAAAATTTGACATTTCCTACGAACATATAGGACAAGAGTTTACAGTGTATGTAATTAATTTGCATTAGTATATATGTATACTGTATTGAATGCACTAGTATAGAATATATAACCTAATCTAAACCATCCTAACCTAACCCATAGACTATACCAAGATCTGATAGGTTAACAAACCAGCTACTAAAATGTAAAATATCTCACTTATACAGTACTTAATTTGTGACAGAAATGCCATAGAAGAAAAGTGTTTTAGAATGATCAAAACTACTGATTGCAACCATAAAATTATCAAAAAATTTTGGGTGGCAACAAATGACATAATATCATATTAACTTGTAAAAATTAACACAACTTTTTATTTTAATTATAAATACCAGTATTTTTTTATCTCTTCTCTATGAATATAAATCACCTGTAATGGGCAGGGCATGAAAGATGACGGAGAGTACGGGGTAAAATACGGTGAAGAACTGATCATGTGACACTAAAATGATGTCTCCACGTTCTTTGACACAGAGAAATTAACTGTTTACAGTAAACAATCTACTAAAAAATATGACGTGGCAGCCCGTGTTGTCGTCTGCTCTTAAACCAACAAACAGTGAATCCGGTAATACTGTACTTAACTTGTCAATAAATGACAGAGCCTCATATTGGGGGTTTTATTACCATAAATATAAAATTATTATCTTTTTTTTTCTTAGAGGCTTTACTATCCAGAGCCATGAGTCTATTATCTCCACAAATCCCTTATTTATTTTTTTGTTTGGTTAAGTAGGATCTTAAACCTATTTTATGCACATTATAAATTATGAGAATTATATTGTTGGAATCAAATCCCATAATATGAGTTTAAATACATTTCCAATTTCTTTTGAGTAGTATTGGTTAATGAGTGAAACTTATGTTCTTATATTTTATTTTCCCTCCCTGGTTATGACTTCTTGTTGGCGTTGCTTTTTATCAAGTCGTAAATTATCTGCAAGACCCATTGTCAGATTTATAGCCGAGTGGGGAGGCCTGTTTAACGACCAAGAGGGCCAAGACTATTTATTAACGACTCTGCCATATATGACATTATTAGTTGTAATTTCTATAATGAAGCCATTTGGAAATAAAACCAATTATACAACAGAACACTAACATTATTTATGAAAATTAATGAGTCAGCTCACAACATTTTATGTATAACATATATGAACTCATAAATTATTAAACTACACACACATATTTGTAATGATAGTTTAAGTATATAACATAGACAGGAAAGAATTATATAAACTGAAGTACAGCAACGAACAACTGAATGTAAATTAATTTTTCTCAAATAACCAACAAGACAATAATGAAAACTGATAATGTTTAAAAAATAATTGACAAACAGAGAAATAATGAGAAAATATTCCTTCCATTAATAACATCTATATACAGTACACAGTACTATACTCGTTATGTGATAGTGATAATTAACTTAATACAATTTAATTTTCCTGCTTTTTCCTCCAAATTCAATTTCTGTGTAAGGTCTGCCCAAAATACAGTCAAGACCAGGTTACTTTTTCTACTATGAGTCATTGAACGCCTGTATGGTGTAAGCACGTGACAATTGAGAAGGAGTGTTCACACATTGCACTGCTTGTACCAAATGTGAGGGCAGCTGCATAAAACTTGTGTATGTGAGTTAGTCCATTTCAGAAAGGATATGATATCTTGAAATTTTCACCAATGTTTTTGAGAACTGGGCAATAAAATTCTTCAATAAGTCACTTAGCAACATGACATTCACTTACCAGAAGAGACGACTCATTGTCGACGCCTATGAGTTTAGCCAATGGGACAAGATTTTCCGGAAGTAATTAACAATTCTTGGATTCTGGCCAATGACTAGAAATGACTGTAAGTAGTCTAATATTATGCTCACCAAACCCAGCATTTAGTTCACCAAGGCAGTTATCTAAAATATTGTAGTACAGTTGATGATGTAAATCAGCTTCACTATCAAAACCATGAACATTAGAATGTCTTACAGTTGTTTCAGTCACTTTTAAGTATTGGAGCAGTTTGTGTTTATTTCAACGACCCAAAGGCAGTCCTGGTGGATCAAGTTTCCAATCTAGATCATTGGAACAACTTATTGGTAGGGGTACCCGCCCTATGGCAGTTCCCAGGAATATAAAAACATTTTCACTCCAAATTTTGGTACAGCACATTGAGATAGAATATATTCAAAACTTAGGAAATGACTTTGTTGATAAAAGTCTTGTTTCCATATGAATTCAAAGACCATCAGTTATTTACAAATGTGATCATGAGCACGCAGCCATGCATCAGCCAACAGTCCCACCAATACTGGAGTCTCGAGTACAGCAGACAGTGTTTTAGAGAAGAAACAACAACATCTTACAGTTGTTTCAGTCACTTTTAAGTATTGGAGCAGTTTGTGTTTATACCACTACCATTATTATTTCTCTACAGATACATCAGTGATGGTGGGGCCATCACATTATCAGCTGTTGTGGATTTCTCAATTCAACGTTTATATTGCAGACTCCACATAAGGTGCGTTTATTTCACTAGACCTTAAGGTTTATAAAGTATCTTTTGTCAGGTTTTGGTCCCACACAAAATTTAGCTTTAGATAATAATGGAAGTCTTGTACTTTGTGAATAATTTTGGCCAGGTACAGTACGGATATCTTTCTAAATTTATCCAAGTGACCAAGTCTTTAGGGGTGGGGGGGGGTCATAAGTTGTTTATTACAATTTTACAAGATTTTTTTCTTCTATATTTTCAGGTAAAACACTTCCATTCAGCAATTGGTGTGCAGTGTCCAGATAGTCAACATTTAGTAAGGAAAATTCTTACTGTACTTTACTTTCATTTACTGTATATATACAATACTTTCAAATTAATAGTATGTATGCAATCAAATATGTTCTTTATGGTCATGGCCAATGAATTTAAAAATGAACACGAGACGCCCGTTCTCTCGGTAAGGTTGTCAAAATCCTTCGTCTGAGGCGTCGGAAACTTAGATGTATTTTTTGTGCCATCTGTGGGTATCTAGTAGTTTTGATTACATGTACCCAATAGGGCATCACATGGGCATTAGTTTGTAACAGTTATACAATGAATGGCACTTTGATGTCAATTGGTGATAATTATACATAGTACATGATATATACTGTACATTAATTAAGTTACCCAGAAGCCATCATGTGGGTGTATCCAGGTTGATCACTTTAGTTCATGTTTCAGGTATAGTTTACAGTTCTACTGTACTTGTGGTTTATTTAGAAGATCATTATCATTCAACTTTGGAATATGAAACGTAAAGTTTATTCAATATTTATTTATTTATTTTATTATACACAGACATTGTAGGAGTGCAAACCATTACAAACACCTCCCAGTGCAAGTGCCTCTACCAGTGCAAGTGCCTCTACCACTACAAATGCCTCCCCCAGTACAAACGCCTCCCCCAGTACAAACGCCTCCCCCAGTACAAACGCCTCCCCCAGTACAAACGCCTCCCCCAGTACAAACGCCTCCCCCCAGTACAAACGCCATCCCTCAACAAGCCACCAGAGGCCTCCCCACACTGAACAACAATTACATATTACACTAAATATTACAAACCACTAAGAGAAATGGATCCGTGCGAGATATTCAAACCTCTCACAATCCGTTTGATTGATGTCCGTGTATCTCGTTGTACACCTTGTTGATACTTCACCTGTGGACGAAAAATATATTATAAAATGGAAATTTTTTGCAACCACAACAAAACTGTGACTACCATGATAGTTAATAATGCAACTGTACATAATGTATCTTGCTATTTTTAATACTTTGTGTGGCTTTAATCGAGGTTCACTCTTACAATCTTGAATGCATTAGTACAGTACTTTAAATATTTTCTCAAGTTTTGCTAAATTATAACAAAAATATTTCGGTAATACTTAACTTTCACATTGCACTATTCTTACAGTAGTGTACAGAACAACAATTCTGTTCTTTCTTAGTAAAGTGGTAGTCATCAAGGTGTGGGATGCTGGACAGTAGTGGTCACCTTGTTGTGTCTGGTCCATCTATCTTGTACACCATCCACTTGCAACATGATTATTTGTTTTTAGATACCGGGTACTCTACATCTGAATTAATTAAGCTATTTTATATCACTACCAATACACAATATTGAGGTTTACTTGTACTGTATGTTTTTAAATACACTATTTTAAGTAATACCTGTACCGGTACAGTAAAGTGGAGTCAGTATTTATTATCCAGATCACTTTCCTGGTGACTGTTTTAGTGTTTGTTTGACCAAAATTCAACATTATCTTTGTTATACATGAAGCTTTAACCCTGTACTGTACTGATCTATATTATACAGTAATGTACTGTACAGTATTTCAGTTGTAGCATTAATGAGGGACAACTGTATTGTACTGTACTGTTCTGCACTGATCCATATTTTACTGTACTCTTCTGTACTGTTTTGATCCATATACTGTACTGTTTTGTTCTGATCCATATTATACTGTTCTGTTCTGTACTGATCCATATTATACTGTACTGTTCTGATCCATATTATACTGTACTGTTCTGTTCTGATCCACATTATACTGTACTCTTCTGTACTGCACTTGGGGGTTAATATTCAGGTTCTATCTTCACACAGTCAAGGACGTAGTTTTGGAGTGTGTGGCCATATGTCTGGCCACACACTTTACATTTAGTCTTGTTCACATCTGCCTGAGGGACATACTGCCAGAGTGTGTGGCCATATGTCTGGCCACACACTACATATAGTGTTATTCACATCTGCTTGAGGAACATACTGCCAGAGGCACTTATATCCTAACCTTAGTCTATCAGTTACAACATCTTATAATGTAGTGATGTTGTTACTTGCTCCATATACATGTTTCACTTGCTACATCTCATCATGGTAAACTATGGATCGACTAATGCCTGTTAGCATTCACCTGCTTGCATTCATAAGAACATTGAACAAAGTGGCACTTTAAGCTAAGGTTTCTTTGCTCATAATTAATTTCAGATCAATAAGATCAATATTAAGGGAGATATATAGACTTTACCCTTCAATTTATAGAAATAACTGTAGCTGTAACACCATTATTAATGGTCCATCTGATGTACAGTACAGTACAGATGTCCATCATTAATACTAAAACTGATGTACAGTACAGTACAGATGTCCCACATTAATGCTACAACTGATGTACAGTATAGCACAGTACAGTACAAAACAGTTCAGAAGAGTACAGTTCAGTACAGTATAGTACAGTACAGTACACTACAGTATAGTATAGTTCAGTACAGTACAGTACAGCACAGCACAGCACAGCACAGCACAGAACAAAACAGTTCAGAACAGTACAGTACAGTATATTACAGTTCAGTACAGAACAGCACAGTTCAGAACAGTACAGTACATTATATTACAGTTCAGTACAGAACAGCACAGTTCAGAACAGTACAGTACAGATGTCCCTCATTAATGTTACAACTGATGTAAATAAATGTATCTTTAACGGGTGAGTTAAATGTCAGTTATAATAGGATAAAATTATTTATTTCCTTGTTTACAACGACTGATTTAACTGAGAACTATTTACATGAATGTGTTGTGAGGTTGGTAATGTAGTCACTGAAGAGCGGCGACGTACAGTACAGTATCTGCAAAAAAAAAAGAAGAGTTTCCACTGATAAGGTATGTTAATACACCTTGTACCTGTACCCTAGTGGCAGGAATGTGGACTGAGGACGACTATATGTACGGTAATAACACAGTAAATATAGTTTATACCTTTAGAATAATTCAAGAGGAAATATAAGGTACTAGAGTGTGAAGTAATAAGACGATCTGTGACGAAGAGGAGAGTAAAATAAACTTACAGGACTTGACACAGTTTCCCTTACCAAAGTGACACTAAATAAATGAAGCAAAATATAAATATATACAGAAATAACATATAATATCCAATAGTAACAAAATAAAACTCAGATTCTGTAATCTTTTCGGATCACAAAAAGCCCACAATAAGAACTAGAAACAAAAATGATGGCGATCATCCTTCTAGAGACACAAGGATCATGGAGGGACACCCCTAACATAAAAAGCCTTGAGAAAACATCAAATAGAATAACTTGGCTTGACCGAGACAGGCCTTGTGCTGTACCCTTCTTGCACCCTCGGAGCTAATGCGCTCTAATCTCTATATTACCAACCAACCTAACTATTTCAATACTGTTGTGGATAGACTAAGAATGAATATATAATCAAGTTTAATGGAAAAATGAAAACATTTATTCACTAATGAAATATAATAGTTACCCCTGCACAGTTTTCTGTAATCAAATATAATAGTTACTCCAAATCTGACTCCTGTGATGAAATATAATAGTTTGCCTTAAAACCTTCTTCTCAGTGTTCTGTGATCAAATCTAATAGTTGAAATATAATAGTTACCTCAATTACCCTCTCAATTTTCTGTTTTCAAATATAATGGCTATCCCTCATCCGTCTTCTGTGATGAAATATAATAGTCACCCCAAAAACCTTTCTTGCAGTTTTCTGTGATCAAATCTAATAGTTGAAATATAATAGTTACCCCTAAAACCTTCCTCTTATATTACTTTAGGATGCCACCTTTTTGGCGAGTTACACGAATTTATGTAATTACAGCGTTAATTACATGAATAATCAAAAAGGCTTTTAATAGCATACTCTATTTCATATTTACTAATTAATGCAATGATCTTATAAAAGATACTTTCACAAAAACTAGTGAAATCATTAAATATAATTCTTTTATGGGATTAAATATAATAGTTACCCCTTTTTAGAGTTCTGTCATGAAATATAATAGTTACCCCTTCTTAGTTTTCTGTGATGGAATATAATAGTTACCCCTTAAACCTTCTTCTTCTTCCTCTCATCAAAACACTAATCCTTCTTATTCTTCTTCTTTCTTCTTCTTCCTCTCATCAAAACACAAGGGAAAGATTGAAAGCTAGAGGGAAGAAACAAACTTCGAAGGGGTCATTTTTTTTGGGCCGCCTGTCCCCAACCCTGCCCCCTGAAACCTAGTTTACTTATATTACTTTAGGATGCCACCTTTTTGGCGAGTTACACGAATTTATGTAATTACAGCGTTAATTACATGAATAATCAAAAAGGCTTTTAATAGCATACTCTATTTCATATTTACTAATTAATGCAATGATCTTATAAAAGATACTTTCACAAAAACTAGTGAAATCATTAAATATAATTCTTTTATGGGATTAAATATAATAGTTACCCCTTCTTAGAGTTCTGTCATGAAATATAATAGTTACCCCTTCTTAGTTTTCTGTGATGGAATATAATAGTTACCCCTTAAACCTTCTTCTTCTTCCTCTCATCAAAACACTAATCCTTCTTATTCTTCTTCTTTCTTCTTCTTCCTCTCATCAAAACACAAGGGAAAGATTGAAAGCTAGAGGGAAGAAACAAACTTCGAAGTGGTCATTTTTTTTGGGCCGCCTGTGCCCCCAACCCCTGCCACCCGAGTTACACCCATGAATAATCAAAAAGGCTTTTAATAGCATACTCTATTTCATATTTACTAATTAATGCAATGATCTTATAAAAGATACTTTCACAAAAACTAGTGAAATCATTAAATATAATTCTTTTATGGGATTAAATATAATAGTTACCCCTTCTTAGAGTTCTGTCATGAAATATAATAGTTACCCCTTCTTAGTTTTCTGTGATGGAATATAATAGTTACCCCTTAAACCTTCTTCTTCTTCCTCTCATCAAAACACTAATCCTTCTTATTCTTCTTCTTTCTTCTTCTTCCTCTCATCAAAACACAAGGGAAAGATTGAAAGCTAGAGGGAAGAAACAAACTTCGAAGGGGTCATTTTTTTTGGGCCGCCTGTCCCCAACCCTGCCCCCTGAAACCTAGTTTACTTATATTACTTTAGGATGCCACCTATTTGGCGAGTTACACGAATTTATGTAATTACTTCATTAATTACATGAATAATCAAAAAGGCTTTTAATAGCATACTCTATTTCATATTTACTAATTAATGCAATGATCTTATAAAAGATACTTTCACAAAAACTAGTGAAATCATTAAATATAATTCTTTTATGGGATTAAATATAATAGTTACCCCTTCTTAGAGTTCTGTCATGAAATATAATAGTTACCCCTTCTTAGTTTTCTGTGATGGAATATAATAGTTACCCCTTAAACCTTCTTCTTCTTCCTCTCATCAAAACACTAATCCTTCTTATTCTTCTTCTTTCTTCTTCTTCCTCTCATCAAAACACAAGGGAAAGATTGAAAGCTAGAGGGAAGAAACAAACTTCGAAGTGGTCATTTTTTTTGGGCCGCCTGTCCCCAACCCTGCCCCCTGAAACCTAGTTTACTTATATTACTTTAGGATGCCACCTATTTGGCGAGTTACACGAATTTATGTAATTACTTCATTAATTACATGAATAATCAAAAAGGCTTTTAATAGCATACTCTATTTCATATTTACTAATTAATGCAATGATCTTATAAAAGATACTTTCACAAAAACTAGTGAAATCATTAAATATAATTCTTTTATGGGATTAAATATAATAGTTACCCCTTCTTAGAGTTCTGTCATGAAATATAATAGTTACCCCTTCTTAGTTTTCTGTGATGGAATATAATAGTTACCCCTTAAACCTTCTTCTTCTTCCTCTCATCAAAACACTAATCCTTCTTATTCTTCTTCTTTCTTCTTCTTCCTCTCATCAAAACACAAGGGAAAGATTGAAAGCTAGAGGGAAGAAACAAACTTCGAAGTGGTCATTTTTTTTGGGCCGCCTGTCCCCAACCCTGCCCCCTGAAACCTAGTTTACTTATATTACTTTAGGATGCCACCTATTTGGCGAGTTACACGAATTTATGTAATTACTTCATTAATTACATGAATAATCAAAAAGGCTTTTAATAGCATACTCTATTTCATATTTACTAATTAATGCAATGATCTTATAAAAGATACTTTCACAAAAACTAGTGAAATCATTAAATATAATTCTTTTATGGGATTAAATATAATAGTTACCCCTTCTTAGAGTTCTGTCATGAAATATAATAGTTACCCCTTCTTAGTTTTCTGTGATGGAATATAATAGTTACCCCTTAAACCTTCTTCTTCCTCTCATCAAAACACTAATCCTTCTTACCTTCTTCTTCTTCCTCTCTCATCAAAACACTAATCCTTCTTATTCTTCTTCTTTCTTCTTCTTCCTCTCATCAAAACACAAGGGAAAGATTGAAAGCTAGAGGGAAGAAACAAACTTCGAAGGGGTCATTTTTTTTGGGCCGCCTGTCCCCAACCCTGCCCCCTGAAACCTAGTTTACTTATATTACTTTAGGATGCCACCTTTTTGGCGAGTTACACGAATTTATGTAATTACAGCGTTAATTACATGAATAATCAAAAAGGCTTTTAATAGCATACTCTATTTCATATTTACTAATTAATGCAATGATCTTATAAAAGATACTTTCACAAAAACTAGTGAAATCATTAAATATAATTCTTTTATGGGATTAAATATAATAGTTACCCCTTCTTAGAGTTCTGTCATGAAATATAATAGTTACCCCTTCTTAGTTTTCTGTGATGGAATATAATAGTTACCCCTTAAACCTTCTTCTTCTTCCTCTCATCAAAACACTAATCCTTCTTATTCTTCTTCTTTCTTCTTCTTCCTCTCATCAAAACACAAGGGAAAGATTGAAAGCTAGAGGGAAGAAACAAACTTCGAAGGGGTCATTTTTTTTGGGCCGCCTGTCCCCAACCCTGCCCCCTGAAACCTAGTTTACTTATATTACTTTAGGATGCCACCTTTTTGGCGAGTTACACGAATTTATGTAATTACAGCGTTAATTACATGAATAATCAAAAAGGCTTTTAATAGCATACTCTATTTCATATTTACTAATTAATGCAATGATCTTATAAAAGATACTTTCACAAAAACTAGTGAAATCATTAAATATAATTCTTTTATGGGATTAAATATAATAGTTACCCCTTCTTAGAGTTCTGTCATGAAATATAATAGTTACCCCTTCTTAGTTTTCTGTGATGGAATATAATAGTTACCCCTTAAACCTTCTTCTTCTTCCTCTCATCAAAACACTAATCCTTCTTATTCTTCTTTCTTCTTCTTCCTCTCATCAAAACACAAGGGAAAGATTGAAAGCTAGAGGGAAGAAACAAACTTCGAAGTGGTCATTTTTTTTGGGCCGCCTGTCCCCAACCCTGCCCCCTGAAACCTAGTTTACTTATATTACTTTAGGATGCCACCTATTTGGCGAGTTACACGAATTTATGTAATTACTTCATTAATTACATGAATAATCAAAAAGGCTTTTAATAGCATACTCTATTTCATATTTACTAATTAATGCAATGATCTTATAAAAGATACTTTCACAAAAACTAGTGAAATCATTAAATATAATTCTTTTATGGGATTAAATATAATAGTTACCCCTTCTTAGAGTTCTGTCATGAAATATAATAGTTACCCCTTCTTAGAGTTCTGTCATGAAATATAATAGTTACACCTTCTTAGTTTTCTGTGATGAAATATAATAGTTACCCCTGAAACCTTCTTCTTCTTCCTCTCATCAAAACACTAATCCTTCTTATTCTTCTTCTTTCTTCTTCTTCCTCTCATCAAAACACAAGGGAAAGATTGAAAGCTAGAGGGAAGAAACAAACTTCGAAGGGGTCATTTTTTTTGGGCCGCCTGTCCCCAACCCTGCCCCCTGAAACCTAGTTTACTTATATTACTTTAGGATGCCACCTATTTGGCGAGTTACACGAATTTATGTAATTACTTCATTAATTACATGAATAATCAAAAAGGCTTTTAGTAGCATACTCTATTTTATATTTACTAATTAATGCACAAAAAACTAGTGAAATTATTAAATGTAACTGTTTTCTGTCATGAAATATAATAGTTAACCTTTAAACCTTCTTCCTCTTATCAAAACACTTAAATCCTTCTTCTTCTTCTTCCTCTCATCAAAACAAAAAGGAAAGAATGAAAGATAGAGGGAAGAAACAAAATTCGAAGGGGTGGTTTTTTTATGGCCCCTGTCCGCAACCCTGGTCCCCTGAAGCCTATTGTTCTTGTAGTACTTTGGGATGCCATCATTTTGGTGAGTTACATGAATTTATGTAATTAAATAATTAATTACAGTAATAATCAAATAAGATTTTAATGCCATAATCTACTTTATATTTACTAATTAATAGCATTATCAGAAAGAATAGATGTTCACACCAACCTAATTAACAGATTAAATTTAATAATTACCCCTAGTCCATTTTGTGATGAAATATAATAGTTGCCCCTAAAACCCTCTCAATTTTCTGTTTTCACCAACCAGTTCTCTCTACATCACGCTTGTAACCACGCTGCCACTTCCCAGCTGCATTGTACATCCAATACAACATGCATACAGAGTGCACATTGTGAGTTTCCTTTCTCCATCCAATCCTGAGTGTGAACCCAAACAAACGTACCCCACAAATGGTGACCCCCGGAGATTCGCACTCACAAAGGATGGAGGAGAAACAGATCGCGCTCCCAGTCCCATTTGTGGGGTACGTTTGTTTGGGTTCACACTCAGGATGGGATGGAGAAAGAAAATTCCCAATGTGCTCTCTGTATACTGTACATGTTGTATTGGATGTACAATGCAGCTTGGTGCTGGTTGGTGAGGATGCTCAGAGGACCAGCTTGTGGGTCGCCATGCTTGCCGGCGGGAGCGAGGACCGCCAGGCAGGAGGAGGAGGTGTTGCTGGCTGGTTGGTGTACGTAGAAAGAGAGTGGTCACCACGAGGTCAGGTCTTAAATAGCGGAGGTAGGCGTGGCTTAGTAGTTGACCTCCGTCATGTAAGGCGGCGCTGGTTGACCTAGACCACGAGGCATACACTGGGGAATTCGCGGGGTCGGCTACTCAGTGACAAACAGCGTTTGTAGGGGAGGAATCCACTACAATACTCCCCCCTTCCCTCTAGGCGGTGTAGGAGACTTGTTGTCTGCAGGGTTGCATCCCACATGTGAGGCAGAACGGGCGGTGCAGGAGACTTGTTGTCGGCTGGGTTGTATGCCACTTGCGAGACATAACAGCGAGGGCGTGGATGAGCCGACTGCTAGTGGAGACCACTTTGTCTAGATACACGAGATCTGTGGGAGGGAGGGAGGGAGAAGGAGGATTGTAGAGGCGTAAATGTTGTGCTTCCTTCGCGGCAGGTACAGAGTCCTCAGATGCGCCTGCTGGGGTGTGTGGGTCCGGGTCAGGGGCAGGGGCTGCGTCAGGAAGAGGGTCTATGACAGCAGCAAGGTCCACGACAGCAGCAGGGTGCAGGACAGTAGCAGGGAGTACCTGAGGGAAAAAAAAAGGGTGTGTGGGGCCGCACTCAGGCGCATGGGCCGCGTCGGGAGCAGGGGCTGCCAGGCACTATACAAGTTTACAGTACAGTTATCTTAGTATGTATGTACCAGCCATTTTACTACATCACCCTACCACTATCACTCCCACTAGGCCTCTCATAAAAAAATACTCAAATGTTCGTTATTAGAGACATTGGTATAAGACCTCATCGACGTGAAAACAGAACTTAACTTGCATCATTTTCCTTCTAGAAGACTTCCTGATCATCATGTGGAGGTGATGGTACATGAGACTGACAAGTAACAGCACAGCAGTTATTTAATGACATGACATGCCATACCAGTCATTACACTCCAGGTACTTCCATCAACTTTTGTCACTTATAAGAGTACCAGTAACTTGGGTCAAATAACACTTCCTTATATTGGGTATTGTTGTGGAGGGGGACACCATGATAGGACATATTAAGTAAGGTAGCTTAGAGACAATGCTTGAGGAAAGTTTAGTGTGGCTCTCCAATATGGCCATCCTGCAACATAGTGGGAAGGGTTTGAGGCAGTGAGAGAAAAGAACTTTCATAATATTATAGTATAGGTCATGCAGATAGATACGCTGAGACATTAAATAAATTACCTCTGCCTGAACACATGAACATCAAAACAATTCATATAACAATCCACAACCTCAAAATATTAGCATTATTCATATTATAATTTTTTTCTATACATCTATGACATCAAAATATAGTAATACAATTTCTTCATAACTGAGGATATGTTCATAGGCTCAGGTTATGTTGATTGAAGGGAAATGAAGAACACGTAAGAGGTACATATATTCAATAAACACAACTCCTCCAAAAAGATATTCTTTATTAAAAAAAAAATAAATATAAGCAATGTTGCAAAGAATGTTGAATGCTGAACAATTATTATGAAGGTGTAATATACATCATGGTGATTGGTTGGTTGATTGGTTGCTACAGTTCTCACTATAACAAGACATGATTTGCCCCTACAATAAATTTATGGAATATACAACTCTACCAAAATTTATTACAAGTATCATCGTAAGTCGAGATAAAAGTGAGTTCCAGGGATCAAATAAATTTACAAGGTATTAATCCCTTGACTATGGTGACTTAACCCTTCGAGTATGAAGTCTCAAGTTTTACCCCTTGAAGTTTTATCCCTCGAGGATGATGACAACTCCTAGGTGCAATGTCATTTTTATTTATCAAGGGATTTGGTCATTGTAATCAAATAGTTAAAGCGTTGTACTCAAGAGGTTTTCGTTGTCATATTCAAAGAGTTAAGACATTGCACTCAAGAGGTTGTTATTGTACTCAAGAGGTTATCATCATACAGTACTCGAGGGGGTTACGACATCATACTCAAGGGTTTAAGTCATCGTATTCAAAAGGTTGACAATAATGATGATGAAGATGGAATTTGTTTTGAACTATTGTAATACAAATACAGAAGAATTAACTATTACATTACTTACCTCTGAAACAAACACAATAAAATCGATTCCAACTCTTACTTCAAATGCATTGCAAAATAATAAAACACAATCCACTGAAAAGTAAGATCTTCGTAAGCCGGTCATAAGTGCCTTGGCTCATAACATGGTGTTCCAAATTAACTAAAGCTTTATATACTTGAACTACTGAAGTAAAGCAAGTTGTTATACTCACAATATTCACATACAACACAACATGAAGTCAGAATTAGGTTCAAGTCAAACTACTAAGTGCTTCAAAGTTACAAATACTAAACTAAGCCACATTTATTTGTACAACTCACTGACTTCACGTACCTCATGTAATGTTAATGTTAAAAATATCCCTTAAGACTACATCAGATCCATTACATTAGGAGTACAGTACTGTAAAGTATATATGTATGTATAGTGTACAGTACATCAACGCACGCACACACACGCACACACACATCAAACTACACCTCTCACTATTACAGTACAGTACTTTGATAAATGAACAAGGAGTCACAGATAAAAGGGAAGAGATTATTATTAGTAAATTTGTATCTTGTTATTTACTAATAGTTAATATACATTTTTTTTCATCTACTGGTTATTATTATTATTTACGGAATCCTACTATATAATAAAATATAGTGAAACCCCTTTGCATTGTCAGCTAACACCATGAGTTCTTGTACTATACAGACTTACTGAAGCAACAACTGATGGTAAGTATGAGGCAGTCAGTTCTAAATCTCTATCAAGTCATCAACAACAACTACTATACGCCACACTTAAGGGAGGTGTCAAATCAACAACTACATTACACTTGAGGGAGGTGTCAACTCAACAACTACATTACACTTGAGGGAAGTGTCAACTCAACAACTACATTGCACTTGAGGGAGGTGTCAACTCAACAACTACATTACATTTGAGGGAGGTGTCAACTCAACAACTACATTACATTTGAGGGAGGTGTCAACTCAACAACTACATTACACTTGAGGGAAGTGTCAACTCAACAACTACATTGCACTTGAGGGAGGTGTCAACTCAAAAACTACATTACATTTGAGGGAGGTGTCAACTCAACAACTACATTGCACTTGAGGGAGGTGTCAACTCAACAACTACATGGTTCTTGAGGGAAGTGTCGAATCAAGCTAGCTGGAGCCTTTATCAATCCAGCGACTTTTATTGACTCAAAACATGGTAGACTGAGGCGTTGTCATGGTGAATATAAATGACAAGTATGAACATAGAAGCTCTTTATCCCCCAGTGATATAGAGAGAGCAGTGAGTGGGTGGGGAGGGTGGGTTTGGTGATCCGATACAACTAAAATCCATACTCCATCCTCTTGGTGACTTCACAGCCAAGATACACACAGTGGCGAGACATCAACACCTATGTTAATTCTTATGTACTATGTCAATTAATAATCCTTTAAATAATAATAATAATAATAATAATAATAATTATGCCCCGGTTCATCAAGAGAAGGGATGTAGATTGCTTACAACATACAGCAGTTATGACCGTTTATGGATGATGGTCGGTGTTTGAAGTGCCGAAGTTACATTTAGGGACTTGTTGAGGAAGGGGAACACTACACTACAACACATCTATTACTGTAGTTAAGAGAATGAATGCCAGTTAATAACAGGAGAGTCCATGTTTGTTCTTGACTCTGGCCACCTCTACATCAAAGCAGGATAGGTTTAACCTTCACTATAGGGATGCCACTTTTAACATTTTATTCGACTAACACCAGATGATTTTATCGAGCTCAGAGGTGACCCCATACACAAGGGGCTAAAAGAGGATATTTTTGCTCCGTATCATCCTTCCTCAACGACAGAAATTTTAGCGATGACTTCACGACAACCTCATACCGTAAACAAGCATTTCAGACCAGATCTTTTCCAATGCAAAGGGGTGTCAACACAACTATATACTGTTTATATAAATATATGAACGAGAATTAAACTCCCAAACTGTCACAAACTGCAGCAGGAACCTATAATGTAGCTAATTCAGTTAACACAACTCTTCCATCATAATTACGAGAAAGAAATTTGTTGGTTATGTAACACAGACAGGACCTGCTAAGTCAATTATCTCTCGGGCAACATAAACTAACTAGATCTAACCTAACCAAAACTATCTTATGATTATCAAGTTTGGTTAAATTAGGTTTGCATTACCTACTTGGGAAAAAAAAAGGTTTAAAAGTGGTATTTGTGGTAGTTTTCCATCAATTGCTTTTTGTAGTGAGTTTACTCTAAATACTGGTGATAATGTCTCAAGGGGTGTTCCTGATGCTTCCATAAGGGTGATAATGTCTCAAGGTGTATTAAGTGGTGATAACTGTGGTGAAAGTCTCTCTAAACTTAAAATTTAGTTGTCAAATGTCACCAAGTGCATGTACCCAAAGAGTGTGTCATGTTTCTCGCTGATCTTATATTTTGACATCATATTCTAGAGCAGCATTACGACAACAAGTGTTCATTTATGAGGGAAATAACAGTGCTCATGAAGTCTGCTGTTTCCTAAGAATATATAAAAAGCAAGTGATAAAAGAAAACAAGGGGAGTGGTACCATATATAGAATTTCTTTTATTTACACGAAAATCTTCCATTAATCGCCTTAAAATATTTTAAAACAAATGCAGGTTTTACTAGACAGCAATTATTCTCTACATCTGACCTGTGAGGTAAATGCTTCAGGTCTGTCAGTTGAAACTTTCACCCACAAACACCGGAATAATGTTCGGTGATAAATTCCCTCAATCTATTTTTCACTATAAATTCAATGACATTTGTGAATAATTATGTAATATCTACAATCATTAATAAGAAGAGTACTTCAAAGTACAAATATATTTAATTACAAACCTTCTACTAAACATTACAAATATGATCTTTTTTTAAGGTAGTTTCACAACTCCCAGAACACAACACAAGACACATTAGTTAAATCTTCCATCTTCAGGTGACACCAGCAGCTCTCATGAAGTACCAGCAGTTATTAAAGAAGGCGGTAGGTCAAACTGGCCCTAACCTAACCGTACCATACCATACCATTAAAATTGGAGCCCAGTACTAAGAAACAGTCTAACCCTAATGATCTGATTAAGACTGTTGCCCAATTGACTTGTGATCTCACAAACTTGAAGGATAAAAACTTGTGTAACTGAGCTGATACCTTTTACGTCCCACATCTGACCCTACACAACACTAGTTATAATTCAATACTATTTAAAAATCTCCTGACCACACTATTCCATCAATTGTATAATAACTTCAGCTGTATCTGTACTTGATATTTTCATAACTCTTGTAACCAACACTGCATAAACACCCAATCAAACTCAATATATTTCATCGAGAATTTATAGTCCAGTATAGCAGATGTGCCTGGTGCTCTTCACAGATCATTGCCCAGAGCACAGAAGACATGGTGGCATTAATAAACATGGAGAGACACAGCATACAACTAGGAACCTTTCTATCCTAACTCAGCGGTGACCGGCACCGCTGCCTCAAGGCAGAAGACGTGCTATATACGGGGCACCAACCTTGGCACGCGACGTTTACATGAAAGGTACAGCAAGGAACACTTACAAGGTAACTCCACTAAACTCCGGTAAAATATAACTGTATATGTAATTATAGTATAGCACTTTCTAATATCCTTTATGCTATTTCTTACATAGTGTTTATAAAGGATAACTTGACCCATGAGAAACTGACATGGTTGGTGGCCACAGTTCAGCACACATGGTACTGACTCTTCCAGCTACAGAGATTGTTGCTAGTCATTTACACAAGACATCAATGAACACAATAAAAATACATGGAATCAAAAGATAAAATCTCAGGAAGAATCTTCTCCACACACCATAGTACAGTACACAATACCAACACAGTGTAACATGGTTCTTTATGGCAACAATAAAATGTCCTCAGTCAACAAATAACACCTTATGTACTTTTTATATACCTATTAAACTGTTGATTAAGCAAGTTCTTCTTCATCTGTAATTTTGTCATTTTCTGAGATTTCTGTGTCCCTTGACCCTCCCTCACAGTGGTAGATGAATTAAGAAAATATGTAGTCAGATAGGTACTGATGGGAGTTGATCTGAAGAAGGTGGCAGCTTGAGGCTACATGAGGTGTTTCGACTGACTGCCATATCATACAAGGTCATGTTATAAATACCAGGACTGTATTTAACTGTGCACACATAACAGTCGTGGTTCATCTAGTGAGTTATGTTACCTGCTTTAGTCTCCCATCAACAGTTACAGGTACGTACTTTATAATTCAGGGATCACCACAGATACATTTTCCACACATATATTATCCAGACAGTGTATATAACTCAACTAGATGACACACCCTCACTTGTATTCCTTGACAAACCCTAATAACACCACAAACCTGTAAAAACAAATGTAATTAACAATCATTTACTAAGAATAAATACACCCATCTTTACTGATCCAGTGAACTCTTAAGTGTGGATGAGGAATATTAAATTGTTGTGGTGTATGGGAGTGGGAACTGAAGTATGGTGCGTGTTCTGTCAACACATACAAGCCTCTGAAGTGATCCCTGTGATGACTTCACCTCGGCTCCGGTAAAGATTCCTTCTTTAAATTGTCACATTACAATAGAAATATATATATACTGTATTTATATAAAAACAATAATATAGAGAGGGCAATTTGAACCCCATAATCAATATATAAAACATTTCACAACTTTCACAAGCTCAGAATGAAATTGTCATTAAAAAAAAAAAATAAAAATCTGAATCGATGTGAGGAAGAACGATGGTGTAGGTAAGGTTCAGCCACAACACAACACAGCTCTGGATATGTTGTACTTCTTTTTCTTGGACCTCACAGTCAACAGCAAAAATGGTCAATGTTTAAAAAAGTACCACAGACCAAACCAACCTATTACCCATACCAACACTACCCTACCTACCAACCCTAAGGTTATCAGCCTAGACTTGGATAACCTACATATAGTTAAACAAAATAATGAATAAATAACTTTGTGGACATGTTTGTGGTACTTATTCCAACACTAATTATCCTGCCATTCAATGATAACATAAATTAGGGTCATGAAGTACTTTAAAATATATTACTGTACTGTATTTCTTCACAATGAAACTAATTCTGTCGGTTATTTATCTATCCACCAACAGTTACCAGGAAAGGTCTTTGTAACTAACTATGGCCCCAAAAGTAAGTCCTAAGCAGAAAAAAAGTCATTCAGTTAAGCAGGACCAGTGATGTGGGTGTTAATGGTCTGGGTGTGGGTGTTAGTGATCTGGGTGTAGGCATTAGTGGTCAGGGTATGGGAGTTGGATATCTGAGTGTGGGTGTTAGTGGTCAGGGAATGGGTGTTAGTGGTCAGGGTGTAGGTGTTACATGTGTGGGTGTTAGTGGTCAGGGAATGGGTGTTAGTGGTCAGGGAATGGGTGTTAGTGGTCTGGGTGTGGGTGTTACATGTCTGGGTGTGGGTGTTAGTGGTCAGGGAATGGGTGTTAGTGGTCAGGGTGTGAGTGTTACATGTCTGGGTGTGGGTGTTACATGTCTGGGTGTGGGTGTTAGTGGTCAGGGTGTAGGTGGGTTACATCACTGGTCAGGATCTCCTCCAGACACAGGATACTACTAAGCAAAACCTTCCTCTTTAGAATCACACTTATATAAACAGTTCAGAAACTCTTTAAGCTTTTTTTTTTAAACTACATTGTATTTTTTTTTCTCTTAAAGCAAAATATTATTACAGTACTACTACACAACTCCAACAAAGCATCTTATTAATTATTAGTCTGCTAGCAACATGTGACCTACTTCTTTACTCCACAATCAATATGAAACTAACAATGTTCAAAAAATTCTCACGGAACATTTGTGAACGAGGGGATGGGGAGATGGAGGGTGTGTGTCACTAATAGAATGAAAAACAACATCCACGGCTATGAAATTTCCGCATAAAGACGGAGTTTCACGTTCCTACCCCTTCTGTCCCCGATGATCCGACTTGTTGCACAGGATCTCTGGGTTCTGTTTTGGGTTGTTCGGACGGGGCCGGCTGGTGGGCCTCCGAGTCAGCCGGTAGTGACCCGTAGTCCACTCCTGTGTCGTCCACGTCGATGTGTTCGTCCTCCACGTCCTGCACCTCCACCTTGACTAGACTTACTGGCACAACCTCCTGAAATAATGATGTATTATTGAGCAACTTAAGAGTAAACAAACAGCTGACACACACACTATAACTTCATTATAAAAAAAACAAAAAAAAAACAAGACATAAGCATCTGTATCCTCACTAGAAAAATATTAATAAAAAAAACACTCCATTATGAACACAAGAACCATGTAACAAATAAATTAATTTATATTAATGTAAGTGAACTTATCTTCTATGTTATGTTTTGGAAATAAAATTCAGGTAAATGAATTGACGAGACCTATTGCTATTTTTTTATATGGTATACCTGAAATGTGTATCTACAATGTCTATATACATGCTGAACTGTATCCCTGCATTGTCTGTATACATGCTGAACTGTGTACCTGCTGAATCATTGCATATTTGTATGACGACTGTACGGAATAAAACTAAACTGAACTAACTGCTGGTGATCAATACACAAGACTCCCACAGCCTCTCTATACAATGACCTTCAATAGAAAGTTAAAGGTCAAAAGTTAAGACTCAGGAAAAGCTGTAACGTAAAATAATTGAAATTTACCAAAAAGGAATAAAAACAGTTTGAAAGCATATTAAACCCATTGAGGAGTAACTGAATGTATCACAAACTCTACTACTACTACTGCATGATCTTATATTAATTAGCCGCACCTAATGGGGAACACTGTACCACAAATCTTACGGGATACATAATACTGTACGTACCTGCATATCGGACGACGCATCATCATCCATGTCAAAATCTTTCGCTCTAAATTCGTCTGATGGGAAGTCCTTCTTGTCCTCTCTCTGCCAGGTACCTTTATCAGGTTTTTGGTCACTGTTCTGGTCTGTTGTCCTCATCTCGCCTTTTTGGTTTGTTCTTATGCTGGTCTGTTGGATCATTCTCGTCTCCGATTTATAACCCTGGGACATTTTCGACGTGCCGATTTGGTCTTTCCGGTGGTCTAGTCTGTGGATTTGTCTATGGGGAACGTTTAAATCGCCGTCTCTGTGATAGGGAGTGAATCTGTGGGGGGTCATCATGTTGCCGAAGGATGAACCGATGGTCGTGAAGCCTTGTGGGCCCCCCTGAGTCGAAGACCCCATGCTAGAAAAGCGAGTCAGGGACTGGGGGCTAATGCCTGTTCGGGGTTCCAAAATTCGCATCGTCTGGGAGCCGTTTTCTTCTCGTCTGATTCTCTTAGGATAGGGACTACTGCGGTCGTCGGTTGGACTCCAAGTGTGGCCAAACTTCATGTTGCTACAGAGGGATTCGTCAGGAACAGCCAACCCCTTTATCTGCAATGCCTCGGCTACTTTAATCAGCTGTGGGAGGTCGCTCTGGGCAACACTCACCACACCTGCGTACATGTAGCTCAAGAGGGCCTCCATCTCCTTACAGTGGACATCCTTCAGTACAACAATGGGATGTTTACAAGGTGTTGTCTCAAACATGTTCATGAAGTATTCGCTACATGTTGACAGGACAAGTTTGTGTACCGGGTAGAACTTGCCATCACACGCCAAGGTCACATCTGTGTACCTCTCCTGTGAATGAAGATAAAATCAAACAAATAATACAAGGTTAGGATGACTGAACTTAATAGCCCTAAAAAAATACTAATAATAATCATAAGTAGATAAAATATCACTACCGAATAACAAAGAACATCATTACAAATTAACAATAACACAGAACATCACATCAGAATGACAAATACATGAACAGCCAGCACAAAAGACAAGACATACCTTCTCCCTCAGAGTAGAGAGAGTGTGGGTGAAGGTCGCACTGTGGTTGTTCCAGGACAGAGAGAGCATCCCCTCTGCCATAATGAACTTTTCTTATCTGCCAAAAAACATGAAAAAATAAACATCCCAACCTTATTTTATCATTTTATATATCTTTTTGCCCAATAGGTCTGTCAACTGGATGCAATTCCCTAAAATAATTATCAGTAAGGATGTAATGTACTCATTTCTCTGACCAGTGTAAGTCATTTATAACACAAATCGACCAATCTAACCTAAATTAGCTAACTCAACTAAAAAACTATCTTGACAATAGCATTAGGCCAGGTCATGTCTAGTAATGTTAAAAATTATTTATACTCCGAACATGTTATTGTTATATAGTGTTCTTATCAATATGAGCTTAGATTAGGTCAGATTAAGATAGTGATATAAAACAATTCTCCCCACTTCCCTTATCTCAACTCTGCCATCTTTTAACTTAATTAACAGCAGTCCCTCCCTAATCAACTGAGAAAGGTCAGGTCGAGTCTTCCATCCTTACTTCACAACAGGAAACTCGTTTGAGAAATACAGCAATCACCTTCCTCATCTCACTCACAGTTTTCACCCTACTGAACACCAATGAAAGTTAACAGTCCATCGAGGATATTTTGAGATGTCTGGTTATAACCTCCACTCAACCTACCTAACCTAACCCCACCCATAAAACAAAATCTAACATACCCCTACAAATTTAACTTAACCTTAACACTAGTATTTCTAAGAGCCCTTTAGCTATCATGTCACGTGCAGCCAGAGTTCCTAACATCACACAGAGAGCCAAAACAAATATTCCTACATAACTTGTTGTCGATCGTACACATTTATTAAACCAAAATGGCCAACACAACTTCCCACGATGCAGCCGCCAGCTAACAACAGCGTGAGATAAGTAATCCTCATAAAATATAAGTACAGTACTGTACCACCTTCACTCTGACCTCATATTTCATGGATGTCATCGCCTCTACCTGTTAATAAGCTAAAATTTTACAACTGTCTTCACCAATCCACCACGAAGTTGTTTTGTGGATGTGGGTGTTAGGTCAGGTCAAGTCAGGTTAGGTCAGGTCAGGATAAGAAGTACTGTATTATTACTGAATTATAGTTAACAGATACAGTGTTCAATATGCAAAAAAAAAAAAAAAAAAAATTTACTTGTGATATGTTGTTTGTTTTACTTTGCGTTGATCTAAGGGAAATTATCGCTTAAATACATTAGCTTTTAGGTGAAATAAACTATTGAGTGAGATATAATTTCTCAACCTTAGTGAGTTATTTTTTATCACTAAGATCTAACGTAATTCAATTTATTTTTCTTGCATGTGTCATCCTCAATATCAAACCCCATAGACTATTTGCCATTTCCTAAATATATTCGAAAAGCTATATTCTTTTCCCCAGTTCCAGTACCAATCCTATAACAACTACAACAATACAATCAAGAAACAACTATTCTACTACGTACATAAAATAACAGTGATGATTCTTGTATAGTATTACCCAGATGAACAACGCAACAGCATACTATTCTTATCATACAATTCGGACACAACACATGTTTCTGTAAATAAGAATTCTGATTATCGAGAAATACTGTGATAATTTACTCAACCTGCCCTAACATCAAATCCTATTCTAACCTAACTTGTCCAAACAACCTCTCATATTCTGGGTAATATTGCTTTTAATTGTCCCACAAATTTTGACGTTTTTTAATATACCTATCATGTAGTTTAGACAATTTTAAAACACCTTTTTTCTATGACATTTTTGTCGGTAATATATATTTTTCGAGTATTTTAACCGATAAAATTACCAACAATATTACCTGTTTAAAGTGGGCAGGGCTTTGAAGTTGAGGGAAAATGTTGGGTAAGATATTTAAAAAAAATATAATAAAAAAATAAACAAATAAAAATCACTAAAAAAACTTTTGAAAACGTTACTTAACGTTTCCTAACCTTTAAAATCTTAAAACTATAAAAAGTTTACCTTATTTATGTTTTCAGTGTTTTGTAGGTGATGGTATTGTTTTCGGTGTTCAGATGAGGAGGGATCCATAAACTCAAATGATTCTTAACATTTTTACACGTTAGAAAATGTTAGGCAAGAAAGGTTATTTGGTGTTATTCTTAGTATTTTACCCCACATTACTTCAAAGTCCTGCCCACTTTAAACAAGTAATATTGTTGGTAATTTTATCGGTTAAAATACTCGAAAAATATATATTTTCAACGGAAACGTCACAGAAAAAGTGCTTTAAAATTGTGTAAACTACATGATAGGTATATTAAAGAACGCCAAAAGCTGTGGGGCAATTAAAGGCAATAATACCCTATTCTAAAAAAAAAAAAAATCTGTCCTATCCTAATCCCCCCCCCCCCATCATAAAAAAGCTCCCTTCAATATTCCATAACTTTTAACACCAATGGATAACAATTTAATTATTCACCAAGACATTCACACGAAAACAGGTCATACCTTTCACTCTAAATGAAAGAAAAACAACCATTCACTATAAATCACCACACATATACACTAATATTCATCTCGTATAAAGAGTCAACTTACGTCAGCCACAAGTCATTGAAAACTTATTTCTCTTCACATATAAACCTAAATACTAAGACTTCCACCATTATTTAACAATTATTACAATATTTAAGTTAGATATGATTGCATTATTTTCACTTAATTCTTAGAAAAATCTGAAGAAAGTCAATTGTAACTTTCACTGGAAGACGCGTGAAGTACAGTACAGTACAGTATATTTATAATATATAATTTATTTATCTAGTTAGTTATAATAAGTTAAGATAAACTGTTGTTTTATTTTAAGTTACTGTTAAGACACCACTGATTTAAGTTAATTATTATTATTTATCAAAATTCGGAAAAAAAGTTAAAGTTTTATGTTGACGTAACTTTCACTAATGAGAGGAATTCCCTTTGAATTATCATAAACCAGAATAACCACACTTGTTTCTGTAAGTCACTACTATAACATGAATGAAACATTAATATAGAATTAAATATATTAATTAATTATAACAAAAAGGGAGAGAAATAAAGTAATAACTATGGAATTCCCGGACGCGCTGCTGCCATAAAACTGTAAGAGTTCCTGAAACTTTCTTTGCCATACCTGGACCTAAAACACCATTACAAAAACAATAGGAGTTAATAATAGAGAAATACAAGATGGAGGGAAGTTATTCTAAGGGAGGAATGAAGCTGCCATAGACGGGTCCGTCCCCTCCCATAGCCTTTGTTATGGCACCCTCTACCAAGCCTTCCTTCCCCCCACCACCACCACCATCTCACAAGTTCTCTATCTTATTTCTCTCCTAGTTAAAATCTCTACCCGCTGCCCTCACCACCACCAACACCTCCTTACGTTGTTGTTTGGATTGTCGGGACGCCCATGGAGTGACACCTCAATAAGATCACTCAAAAGTTTCACAGGAAAATGTTATTACGGTGTCGGAGATGAATCGCGACCACTCTGCCTCTGGGCGGCTGTTGATCCCGAGTGCCTGAGAGACTGTCCGGCAGGGATACGTTCCACCAATCACAGCCCTCCTCGCCTTTCAACCAATCACAATGCACCTCTCGGCCACTCACAACACACCTTCCCACAACATATCCCTTAACCAATGAAAACCTCTCATATAACTCCTGACAGATACCTCCACCAATGAAAACTCTTCTTGAGATAACACACCCCCCCCCTTTAGCCAGTTATATTCCCGTTTTGTGATAACATATCTCCTCCACCAATCATAATTTAGTTTTAAGATAATCTACACGTTTGATTTAAGCCAATGGTAACGCTAATTAGGATAAACATACCAGTAAGCCAATGGTAACCCAGTTTGAGAGGATAGGGAAGTTAGGGGTAGAAGGGGATAACCTCCACCAATCACCAACAGCGCCAACTTGAGACGACAGACCTCTCAACCAAACAGAACCCCGCTTAAGATAACGAGCCCCTCGACCAATCAAAACCCAGCTTGAAAGGGGTGATAGGGGAGGAGGAGCGGGAGTATTGCGCAACACCACCTGAGAAATATTCACAAGAAACTCTGTAAATTCTCTTCTTCTCTCCACCTGTTTACACCTGTTTACATCTACAGGTAAATGATGGGTCGATTAGGTGAACATTAATTTACCTGAGAACCTTAGATATTGATTAATTAACTTGACCAATTTAGTGTAGGGTCCGCCCCCATTAGGCCAGAGTACGTGTGTGTGTATGTATGCAAGTGTAAATGTATGTATGTGTATGTAGGTGTAAATGTAAGTATATATGTGTGTGTGTGTGTGTGTGTATGTATGTATGTATACCTAGGTGTATACGTATAAATATATGCATGTAGTTGTCTATGCACGTGTGTGGATATCTGTCTGTCTGTCTGTCTGTCTGTCTGTCTGTCTATCTGTCTGTCTGTCTGTCTGTCTATGTGTGTTAAACTTTTCGAAATGGATTATTATTATTATTTTCTCTCTCTCTCTCTCTCTCTCTCTGCCATTCCCCTCCTCCATAATTCTCTATTCCCTGCTTCTATCTCCCTTCCTCTCTCCTCCCCTTCCTGTCTTCCCCCCTCCTCCTCCCCTACCGTCCGTTCCTCCCCTCCAGCGCTCCCCCTCTCTCTCTCTCCTCCTCCTCCCTCCCTCCGACCCTCCCTCCTCTCCTCCCTTTCCTGTCTCCCCTTTATCCCCTCCTCCCCTCCCTTCCTGTCTCCCCTCCCTCCCCACTCCTCTCCTCCCTTCCTGTCTTCCCCTCCCCCCTTCCTCCCACCCTTCCCACCCTCGCGCCCTCTCCTCTCTCTTCCTCCCTCCCCCCTACCCTCCCTCCATCTACCCTTCCTCCCCCCCCCTCTGACTCTCCTAACATTCCACCCTCCCTCCCTCCTTTTCCTCCCTACCCTCCCTCTCTCTCCACCCCTTCCACCGCACCCTCTTCTCCACACCCTCTCGTCAAGCCTCACTCCCTCTCTCTCTTTCTCCCTCATCTTTCTCCTTTAGTTTCTCCCTTCCTCTCCTTTCCTCCTCTTTCTCTTCCTTCATCCTTCCAACACCATCACTGCTTCTATCTATCTATCTACTCTGTCTACGCATTAATTCTGTCTGTCTATCTTCCTGTCTGTTTGTCTGTCTATCTGTCTGTCTGTCTATATATCTGTCTGTCTGTCGGTCTCTTTGTCTCTGTTTGTCTATCTGTCTATCAGTCTGTCTACCTATTTGTCTGTTTGTTTGTCAATCTATCTGTCCTATCTGTCTGTCTCTCTGTCTGTCTGTCTGTTTCTCTTTCTGTGTGTATGTCTGTCGACCTTTAAACCATTCTCCTGCTAACACGTACACAAGTCAGCTGCGTTGGGGAGATTCTACGCTCCTAACCTAACACTAACCTAACACTAACCTAATACTAACCTAATACTAACACTAACCTAATACTAACCTAACACTAACACTAACCTAACACTAACCTAACCTAATACTAACCTAACACTAACCTAACACTAACCTAATACTAACCTAACACTAACCTAACACTAACACTAACCTAACACTAACCTAACAACCACTAACCTAATACTTCAACCTAATACTCAACACCAACCTAATACCAACCCAACACCAACACCAACCCAACACCAACCCAACCAATACCAACCTAACACCAACTTAACACCAACCCAATACCAACCTAACACTAACCCAATACCAACCCAACACCAACCCAACACCAACACCAACCCAACACCAACTCCAACACCAACCTAATACCAACCTAATACTCAACACCAACTCCAATACTAACCCAACACTAACACTCAACTCCAACACCAACCTGCTAACCTAATACCAACCTAACACTAACCTAACACTAACCTAATACTAACCGCAACACTCAACCTAACACCAACCTAATACTAACCTAACACTAACCTAACACTAACCTAATACTAACCTAACACTAACCTAACACTAACCTAATACTAACCTAACACTAACCTAACACTAACCTAATACTAACCTAACACTAACCTAACACTAACCTAATACTAACTTAACACTAACCTAACACTAACCTAACCTAACTAAACCTGACCCAAACCAACTTAACAAATATAGTAGTGGTGGTAGTAGTAATAGTAGTAGTAGTAATAGTAGTAGTAATAGTAGTAGTAGTAGTAGTAACAGACACTCAAGTATCACAATGTCCAAATTTCAGCTTCCTGGCTCAGAGAGTTGCCTGAGATCTCGCCTGGACAAGCAAACAAACGGAGAAAGCACTGAGTAACCCCCCCCCCCACCTCCCCTTGGAACCTAGATCCTTGGGGTACGCGCTTCGAGTAACACCTGGAGACGGAAAAGAAAGAAAGAAAGAAAGAAAGAAAGAAAGAAAGAAAGAAAGAGAAAGAAAGAAAGAAAGAATATTAATTCTTCCTCCTTCCTCCTTCAACCTCCTCCTCCTACACACCCTCCTCTCCCTTCCCTCACTCCCACATCCTCCTCCTTCTCCTCGCTTCCCTTCCCTCCATACCTCCTTCTCCCCTTACCCCCACCTCCCCCACTTCCTCTCCCTCACATCCTCACCCCCACCTTCTGTTCTTCCCCACTCCAACACCACCCTCCTCACGCCAAAACACCTCAGGTGAGCCAAGGTTAATTACCAGGTATTGTTTCAGTAATTGGCCCACCTATAATTACACCTGACTGCTGTCCACCTTAATTATCCTTATTTAACCCATTTTACCTTTGGTCTCATTAAGTAACTACAACTATTACCCCAACTACAACTATTACCACAACTACCACTATTACCACAACTACACACAACTATAACTATTACTACCACTATTACCACAACTACAACTATTACCACAACTACCACTATTACCACAACTATAACTAATGCCACAACTACCACTATTACCAAAACTACAACTATTACCACAACTACCACTATTACTACAACTACCACTATTACCACAACTACCACTATTACCACAACTACCACTATTACCACAGTTCCACTACTGTATTACCATAGCTACTACAACAACTACTACTACTACTACTACTACAACTATTACTACTACTACTACAAAATTTAACACCACAATTAATTAAACTCACTTAATTACCTTCTACTATAAAGGTGTTCACAGGTATGGAGTCCAGTCTAATTAACCTGCCACACAACTAGACTCCCGTAGCTAGCCAGATAGGTGTAACTAGACCTCAGTACTAGCACCGTTATAAGTAGGTTAGCGTACTAGCTTCCGTGAGCGGTTTGGTAATAGCGTGGGAAGGTGGGACAGTAGTGGTAAGTGACTCAGTAAGTAGCGGTAGCACAGTAAGCAGCAATGATAAGTAGCGTCTTATATGTGATGTAAGTCTTTCCTACTTCCTTCCTTTTCCTTCCTTTCCTCTCCTCCCCACCTTCTCCTTTCCTCCTCCTTCTCTCCTTTCCCTCCCATTTCTCTCTCCCCTACCTCCCTCCTTCTCCACTTTTACTCAACTGTAACAGGTAAAAGTGATTAGTCTACCTGTAATCTACTGCACCACATGTGTTGTTACATCTACAGGAGATAGATATGTATATATTTTTTGTTGTACTTTCTGCTGGTGTTTTGTAGTGAGTACAGCGATATTGTGATGGAAGTACTCGGTGTTATTTTTTGTGTATATGCCTTTGATTTTCTTTTAACACCTTTGAGTACGTGATTTAACACCTTTGAGTACGTGATTTAACACCTTTGAGTACGTGATTTAACACCTTGAGTACGAATTAACCCCTTGAGTACGATGATTTAACCCCTTGAATACGATGTGTGTGTGTGTGTGTGTGTAAAATCAATACAAATATATCCATTCACACTTCAATAATGACATCACAACTCAATAACGTCACAACTCGATGACGACACAACTCAATAACGACACTTTTTGATGACGTCACAATATGTTTACAATTACCATATATGGGAATGAGGGCAAAATCACCCCATAGGGAAAAAACTCCAATAACACAAGATTGAGGAATTCTGTCATTATTTTCCCAAGACGGTGTGAAAGTAGTGGCTATACCGTCATTATTTACATTATAACTGAGACGCTTGGTGGTCAGCGTAGCGTATAATGATGGTGGTGGTGGTGGTGGTGATCGTAGAGTATGTGGTGGTGGTGGTGGTGGTGATCGTAGAGTATGTGGTGGTAGTGGTGATCGTAGAGTATGTGGTGGTGGTGGTAGTGGTGATCGTAGAGTATGTGGTGGTGGTGGTAGTGGTGATCGTAGAGTATGTGGTGGTAGTGGTGATCGTAGAGTATGTGGTGGTGGTGGTAGTGGTGATCGTAGAGTATGTGGTGGTGGTGGTAGTGATGGTGACTGTAGAATGTGTGTGGGTGTGTTGGTGTGCTGGTGTGTAGGGAGTGTGGTGTGTAGAGTCCGTAGAGTGCGTTGGTGGTGATACTGGTGTTAATAGTGATCATGGTGTGTGATGGTAGAGACAGTAATGGTGTCTGTATGGTAATG